TGGACGAACAGCTGGTACACTGTCTGCTTGGCTCACTAGAAGCTAGTTATCACAGCTGTCACTTGACATAAGAAGACTACGGCAGGAAATATGTTTCCAATGTCCTAAAGGCAAATGGCTATACAAAAAAATTTTCTCCGTAACTGCCAAAAACCAGTTACAAATAGTAACTCTCTTGATGAAAGGGAACCAGCGACTGGTTTTGCTGTTAACATACAGGGTGTTACTGAACCCATCAAGAGAATTTTGAATAGCCACAACGTTAAAGTTGCTTAAGAACCTTTTCAGAATGTTCGGGAACAAAATATATTCGCCAAACCTCACAGGATCCTGTCACGAAAGAACAACGAACCGACGCCATTTATTCTATTCCTTGCAATAACTGTGACAACGAATACATCGGACAGACCAAACGCCAGTTTGGTACGCGGTTAAAAGAGCACCAAAAAGCGGTTTTTCTTTGCAAAAAGGAAAATTCAGCTTTATCGGAGCATACTTGCCTAACCAACCATACAATTGGGTAGGATAATTCTAAAATTATCACCACTAATCGGCGTTACCACCAGCGCCTTTGTTTGGAGGCTTGGCACATTAACTCCGCCCACGCTCCTCTAAATCGTGACGATGGCGGTCTGCTTCCTGACGCTTATTTACACCTCGTCAGAAAAAAGGCCGCTAATTAGTGATCATATAAAAGGACCTCTTGTTGCAGCGTTTAGATCACCCCTGATGAAGGCACTAGACAGGAGTGTCGAAACGTTGGGTCTATGAATTGTAACTTCTTCGGTTACATTCATTAAATCTGCAAACCAGTGTAGCATCTAACTATGTCTGATGTTGTGGAACGTTAAACGGGTGAGCAAGGAACCCGCAAATGGCAAATTTGATCTGGTTTACTTACCCTTATTAAATTGCATTTTTCATCTTACTTAGGCTGAAATTTTGTTTCCTTGACGAAGGGTAAAGACCAATAGTACGATAAACGTACAAATCAATGTACATATCGCGGGTGATGAAGTATAAATTCCAATGTTAAAAACATACAAACATTATGGAAATTAATTGGGATAACAGAGTGTACCTTAAAGAAAAGTTTCGATAAATGTTTATTAAGGAAACGAATGAAAACTTGGGTTTTTGTGGTTTTCGTTTAGTTCTTCGATAGGACTTCCACAGTGTGTTATAAACATACAAACATTATGGAAACTAATTGGGATAACAGAGTGTACCTTAAAGAAAAGTTTCGATAAATGTTTACTACAAATTAGACGAGGGAAGTTCACGCGCCATTTCACGCGCCATTTTTCGAGAATATTTATCTTTTAGGCGCCATTGAAAATAACTGTACTGAAGCGAGAAAAATTAATTGTTTTTCTTCAGTTGAGCTATTTTCAAAAGCGGTCTTTGATTTCTCTCTTTTAAGTACGACGAATCCAATATTATATATAAATTTTAAACATGACCATGAACATTTCTATAACATTACAATTATCACTATCTCTGTTACTTTTAATTTAATATACTACTAGTTTTGAAGAGCGCAAACATTTAAAAATGTTATTGAAATAACAAAGCGTTCATTAAAGAGAACGTATTTATCATGAGGATTATATACTAAGCTGACTCCAGGAAAATCCCTATCAGAAATAAATTTTCTGTCGTTTGTCCATAGACGTTAACAGTTGTGACGGAGTGGCGCGCAAAGCAAGCGTGAAAATCGCGGGCTATGCAAATTCATTAATTAATCCGGTCGCAGTCTAGTGATTATGAACAAAAGACTTGCAGTATTTTGTTTTGAACTGTCAGAAATAAAACTAGTGCTAAGCCAGGTGTACGATTCATTTCACTTGCCTTATTGAATCAGAGCACTCTGCTGACTCGGCTGACTCGGCTTTATCCGATCTTGCTAAAAAAATTGAGAGAAAAGGAAAAAAAGTTATTATCGGTAGTGACCTCACGATGAAGTATGTGTGCGTTATATCTTTTATTTTGTATGTCGCTCTCTGCAACGGCGTAAAGTTTCCTTTCCAACAGAGGAATCGAGGTAAGAACTGTCTCATCCAAATGTAAGTTATCAATGAGGTAAAATTATGGCCGATGCTATCAAAGAAACACTGTTTTCATTTTCTTCATTGTCTAAAACTTAAGGTCTAACTGTACTGCCCGTGAAAAAAATGTACAACTCGGAAGTTTTTTTTCTTTTATGTCAACTGACAGCCGTTTGCATAATAATTGTATATTTGTGCCAGCGCCTTTTTCCCGCCGAATAAAAAGTCCTCATCATCTCTTTCTTATCTCCGGCGCTAGTTACGCACTAGTCCCTCAACATGGGATTGGTTGCGAAAACGTGAAAAGTAAGGTGAAAATCACAGTGATTTAGAATCTTATCACTGAAATTCTTTCAATCAAGGATTAGTGGTTCCTGAAGGGCAATATATTCTCAATTCGGTCGTCAGAGCACGGCTCAACTGGGCACTGAGGTCAACTTATAAAGGCATGAATCTTTTTAAAAACTGAAACGTATCATTCACAAAGGTGGCGCTGATGTCAAAGGATACGATGAAGAAGTGAATGCTATGATGGAATTGACTATGCCAAAGCCTATAGCAGATGAACGAGAAGAAGGTTAGAAATTAAAACCTGAGTAGGCTCGAGTTAAACCTTTTTACTCGCATTGAAGAATTAGATTATCACAAATATTTTTGTTATCGTGATTGGATTTTTTTTTTTCAGTAATCATAAAATTCAGAGTCGAGGAGACCAAATTTTTATAATTTTTACAACTAACTTTCTTGGTTCCGAATCCAAACAGGGTAAAAAAGTGACGGAAAACAAGTGACTGTGTATCATTGCTTGTATAACTATGTCAAGAATCTCACACCAATAATCAGTGTTACTATATACCACACAAGTGAATGGTACTTTTTGTGCGTACTGATTGGCTAGTTCGGAAGTGAATAGTTAGTGCAATTCGCCTCTAAGAAGCCGAAAAGAAAAAACTGCCCGTCAAAAGTTTAATTTCCTACAATTTTTCGGTATATTGAACGAATCAAACTAGTTTTTTGGTATTGCTTGATGTACCACCGAGGAGACTCATCTCTTGTCCCACGTCGGAGACTGGTAATTTAAACACATTTGAAAAATAAAGTTAATGTTTTTATATGCATTTTATTCAGAGTCACCTGAAGGTGAAATCGTAGTTGAGGAGACCATAGCCCCTGTTACTGCTAACCTTCTTGGCTCCGAATCCAACCCAGGTAAAATGTCGAAAACGAACACTTGTATATTCAAGTCCGTATAACTAAACCAAGCTTTGCCAATTAACCAGGAATCAGTAATCTACCAGAGAAAATATAATCCCAAAGAATCCAAAATATGGTTCATACCGTGTAAGTCATGTAAGATCTCCTATTGCTAAAGATTTTGGGGGAAGGGTCGCTTCCATAGAATTTCAAAAGCAATGTCCATTTTCATTACATGACATGGCTACCCTTTTTTTCTTTGTTATTTAGAGATCTCAGCGTAAGCCGTTAGCCGTAAAAGCAATCACCCCATTAAGGTCCTCTCATACCAGCATTCATTTACACGATAACTGTTAAGAAATCGCTCATGTAATGATACGTTGCAGATGAAAATCGCACAGGCCTGAATTAAGTAGTGTTCACAACTGCGAAGATCGCTTTCGCATTCAATTGCAGATAAAAATGTTTTGGATATTTGTTTTTAATTAGCTTGCGACTACTGTCGTGGTATGTTTGGAGGCTGTTACTGTGAAGATGTGGAATGGTGCCGAGGAATACCATGTGAAGTTAAGCAGGAGTGTGATGAAAAATGTAAGTTATATCAAAATCAAAGCCTCAGTTAGCGGCCACCTTCCATCTAACAAAGTCGTGAAGTTACCTTACATCTTGTATTGAAGCGAGATTTGACGAACAAGAGAATGAGTGTTAAGCAAAGTCCTTTTTCAAAGGGAATTTTTCCTTGCGTTATGTAGATTCGGGGTATCTGGTGTGAGACAGTAAATATATGTGTGCGCGCAGATACGGAATTTTTCTTCGAGTGTTAGACTCGAGATATCTATTTGAACAATAGAAGAGCAGTTCTATATCTTCATGTAACCGTTTATTATTTTGTTTATTGTATAAAAGCCGTGGGCCTTTGCCGATAAGAAAGATCGACTCTATCAATGTTGAACGCAATATATCACATTCATTCATCAACCTGACAGAGAAGTGCAAAAAGCCAGTGACGCGTCAGCCGATGGTTATGGCGTTTCTGTTTATTACTTTATTACTGTTTTTGCGTTTCAGGTCCCATAGAGTGAAAATTTCAAGGCTCAAGGTTGTTTTTTTCTTTCAAAGTAGACAGATGCAAGTGAAACCATGACACAATTTCGTAGTCACCTAATTTATTAAACAAGTGTACAAAATGTAGTTTTGCATTTGGAGTAATTTACAATTACAACCAGTACAAGTTGTGCTGCGAGTCCTTCGCGCCCAATAACAGACTTGCCTCTGACAAATCCAGAAATTGCCGAGTCTTTCGGCGCAATAAGCTTGAGCGGATCAGTCTTTGCTGCTAAACTTACACCGTCTTTGAGCATCGGTGAAATTATTTCTGTATTAACTTCTGTATAACACAAATGAGTCAAGAATTATTTATGATTACAACACTAATCCAACATCAAAGCAAACGAGTTAGGCTCAACTTTTTCATGTATTTGATATCTGGTTATACTTTAATTACGCTGCAAGTTCTTTGCTTTAAGTTCTCACTGACCCTCCGCCGCCTTCGATCGAACTTCACCAACCGCTTTTGACATGTATTCGTATCAATCTCGACAAGGACAAAGCTCGTGTCAAAGACGCCGATATGGGGCCAAAAAACCCTGCGGGGGCAATTACAACACTATATACGCGTGGCACACGCATTGCTGACGCTTCTGCTGAATTAAACCAAGCGCATGTATTCTTATCAAACAATATGGAAAGTTTGGCCCCTTTATGCTCTCAAGATTATTTCAAAGCCTTTTTTTCTCAGCAAGGAATATTACAACTATTACGAAGCATTTTCGCAGTCGAAGCAGGAGCCGAAGAGACTCCAACGGCACTTGCACTTAAATACATTTGGTTTCTTGACCAACACAATGCACATCAAGACTATGATGAAGACTCCTCCTCCTAACACACCAACGGTGGCAGCAATGCTGTAAAAAAATAAAAAGGTTAAAATAAAGCATTTCCCTATCACCGAGTAAGGGCACAGACAATATGCGGAAAATCTGATATTAGCAGAAAAAAAGTCGATGATGAAATGGAGAAAAATTTTTTTTTCGTGTTGTCACAAGCGTAGGACAAAGAAACTATTCTGTCTAGCACTTCCCATAAGGGGTCAAATCTTAGACCTTCAGATTCAGTTGGCGCTTCGATGCTCTACTTCTGAGTTACAGAAATTCTATGGTGAACGAGACAGATTCTGGGTTAACATGTTACTGTTAGGATCAATTATGTCTTTCTCTAAACATCAACATCTTTCTCTAAAAAAAATCTGTTTTTAATAACGACTGATGTTCAATTCAGTGAAAGGTCCAGTTTTGAATATCAGCTGCGTAAGGCTACTAAATCTGCTGGGAATAGTGGTCTAGAAATTCAAAGAAGACATAGGCTTATTTTTAGGTTACTCGTTCGAAGATCTTAACACAAATCTGCAACAATCCTGCAGTTTTTAGTGTTTTAAGTTAGGTTATGCTGTTATTTGTTTCAGGCGCCTCGTTGCTCGTGAAGCAAATACTTAAAACGAATCAAAAAAGCACATGGAGGATTCAACATGTTTTGCAAATAATTTGTAAATGAGCTTTGGAAGCGGATTTCTCTTTGACATAATGCAGCTAAACCTGAAATGACCACGACAAGAACAAACACTGAAAGCTGCTGAGCTTTATTTAACAGTAAATTTGGATAACTTAATCTTAGGTGAGCCTTCCTTGGAGAACCTCCAAAGCTTAAATCTCAAGATTAACCCACAAAGGCAACACAACTCAAAGTATGATCCTCACCAGCCGATTACGCTAATGTTCCATCCAAATGCGGTGTTACAGTACATGCCAGTTTCTGAATTAGGAAAACAAATGAAAAAGGGAAGTAGGAATAAATGATTCATGGAATAATTGATAAATTAAATTTTAAATTGAGAATGAGCATTAGTCAAATTAAAAAATTCTGATTTGTTAAGATGAGCAGTAGAATTCAATTTCAAATTGAACAATTTGAAGAAGGAAATTATGTGTTTTTTTCGTGCCCAAATTTAACCGAAGGCGGCGCTAGTTGAAACAGGCTCCACCTTAAGGGGATGTCTGTTTTGAATGAATAATGCATTTCTAACAAAACTTTGGTATTGTATTTAACCACAAGTTTTCAAAAACACTAGAAATACAGCTCTTTCAACGTTGAGGGTATCCTTCTCCGAAACTTACTGATTGCTTTATAAGTCGCGTGGAATCCTTTTCGATTTGTGCTTGAGTCAGCCTCAAACTCCACCCACATATACCGCCCGGTAGATATCAACGTCGATGGTTTGTCGTCTCCACAAAACTCGTCCAGCTCAGACGCACTCTTATCCTTACCGTCTCTGACTTCAACATGATCACACGTGCATATTGATGATATGAAACAGTCCTCCAGTTCAAAATCGTCAAATGTAAGTTCAACAAGATGATTTTCAGGAACTTCAATGACCCATGTGCAGGTCACACTGTTTGGATATTCCTTTGGATAGCCAGGGCTAGAGAAGTTGCCCACTTTGCCTTTCAATAAACCATTTCTTGGGCATTCACTGTCAGCTAAATAATAAAATTAAAAGACTAAGTTTTAATCCAAAACAAATTCCTCTGACTTTAAGTCAGAACTAGATTTTTAAGAAATAACTTCAATACTTGTCGTTTCTTCATCCTACATACATTCGAACTGAAGGTCGAATTTTTTTCCTTGAAACGTCTCAAAGGAACAAAAACTAAGCGAAAAAAAAAACTGTATCAAAAACGACGCGAATCGTATCTTATTTTTTTATTAGTTAGATTCTATTTGCAATCACTTACAAACTGCCACAAAGGAAGCGTTAAATCCTTTCTCAGTTGTCTTTGAGTCACTGTCGAACTCCACCCACATATATCGACCAGAGGATCCAAGTGGAGTTGGTTTCTCGTTTCCGCAATGCTTCTTCAAGGAGGGCGAATTTTCCGTTTGCCCATCTCTCACCTCAACGTGGTCACAAGTGCAAATCGACGAAATTGCGCAATCCTCCAGTTTAAATGTATTGAATGTTAATTGAACTTGGTAGCCTTCAGGAACCTCTATAATCCACGTGCATGTAACACTGTTTGGGTAGTTTAAAGGATATTGTGGACTTGAGAAACTGCCATTTGTCCCTTGCAATACTCCTCTTGTTGGACATTCATTCACAGCTAAAGGGAAATATATTAGACGGGATGACTGTAATGGATTACTTTAATGAATTCTGAATTGCTTTTTTCAAGGTTTAAGAATAGACAATTTTAAAGTGTACAGAAAGGAATAAGGGGGAATAAAAGTATAGAAAACAACCGCGTCTGCATTAAACAGATTAGTTACAGAATCCATACAAGACAGCAGCACATAAAGAATGAGGACCCTCGTTAGGGCAGAAGCAAAACTAAAGCACAGCGAGATATGCCTCTTGGAAAATGGATCAATTCATGCTGGGCTCATTGTTACACGGCTCAACTGAGATGAAAGTATAAATCAAACTAAGGTTGATTTTAATATTTGATTTTTTTTTTCAAAGAGAGAAAGCGCTCCTTTCTACTGGACACTTACATAGAGCGTTAAAGATTGCATGGAATCCATTGCGTGTCGTCTTAGAGTCACTTTCAAACTCGATCCACATGAATCGCCCCGATGACCGCAAGTGGGAGGGTTTCTTGTCGCCACAAGACCTTTCCAAGGAGTTGCCAGTTGCATCTCGACCATCCCTGACTTCCACATGATCACATGTGCACACAGAAGGGATTGTGCAAGTCTCCAGTTGAAAAGATTGAAATTCAAGTCGTACGCGATAGCCTTCAGGAACCTCTATTATCCATGTGCACTTCACACTGTCTGGATAGCTTAGAGGATATTCTGGACTTGAGATACTACCATTTGTACCTCTCAGTATATAACCGTCTCTTGGGCAGTCACTCTCAGCTGAAATCAGTACAAATGCAATGCCGGGTCGAATGAAAAAGTATCACTGTTGGTGAAACACTTCAAACCATTCATTCTTTTTCTTTTTTCTTCGCTCTAATTTTACATAGGAGGAGTAAATTTACAGATCCTATCTTAACCGCTGTGGTACCTTTAAGGAATAATTGCAGCTTAATCATTTCATTTCTAGAATTGTTCGGGAATGATTGTTTAGGAGATTTTTCTTCCATAAATTGGCCAGCATGTAAGATTCCTATAATCCCATAATCCCTGTAAATGTGAAGTAAATAGAAAGTAACTGACACTGATGAAAAGTTGCTCCAATTTTGAGCAATGTTACATCCAGTCAGGCTGGAAAGGAGCTGACAAAAGGGGGTATCTGCGTCGGTTGGAGAGTATGGCAGCTGAGCTGAAAACGTAAATTGGCCACCGTAAAGAGTTAAAAGGCTGACGTTTTGAGCGTTAGCCCTTCGTCAGAGCGATTGCGAAGGGCTAACGCTCTGATTGCGAACAGCTAACGCTCTGAGGAAGGGCTAACGCTCGAAACGTCAGCCTTTTAACTCTTTACGGTGGCCAATTTACGTTTTCAACTCAGTTTTTAACACTAAATTACCTGGAAAGGAGTTGGCCTGGTTTATCTATTCTAAAAGTTCTCATCACTTTGGGATAGACAAGTTGAAACTTTACCTGCAGGAATTTTTAAGAAAATTTATCGCGCGAACCTTTTTTATCTTAAGAAACGTTTGGAAGTTCACTATTATCTTTATATCGTTTCCTTATGGCCACCAGCTGTAGTATTTTTATCTTTCCCCGTGCGATTACAATTTCCTTATTACAATTGTTTGCGACCTTTTCCTATTGCACCGATACATCTCACTACGTATTACATTATTTTAAAGTTAGATAACTTTTAGCGTACGTCAACATAGTATACTTACGAACAGCTTTGAAGGTGGCAGAAAATCCTTGCCCTCCTGTTAAAGAGTCACTTTCAAACTCCACCCATTGTGTTTGACCTGACGATCGCAGTATGGTTGGTGAGTGGTCTCCACAAAGCTTCGCTAAAGACTGTGAGCTTTCATCTCGACCATCTCTCACTTGGACATGGTCGCACGAGCACACAGAAGGGAGAGTACACGTCTCCAGTCGAAATGAATCAAATCGCAGCCGCACCTGGAAGCCTTCAGGAACCTGTATTATCCAGGTGCACTTGACACTGTTTGGGTAACGTACGGGAAAACGTGGAGTGGTTAAGCTGCCATTTGTACCACTTAATATTTTACCCCTCGGGCATTCACTTGCATCTGAAAGGAAACAAAAAGAGGGAAAAACTGCATATCTCACTCGTGAGCCATCGAGTTGAAAACTCGAAGAGAAATTCCATATCTACGCGCGTCCATGTTTTAATCCCTATAAAATAATAGCGAGCGATTTTTTTAAATTCTTCATACGCTACTTCACTTTTCCAAAGATAAAACTTACTATATGCTTATTTTCATGTGCATTTGATTTTAAAGGCAACGTATACAAACAAAGAACCAGCTATTCTAAATGATTATGCAACGGTTTGAATTAAGGAGAAACTTGAATCTCACATACCCACTGCTATGTACGTTGCCAAGAAACCTTGTGCGTTACTAAAGAAGTCTGAATCGAACTCAACCCACATGAATCTTCCAGATGACATAATTGCACCGGGATTTTCGTCTCCGCAATATTTCGCTAATTTCGGAGAATTGACATTTGGTCCATCTCGTATCTCCACATGATCACAGCTGCAGGTCGGTGAAGGGATTGCGCACTTTTCCATTACAAACACATCAAAACTCAGATGCACAACATGCTCTTGGGGAACTTCTATAATCCACCTGCAAGTCTCTCTGTTTGGATAGTTTGATGGGTAGTTAGGGCTAGCGAAACTTCCTGTTGTACCATTGACAGTGATACCGGCCTCACTACATTGTCCTCTTACCGAGGATAACAGGGTAAAAACTGGAAAGAAAAACAGTGTTACTTTCCAGTATGGTTTCCGTTGATGAGCTGTCTTTTGATATCAAAATTCGAGATAGAGTCAAATTTGTAACGTTCATTAGTATAAGAGTTAGTTTCCCTCCTATATCATTCAAACCTTTGACAAACTTGATTGCGATAAACAGCATTCGAATCAAGTGGTTATGTGGTATGGAGTTGGATATGAGCCTAATTAAGGGCTGCTAGTTGGACAGATGTGGCCAAAACAGTGGACATATATTAAGCATATATGCATATTTTCATGTGCATTTGATTTTCAAGGCAACGTATACAAACAATGAACCAGCTATTCTAAATGATTATGCATCGGTTTGAATCCAAACTGAAACGAAGCAGAATGAGCTTGGAAGAACAGAAAAGCATATCCAGTAAATGAGGGAGAGCCTGAATAAGCCAATCACCAACAGATTACGAGAAAAGCACTCAATCCGGAAGTCACATTGTCTCTATTAGTAAATTACTAATAAGATAACTGAGTTAAATAGGGTAATTAAGTATCATCAACTGATTTGATAACTTAAATTGGCCACCGTAAAGAGTTACAAAGCTGACGTTTCGAGTGTTAGCCCTTCGAAGGGCGATAAAGAGCTAGCGCGCGAAACGTTAGCTTTGTAATGCTTTAATGAAGGTGGCCAATTTACGTTATCAGCTCAGTTTATAATTCTAAATTACCCTGTTATACTCTCCCACCAACGCAGCACCACGGTTTCTTTAGAAACATACCCCCTTTATTGTCTAAGTTAAACGCCTACCTGTTTCTATCAGACTCTATTTTTACATCATTTATCAACAGATAAATATAAAATCAAACCAAGATATGAAGATATGCGGAAGTTAAGTCAGGTTCGAAAACAAAGTACTTGAATGGTGGCTGAACAAGTCAGACCGAGCACAGCTCCCTATTGTAATGCAAAATATTTGTTTAAGACTGTTATCATGACAACTTAAGAAAACATTTACAAAATGCATTCCAAACAGCCTACCGCTTGGTAGAAGTCTAAGTTTAAAGCTCTGAGTCAAAGAGGAACTCCTAGCTTCAGTTTGACTGAATAAAAAATGGAAAATGACTCGATATTTCATTGCTAAAGGCTTTTTCTGGTTTCATTTGGCACGTGCTTTGCCAGATTTTCTTACTTCCCCTTACAGATCATAAGCTGCTGCTTTGTTACGCGAATGAGCACTTTTTCTTACATTGTAAACGAGACTTATGTCTATGACCTGTAAAAAGTAAGATAGCATGTATGTATTGCCTCGGAATTTTACAAACCGATTTACAATCGAACCTCCACTGAAGTACAAATCAACTTAATCATAACAACGCATGTTTCTAGATCTGGCTGAAGTATCTCTTTGAGGTAAATGAGCAGGGAACTTAAATAGAAACTAATGATCTATTTCGATAAGTCAAAGATCGTACCAAGATGTCAATACTCAGAGCAGAACTGTTCCAGAATTGCTCCTCACGAGCTCTTATCTCCTTCCACCTTCCCTCCGCTATGATAAAGAATTACTTACCAGAAAAAACGATAACCACAGCAATGTAGCAGAGCTTTCTTGACACCATTCTGTCAAATACTTGAAAAAACTGCTCAAGAAAGTTTTCGTCAGCTACTTATCCACTCCACAATAGAATATATTGACGTAATTCGCTATATAGTTTTCCCACCCAGCACTTGGTATTGATTCTTCGTTTTTAAGTGTTTTTATGTGGAAAGTGATTGTAGGGTCAAAAGGTAAAGTTCGACATATTACAGGTCCCTGGGAAAAAAATTTTAAAAGGCTACCATTGTTTCGGTGACGTCTGATTTTCTACAATGCACCAAATCAGACGTCACCAAATTCAGAGATGGAAAACCTGTTATAAGTTGAAGAACTGTGGTACTTGATGCAGTTTGTAACCAGTGGTTACCAATTCGACCGATTTTACACTTCGTTACCTTTGATTGTAAAGAGGGAAATTGAAATATAAGTTAAAAGAACAATATCATCGATGTTAGGAACTGAAAACATTATCACCGTGATTTGAAAAAGAATAAAGAAATAACTTCAAGGGAGATGTGAAAAGGACTACTCTCGCAATAGCTACGGCTAAGTTCATTTTGTGAAATCATGTCAAAAGAGCATTATTTGGTTATTGATACAGTCTTTAGAAGTCGGTTCTTATGCAAACGTGGATAGAAACTATCTCGGTATCAAACTCGCAGTATTCTCATCAGTACTGATCGATCCACAAAGTGAGTCCTGTATCTTCATATACAAAATACACTCTCAGAAAGAGAAAGCCGTATTAAGGATTTCTAGGTTATTCGGTATGTGAAATGAGAGATCTTTCAAATATGATACGTTTGATGCCATTTGCAAAAATAAGTAAGCAGGCCACGTCCAAAACTGAAGTAACATATGATCCAGATGTTCTTCAAACTCTAAAATTTTCAATTCTTTTCCTCTCCTACAACTCTGCTTCAAATAGAGCGCTTTTAAACAAAAATCCTAGTATTTTTCCCGGAGAGTGAAGAGTTAAGAGTGGTAAACATTTCAGAAACACGCCGCAGGTCCAATATTTCTGCTGAAACAAGGTCATTGGTCAAGCAAATTATTAAAAAACAGATTAATTCCCTGTTTGAATATATTGGCTCATTCACATATTCTTCTAAACTATTCTTGTTGTCGTCATTCGAACGATTTTATCCAGTGGGAGGAGGGGGCGGGGGAGGAGGAAGGATTTGTAGACCTTCATAGAGGGGAAAACCCGCGATCACGGGAAATAGGTGACTAAGTGTAGTGTATTATTAAATCCAAACAGTTCTCTTTGGAAATATATATGAAAGCGACCTTCGCAGTAATGACACTAGTTGAGCAGTAGTGAAAATAAAACCTGGAAAAAATTCAGGCCTGTACGGGATTTGCATCCCTTGACCTTTGCGATACCGGTGCAGTGCTCTACCAACTGAGCTAACAAGCCAACTGGGAGCTGACATCATGTTTGTTCTTAATAAACCCGAGAAGTGTGGATTGATGAATGACTTTGAATACATGAAAACCAGGCCTTATTTCATACTTACTGCTTAAGTGGCGTTCATTACTGCGAAGATGGCTTTCATATTAAGTTCTTAATCCGCAGTTCACATATATGATTTTTATATGTTCACAGTCAGAGGTCTTTGGTTTAGTGCCTTGAATTAAAACTATCCAAATTTTGTGTGGTTTGTAAAGACTTGTAAATCATGCCTTCACCCCAAAGGAAACAACAAATTTTTAGTTTGCTGAGATACGAAAGCATCAAAATGAAAGTAACAAACTAGAAAGGAACGAGGAGGCTTACAGACAAAGAGGATTCAAGGGAAACACTTATTGATTATACATTGCTTCCTGATTCTTAAGTCAACTTTATTCAGTTAGGCAAATGTATTTACCAAATGAAAAATAACAATCTTTACTGGAAAGAAGATTATTATATGAAGTCTTGTGAATATTCTTTGATTGTCAGCTATCTTAAATATTTGGAAAAACTGAAATAAAACTGGCATTCAGAGCGGGATATTTGAGCAATTATAATTTCGGGGGAATCTTAAGAACGATGTTTCATGCATGTATTTTTGTTTGTCGCCATAATTTATATATCTTATAATATCATTCAATTAAAACTGGCCTAACATATTTTGCTGAACTATAAATTCTCGATTGAAAACTTTCTATAAAAGGACGTCTAAGAAATACACTTTGCATAAGCGATTAATATCCGTGTCGATCATTTGTACGCTGTCTATTTCTTTTCTTCGAACGAGCTGTGTTTATTTTAATGGAAGTACCCACACCTAAGTAGTTCCTCCAAGAAAGTTCCAACAATGTAAACGTCAATACACGTGAATACGACAGCGCGGAGGCGTCTGAGTGAATAAAGCAACCTTACTCTGTCATCTTAGTGAGATTGCAGTTTCATTACAGCCATAATTATAAATTGTTTTATGAGGTTGCAGCAGCTTAACTTATCTCAAATACCATCACAGTTTCATGCTCTCCTGATATTCTATTTGTTGTTCTGAGAGAACGCATTAGTATTTGACTGGCATGAGGGAAATTTCTCGGGCAATTTTTTACCCGTCATTCGACGGCTTTGCAGAGTGAGGATAAGAATGATTTTACTCAAACGCAAGTAGTATGAACTTGAGGGCCGTAGAATTGTGAATTTCCTTTGGTTTCAACCTGAAATCAGGAGCAAAATATGTTGAATTAAGTTCGTGCTGATTATTTGACTTTCCTTATTCTCACACTGCCACGCACTCGTTATCGTCCTCGTCCGGCTTTTTTTGCACTTGGGTGTCCTTCCTCCTGTGATGTTTTCTGACCAAGTAAATCGTCAACATGATTACAAGAATGGCTATGAAGAGGACTAACACTCCAATTACGATGACAATCATGGAATTTTTCTTCTTTTCGGAGGCTTTCAGGATCGGAGCTGTAAAATTGTACCCTTAAAAAGCAATAAAATAAGATAAATATCATTTATTATACGGTCATGTAGCTAATCAAACCCTCGGAATGAGCGATAGGAGTTCAGAACAGGGACTATCACAAATTCCCGAAAGCCTGGGGTTGCAGGTTCTTTCATTTTGCACCAAGCGGCTGGTGCTGCGCGGAAAAGTGAGCCAGCCTGGAGAGTTAAAAGCACATCTCGCTGGCTCTCGAAATGTGAACAAGAATAGTGACCAATTGAGAATGTGGAAATTTTTGCCCAGCAGTGACATGTGGACGGGTGAACATAAGCCGATATGAAATTTTAATAGAAGCCATCTAAATTAAGTGATACCGTCAGAGTAAACGTTTGGGAAAGACTGTTAATCATGCATTGTGAAAATGCGGGCGAGGACAGTCGCTGAACAAGACAATTGTCGGTGAAATACTGCACCGAAGTTATGGAGGGTAAACGGACAGTTATTCTGGCTTTGGGATTTAGTGCACCGATATTTGGATTCGACGTCCTCAGTTATGATCGCTGAGCCACGTTTTTTCTTTCGCTGATTGGTTGATGCTATGCAAAATTGGGTGTTCTTGCCCTCTTGTTAGAGTTGTCCTGCAGCCGTGTAAGGCGAGTTTGAAACCAAAATAACTTAAGCCTCGTTCATTCTTGATTAATGTTATAGCAGCTTGGAGGTAATATTCGTATGTAATGATTATAGACAGAATTAAGATAATAATATGTTTTATTTAACGGCACCTTTTGTGCAAGAAGGCAGTGTTCCATTCAGTATTCCATTCAGACAGCTTATTACTCTGGATCCGGACAAAGTATATCCCGGGTTGCATTGGATGATAAGTTGGCCTCCGTTCCCGACTGTAACTTGAGAATTGTTTAATTTTATTTGAGAGCACTTAGCTGAGGAGAAAAAATGAATTTATGTTTGCTAGGAATTATAAAGGCAGGCCAGGTGCGGCCCTCAGAATGCAATACAAAGTCTTTATAAGTAAGAAACCAGAAATACTGTGAGTTTCTTGCTCATAACGTATCTGTCCAAGAAATTTCAGGTCAGTGGCATGCAGGAAATTTTGCCAGTGGCGCAGAGAGAATGACGGAGAACCATACTCTGATAAACTAAGAGACTGCCTTACGGTGGGAGAGTAAATATCCCACTGAGGCTTCCTTCTCCCTCCTCAAAGAGCCTAACTTACCACTGAGTTCTTTGTAGCTCAGGGGAGGAGCATCCCAAGGTCTGGGGCTCGATTTAATGAGATATCTTAAAGATTTAACTACCTTTGCAAGAAGGAACTTCTCCGCTCCATTCCCCATTCTCGCAGACAATTTCATTTTTACCTACGAGCGTGTATGATGAGTCGCACTGGAATTTGTATCGATCGCCTGCTTTGTTACCTTGACCAGTGAAGTGCCCGTTTTTAAATGATGTCGAAAACTGCTCGCACCCTTTCGAAGCTGTCAGACAAAACATATTGAGTTAAGTTACTTAAATATGACTGATTCAAAACCATTATCTTATATGTGTTCGCATTGTCACATTCACTAACCTTTTATGCAGGTTGGTTTTGATCCATCCCAGACCCCTCCACGGCAAGACATTTTGTCTTTTCCAACCATTGTGTAACCATTGTTACAAGTAAAATGATGCGTTACTTGATCTCCTGAGACGTCCCTTCGTACAAACCCACGATCAAGGCTCAATACAACGTTACATCCTTCAGAGGCAAGATTTAATTCAAAGTTATCCAGCTGCTACTTAGTTTCCAAGGAAGTTCCCTTTATTGCTTACCAGGCTGCGTGGCGTGCTAGTAGCTATACGTATTTGCGATGAGACAGTACGACAGGTGTATTGAGATTTAAAACTTTGCCTTCTTCATAAAAGGTGATGCTTAACTCAAAAAGAAGGAACAAAAAACATGAGTTTGATTTCATGCTCGCATTTGTCTCACCTTCATCATGTAAATCCCTTTTCATGCCCATTAACCATTCTTGGAACTCCTTGGTAGCCTGGCCGATTCCAAATCTCCCTGTTATTGCGATGTCAAATATGCATTGAAATGAGTGGTCGCACGTCTTGAGCGCCCTCTTTTTCATGCCACTTTTCATCTTGGATGTTATTGGATAATATCCTTCCATAAACGTTGGGATATAAGAAGGATAAAAAAAGTCCCTATGAGCCTCTTCTGGGCCGTACATGAACAGAGAATCGATCTCTTTCGTCACCCCTAAATGAACGATTGAAGGAAAAAAAGAAAATTGACATCTCATCATGAACCCTCTTATGTACTGTTGCCAATTTTTTTCGTAGCTCCTTGCTAAGCTTTATTTACAAACTTAAAGTTGTAGTTTTCCCTATGCTTTGGTAGTGTTTTGAAGCCAGCACAACTGTGCTGATTAATCTGTTGTGAACATTAATGACTACAGGATAAGAGAGACATACATTGCTGACCAAACTTGTAGTGTAACTCGGACATGGTTGACGCGGTGCTGAGGACTTCGTTGTTTGGTAGAAGATACTCCTTATCACTATTGTCGTCCCAATAGCCGAGAAGACCGCTTGTTTTTCCTGTAAGAGTGCAAATCGTTCAGATTCAGACGAAACATTAAACGGTTTACCATGAAGTGCAGCGTTTCCTCTTAAAATAAAAAGCAGCTAAAGTTGATAAAAATGATAAGGACAAAATTCCTGAGACTGTTTCAACCATCCACATTGTTCAACCGTTCACCTTTCTAGGTTTACATTTGAAGAATTCACTCACCTTTGAACTTTACAGGGACAACTACAGCCATCTGCAAAACTGGTGCGGCATTTTCAACATATACAGTAATCCCTGAAGTAAAGGCAGCAATTACTCTTGGATTGTTTTCACGAAGGCTGTTCTTAACAAGCACTCCTCTAGATTGTAGTTCGTGATCAAAAATGACCAACTTTCTGTCGACAAGAATGTCTATTGTTTGCCGTTCATTTAGTTGCATCTACGGGATAAGAAAATACAGTTTATGTCAATTTTGTTCATTTTTTTCTATAAGCGACACAACCCAGTTTATCTATTACTTTAGATCACACCAACCCTCTAACTGAATAGTTATTGATGGTAAAACTTTTATTTTCACTTTCCTACCCCATTCCCGATCTATCTTACGCTGAAACAGGGTGCAGTAGGAAGACGAAGGCTCTTCATAAGAAGACTAACCTAAAGTATTCAGTGAGAATCAAGCCATATTTACGCAGAGTTTGAAACCCGAGAAAAACTCACCTGAATAAGGCTACTTTTTTGCTCTTTCATGGCGAACGCAGTGAAAACTGTCGCAGGTGCTTCTCCACTTTTCTCACCTTTCAAAGGTTGCATTCTCCCTTGGAGAAGAAACCGTGTATTGTCGACGTTGAGGACTGTATACTCGCCAAAACCATTAAACGTATATTCCACACCATCTAAAGTTTGAATATGGGGATCACCGAATGCTGCTCCTAAAATCGAAATGAAAATGTCATTTTTAAATCAGACTGCCTCCTGAGTGGAGCTACCCTCAATCAGTTACAACTGGTTGTGTTTTAAATTGATAAAGGACTTAAAAATAAGCTTAGTTTAGATTTGTCCCCAAGGAAAAGCTGGCGGAAAGTTATCAGCAGTAACCTCATACGTAAAGCAATAAAACTAAAGAAAAAATTAATGCTGACACCAACTTGGCTTTGCCATAGTTTTAAAAACCCTGTTAAAGTTTTTTTTTATCTTATAACTTGGATTCAGTCCTTGAAATAAAGACAGGGATTTCTGTTTGTCTAGAAAGAGCAACACACTGCATACACATGATAATTCCTCAGGGTATCAGTTGAATCAGTATCTAGTAGATCGACAACATCGAGCAATACTTGCCAATGTTAGGAGGGAGATATCGCGTTTCAGATGTCGTCAGCTCTTGATATTTAAAGCAATTGTTAGAAAACATACAGCACTGCAGATAAGGAATGATTTTGTCCCATATGGAAGGGAATATTGATCCGCTCGTGACAGCGTGTTTGTTTTGATTTACGAACTCGCCAGGTGGCCCTGCAGTCAATTCTCCTTCCTTGTCATAGCAACATGCTCGCGTTATTCCTCGATCGCTGGAAGACACCCACAAAGGCAATGATTAAATTGTGGCTGGAAAGATGGTCACAACATGTAGCAATAACAAACTGATAAAGAGAATTCAGAGTAGCATTTTCAAGTTTGATAATACTTGATCCTGAGTAATGTTTATCAGCATTTTATATTTTTACCCACCTCGTAACTGTTGTTTTGTAGCATGTTTCGACCTTTCTATAGTAGAATTTACAAAGAGGCAAGATATTTGTATCGCACAAGTCGTGTTCCCTGAAAATTCCAATGTCTGCGTTCATCTGTCGTCGAGTCTTGGGGCAGGGTGTTAAGTGGTTATTACTTGCTGGTGAAAAATTTGAGATATTAATAATACTTGATTCCTCCGTGAAGGATGGCAAGGTTGTATTATTTCATCTACCCTTAACAACGTTCTGGTTACGCCAGCAAAGAGCAACGACTTCACTTTAAGTCCAAGAAGTAATTAACGTGCAACTTCTTCCTTTTATATCCGTACTTTATCCAGCAAACAGGTAATGAGAATACTTAAATATATCAGGTAGAAGTTTTTATGTGGAATCTAAAATGAAATTCTCTTAACTAGTTTACAAGGAAATGAGTAGCGGTTAGATTGGAGTATTAACGATTAGATCTTGGAAGTTAAAAGGTTTTAAAACTATGGGCGGTCGTTTGGGACCTATATATTATTAGAATGCACATTATATACTCACTTGTCATGAGAGAATGCGTTTGATTTTGTAGCCAACTTGAGCAGCTTCCGTTGGCCGCAGTCTGATTTGTTAGCAGGAAGAGTTCACTTCCGATCCACTCCCTTGCCACGAACTTGTTGTAACTGTTTCCAACCAAGCTTCGAACCCGAACCATCTGCAACGTTTCTGGTATATTTGGGTTCTTTCTAAGGGAAAAGGAGAAATGCAATGAAGAAACACAAGTTGGAATATTCATATAGTGATGAATCTGACTCAGGTTATGTGCAATCGATATGAGCAAGAGAATCAATTGAAGTGAATATCGTTACTTTTGTTCGATTTTCTAAAATTTAAACGATTGTCTCCAAGCTACAAACGCTACGTGAAAGGTTAGATGCGATGTTTTCTACTAAATGCCCGTGAAATTCTATGCTCTGGACAAGAAATGTTGGAGCGTGGAATGGATTAGTATTGTCACCGATATCCCATTACAATTGAAAAAAGCCTGATTATGTGATAACAACAAATTTCAAGCAGGTTTTTGCCTCCTGAACCTAATTTAAACAGGGTTAAAAATAACTGGAAATTACAAAAAATCACGGTTTAGTTCATTCAGTTCTTACAAATAACAAAAACCATGGAAAAACGGACAGTTTCTCTGTATTATCGACTCACCTCAAATTTTCCATAAGGGGCAGATCAAACTCAGCTTTCCCCGTGTTCGGCTGGCTAAACACGACTGTAGTATAATTATGAAATTCTCTACCACTTTGATTGTATGATAGATTTATAATCTCTATTGTCACTGGCAAGTCAGCTGCCAGGTCTGAGACATTCCAGGTGATGTTTACTCGGTTCCCTGTGGTCCATGTATCTGGAGCCTTTCTCTGCACAGCGGTATCGTCAAGAAAACCAGGTTCTGAAATCCAATATGATAAATGCTCATTTAGAGCAGGTAATTGCCTTCCTCTTGTTTGTTAAACGAATGATTATTGTTACCTTGCTTCAATGTAGAGATATAGTCACATCTAAATTTATCAAAAGCTGTATCACTTCTAAAGACCCTGACCAGGATAAGAGCACCACAAGACGTAGAAGAAGGAGAATAAGCAACATAACAACACCAATCATCAACACAAAGTTACAACATCGACAGCAAAAAATTATTGGGATAGTATGGTAAACAAAATGTTCTAAAAATTTCCTAGGCATACTAAAAATTATTACTGTTAATAGAATAACAGAGATGGTAGATAAGATGGCTCGGATTAGAAATAGAGAAAGACGTTTTTCGTCTTGTCACGAGCATGAGACAAAGGAAAAATTCTGAGTTCCCATGAGGAATCAAACCTCAGACCCACAAATTCCGCGCTCCGATGCTCAACCATTGAGGCACAGCCGAGACTCTACGGTGAGCGAAGTGTACCACGAAGTTCATGTGACTGGCGCCCTGCATACAGCTAGGATCAGCAATGTCGATAGTGTCATGTTTGTGAATACAATAAGAGAGATGGTAAGTTTTGAGCTCGGTAAAGAAACAGCGAAATATATTTTTCGTCATGTCACGAGCGTGGCTTAATGGTAGAGCATCGAAGCACGAAATCCGAAGTTCTGAGGTTCGATTCCTCATGGAGACTTAGTTTTTTTTTTCTTTGTCCCACGCTCGTGGCAAGACGAAAAACATCTTTTCCCACATTATTATTGAATCTAGCTTTAGGAAATTTTGAAAAATTAGCCTGTTTGGCAAAATAACTTAGTCAGAATTTGAAATTTGCTGAACGCAACGAGGTTTAAAAGATTTTAGTTTCCATGATACTTACCCAGGTCAAATTCTTGCGCGAACTTTAAATCATCATTTTCATTCGGGTAGATGTAAAAGACGGATTGATGTTTTCTCGTAGGTAACAAAGGAACGGTACAAATGGCTTTCGTTTCGTTGACTTTGTATCCTTTGGCTACACCGATATCGCCAAATTCGCACCGCAACTCAATACCGGGCCAATAGCACAGTCCAGTGATGAGGATGTTGGAGCCACTGTTTAGCTTTCCACCGGCCGAATGAATGGATACTGTGCCTTGGATGTTAATAACAATTGTAAAAGGAAGTAGTTACTCCAAGAATACACCTTTTATGGACGCACTATTTCTATTCGACTGGAGGGCGATGTTTGCTAAAACTTTTTTTCAGGAATGGCACGATGTTACTTAAGACGGGCCAGTGCTTTACGTCATCTTATACTCTCGGCCTTTGGAGCTAAACTTGAGCAACTAGAATTTTTCATTGTGCCTTTCTAAACCAGTTAAACACCAACATAGGATGTGAATACATGCTCTAAATGTCAGTAATGAGATGACATTCTACAGCAATGTAGTTTGCAAAGCCTTGAAAACCAAACGTAGATTAACTTTTTGGGCTCAAAGATAACGATGTCAATCTGATTAGAGAGTGGGCAATGAATGAGAGAGAAAACATACAGTTATCACCTTAAAAGGGTAAAAGTGTTTCTTCAGGATTTCAGTCTTACCTGAGGTTTCGCATCTTTTTTCGTTCATATCTTTTTCGGTATCAACTTTGAACAGCCAAACACCCGGCTGACCACAGTTAGTTCTGTTTACTAGACTCAAAAGTTCTTTTGACCCGGAGAATGGTACATTTTGGTATGAGGATCCGAAGCTAAAGCCAACCTTTGTAAATATGAAAATGAAGAATCTTGTACTGGGTTCTTCCATTACTGTTTTTAATAATATTATTAATCGTCAAATGAATAAATGCGTCAAAGGTAGTAAAATATTTTTAATCTGTCCAATTTATTTCCCAATTGATCGTCATTCATCCCTTCTTTTCCTTCGTTCGCTCGCTTGTTCTTTTGTTACTTACGCTTATTCTTTCATTCATCCATTTAATTCATCTTTTCTCATGCAAACATCACAAAATTCAGGCAAAGATGGTTGCTTTTTGTTATGAATATCATTGCCTTGATTCCATATTATTTAAATCCTTTTAAACCCCAGTTGCAGTTACCTAGAATACGTTGAGACTACGCAAAATCTTTGAAACCCTTTATGATTACAAGTAATGAAAAATTTTAAAAGCAACCTCCTTGTACGTTCTGGAAGAACTGAAAAAGACTAAATCTCATTATTTTAGGGAGGATTTCGTTTGAGCGTCGCCAAACCAAAACCAAAGTGATCACAACAGTCAATGATCGGAATAAAGGAAACAATCTTAGTCGACCAATGAGAATTGGAAGTAAGAATAAGCAAACTGTCAAAGCTCTGGGAAACATGAGTGACGAAACTGCGATGGGTTTTAGCTTTGTATCTCATTGCTTGCATATGAAAGTGGTGCAAGTTTTCGAGTGAAACAGTCACTCAGCCAAATAATACAAAACGAAAGTAGTCCCGGATAACTTTCGACACTCTATTGATGTAGATAAATTTCCAAAGATAAAAAAAAAAATTTTAATTTAAAAATTTTTAAAAGATAAATTTCCAGCCTACTAAATGAAAGTCCTTGGTAAATACCTTTGCTGCTTTGCCTCCCAAACCTCGATTGTTCCCTCCATGCAAGGTTCCAGTTGTCCAAGAAAGGTTATCGTAGATGTATGAGACAAATGTCATATGCTCTCCACCTGCTATGACAACTTGGAATGTGTTTGTCTGAAAGACAAGAAACGAAAGGGTTTATGGTGAATTCGCCCCATTGCAAGTTCGCCCCCAACCACCTTTGCGAGCAATCGAAGCGAGTGATTGCAGTGTGGCGAATTCGCCACTTACCAACGAAAGAATACCACTATATATGAAATGACCAAATGAAAAAATTCACTTTTCTCAAGAATGCTCAAACACTGTCACTTACATTCTTTGTGTATATACCACTGGCTCCATAGAATGAGACTTCATTCCATGTAACGATGGCAACCCAGTTTGCCACAAATTTTGTGTCGCGTGGAAATGCGCGGATGACGTCTCTCGCTGCCCTAGAAATGATCGCTTGTTCGGTAGTAACTCGATACCAGACCCTACCTCCTCTTATTGTATATACATCGGCCCAATATGGTGCGGCTACGTACGTGTGGCTGTTAAGCGGAAAAGATGATGGCTCTTGGGATTTCAACGAAGAACCAAACGAGATGAGTCCATTTTCATGTATCTAGTGGACGAGATTTCCAGCTAGATTAAACTTAATATTGCTTTTTACTGCAATAACTTAGGTTAAATATAAAGAGACAGACTGTTGATTACAAGTTGATTACAACTCGTCTTTTTACCATTATCATGATACTGAAGCAGTTAACTTAATGGAATGTTCTTCATACGATTTCCTTATGTTTCTGAAGAAACGAAACAAATCATATGATGGAAAATGAAGTATCAGAGAATTGTTATCCTAAAACCAGCGACTTCAATAACAGACGGTTGCTGCCGTCTTTTTAGCCGCGAGCTAGCTTTCTTTATTAGGATCGCCTTTCGGCACAGCCGCCAATAAGCAGCTGCTTATATTACGAGCTATTAAAACCCTTGTAAAAATATTCTTATTCGGCTTAGCGAACATTTTTTTGTAATTTCCCCGGTTTAGCCCCTTGTTAACGATTTTACTCTGCAAAGATAACAACTTCAAAATCGGTCCCTCCGCTGATTTTAAAATCATCAACGACGGCGAATGCCACGGAAGATAAAAATCAGCCCTAGGCAAATAGATTAACCTTCTTTTCATGCAAAAGCGTTTACCCGCGGTTATTTCCCCCACGAGGAAGTTGTTGATTTAATAAGAATTTGGACGTCACGTCATGTAATATGTATAGCTACGTTAAACATTTAAGCAGATTAAAGAAGCACGCGGGGAACTTAATTTTGTAGATTTGGAAGTATAGCTTCGAACATCGGTTTTAATTAGCAAACGGATAATTGCCGAATTTTCCAGAAGGTGTCAAAAAAATGTACCAAAATAATTGTTAAGCAAAGTTTCCTTTCACCAGAATTTCAAATTCTGTTATGACACATTGTACGCTTATATAGACTGTTTCATCGCAGTTACGACGAATTCTTCAAAAAAAAGTATCACTGAATTATGATTCAAAAGATATGTTAACATGCACTCTCCTGCACTCCATCTGATGTTATTTTCTAATTGCGTCTTGGTATACAGAAAAAAAACCTGTATTTCAAACTCTTCAATTCATGTACCCTGTAGGGTGCCAAGAAAAAATGACCCCTTACTTCGTCTTCATACATTTTTCTTCGCCTTTTTCAAGCAACTTTTTCAAGTTATGAGAGTCACCCGATGTTGACAGCGAGCTCAATCCTGAAGTATACATCAGTTATTTACTTTGGTGGTACTTTGGTCGTCCTCATACATTTTCCTTCGCCTTTTTCAAGCATCGTACACATAATCTTTATGAGAGTCGCCCGATGTTGACGGCGAGCTCAATCCTAAAATATACATCAATTATTTACTTTGGTCACAAAAGTAATTCTTCCATATAGTGAGCTGCGATGTCTGTGATTCAGATTTCGATTATAGAAAACGCTATGCGTTTGCGTAATCAAAATACGTGAGCCTTGCCGCCTACCATTCGGTAACAACGGTCAACCCAACCGTTTTACAGTAAAGGGGCACTCAAAAATATTTTAAAAAAACTAGTAGAATTCCTCAACGTACTGTTTACATTGCTTTTAAAATCAGAGAGCTGGTATTTGACTTGAAAACTGTAGTAAATTGAAAGTTACAAAAATTATCAAATTTTACCGCAACGAGAAAACTAGGAATTACCCTAAAGGGCCGCATAAACCTGCAATGACCATTAGATGTTTGTTCATACGAAATGGTGGTGAAAAAAAATGACAGGTATGTATTTCATAACACTCACTGGTGAATACACGAGAAAAACTCTGGTGGAAGTGGATACTTTGAGTATGCATTATCAATAAGAAAACAAAGTATTCCCTGGCAGTTGAAATAATTCAACAATAAACAGGACTTGCTAGCATGCACCACACATACAGTTACGTTCAATGACTACCCGACGTTAAAGCTAGTCTACGTATATGCTCTATCTAAAGTTAAGATGATAGCTAAGTTCGTGAAAAGCGCGTTGATACAAACGCTGAGCGAACGGCAGAAATTGAATTTTAATGTCTGTTAATCATCCCGGTTTGAGCATAAAATATAGCAAAATTTGCATCCTTTGTGAATGTTTTATTTTTCTACTGAATCTATTCAAAGCTTGAAAGGAAAAGAAAAGAAATAAGAGGTAAATTTGCCGTCCGCTCACAATATCTATTGACGCTTGCAGTTCAACTCTCATGTAGATTCGTTCACATTTTGAATCAATGAACTTTTGAATATGTTGGCCTGGTCCCAAGAACTCGTAACTCCTTCACTATGAAGCCATCTGATTTTGTTTATAAAAGAGAAATAAAAAAGCCTAAGGGAAGAAGGAAAACAAAAATTTCTCTTCTGTAATCTACCGACTCAGTGAATCAGATTCGTTTTGAGTGAAAATTCAAAGTATTCAAGAAGATTCAAATCAAATGATTGATTTACAAAAGATCGCTAGGAGATATATTCTCACTCCTTAAAATATTACTTTTTCCTGCCCGATACTTACGTAAAACGATTCGACCTTCAGTTCGAAGAAATGAAACGGCGGTGTTGAAATTGCGTCTGAGCTCACATCATCTTCCACAGGCAAAGGTGAGTCGCCAGCTTCTTTACCGAAAGGATATAACTTCGAGGTGTACCAACCACTGATGGTGCAACGAACCATTGTTTTCACAAAGACCAGAAAGATAAGTTTACGAAGTGTTCTCATTTCTAACAGCCAGATTAGCATGTTGTAGATTAGTTCATACTGTTGTATGCTTCAGGTGTGCGGGCGTCGTAGTAGCTTGTTTTTGTTTAGTCTCGTCCACTTTGGAAAGTCTTTGAGAATTCGTAACTTCATCAATACCAAGTTCTGCTTTCCAAGCTTCACAGTCTTTGCAAATATTCTTCGTTCGCCTTCTTCGTGGTCCAAAACGCACTGTGACCATAACCACAAACAAGGATAAAATTAATTAAGCGCCGGTGGGTCGAATGAAATATGATGTTTGGACTTTTAAAAGGTCATTTACGTGACTAATTAACATAATAATGAAAGTGAGAAAATGGAGATCGGACATCAGCTGCCTGTGTAATGTGAGTTGAGTCAGATGTTCTGACTATCAATGTTTATCGCAATGCCTGGGGCCTTGTTTTCGAGTGCTGTTGTTGAAAAGCACTCAAAAGCTTATAGCCTGAAAGCTTACATTATTGTTCGAATAGATGACATATTTACTCTGTTGATTCTGATATTTAGATATTGATAAAACACCTGTTTAATACTGCTCTGCTACTTGAATTCTTTTCAAGTTTGCTCGTGTTTTTTCTGGCGCTCGGTGTGAATTATGACCCCTGTTTGAGAGAACTTTCTGAACGAAATTTAACTTTCTCGCTTGGCTTTACACAGGGATGAGCAAACTTACTGTTTGAATGCTTATAGGCGATGCAGGTGGGTTCGTTGGGAGCAGTTAAAAGATGAAAAATTACTCTTGGAAGGCATTAAAAAACTGCAATGCTTTCAAAATTTGCCAACCATCGAATTACAGTAGCAGAGTTGAGTAATTATGAAACCGGCTGAATTAAACAAGAGAAATGTGTTTGCGGTGAAGGAACAAACTTAAAGAGAGCGAAGTTAAAAGGGTTGTGTTCACTTAACGATGACAGTCGAAATTATTTCACACCAAGTTAAGACATTTAAACCAATAGCATAGTGCGCAGTTTTTTTACGTAGGGGTTAATATCTTGAATTTACATAAACATAGTGGGTGTTGTTTCCAAACAGAGACAAATAGGCTCGACTAAAACGAACACTTATAAAAATGGAATAATGGTAGATTGGATGGGATGACAATCCGCCTGAGCATAATTATGAACGGAGCACAAATAAACAACTATTCGTAAATGAAAAAGCTGACCAATCTAATCAGAAGAAGGACTTATACAGAGCTCTATAAAAAAAAGCTCCTTTTTGTGTAACCTTTAAAGCTTTCGCTTAAAGGGCTACATTCATTATATTTCAGAAATTAGCGCGAAGTGACCGTAATTATTTATGGATGTTGAATAAATTTGCCTCAGAGAAAAGTCTCAAGGCTTCGGCTAAATTTTTTGTTTTTTGTCTTTTCTTGTCTCTTTACATCCTGTAAAAAACTTGAGAAGTCTGAATTTGAATTCCGGTTTATGATTAATTATGCCCAATCATATTTGGGCTTTCAGAGTATATAAGATATGGTGAGCAAACACGAACTACTTAATCTTCCCAAATATATCTAAAAGCTTTATAGATAGCCCTAAGGGTATTCATACATATTTTACAGGCTGTTTTGAAAATTTAATTAAGAAGCAAATTGAAGCGTTAAGTCATTATGTGGGATAGAAAAGATCCTTCATCGTTTTCATCAATGTTTCTTTTTTTTTTCTCCCATAATATCGAAGGGTCAATCGAACCGGCCGCAGGTGTAAAAAAGGAGGAAAACGAAAAGATTATGAAGTGTTTGAGCAATCAAGCATGGATCTACAATCCTCATCGGTACACTTTAGATGAAAATGGTGTTCCTTTTGGTAAATTTTTTGCGGGTAACTTCTTTTTTTTTCTTTCATCTTTTTTCCAATACAGATTCAAATTCCGTTTTTCTTAATCCAAAAATCATTTCGTTTGAGGAAGTCTTAGCTTAAGCAATGAATGGAGAATCACTGCAAGATTTAATTTGTCTCCACCTGAAAACAAGAGAGGAGCGATAAGTTCTCTTTCACCTGACATGTTAGCTGTGATTGACATGTGGTAGTTACGTTTACGATTCCTTCAAAAGAGGCCCTGGCCTAGAAACTTCACATCAGCAGGAACTACAATGTTTTCAACACTTACAATTATTCCGTAAAACGAATGATTTGAATCACAGGTAACAGGCAATCTTGAGACACCGATCTGATACAATCTATGACAAAAAAAGACAATATTAGCGCACTTTACATCACTACGCAGTGCAACATTTTCGTCAAGTAATGGGCGAAGGATTTTGGTTGCGTCAGGGTAAAACTTACCTCATCCCACCATAAGGCTTTGCAATATTCTTTTGACCCCTCCCCCCCCCCCATCAATTTGTCAATCAATTCTCTTAAGACTTCCTTTGCACTCTGTTGGCGATCCTCCCTCCGTTTCCCCTGAAAATCATTGCGTCCCCGCAATCCCCCTCTCCCCCTCCCCTCAGGCCCCGTCCACACGTATCCGGATAAATTTGAAAACGGATAAATATTTATCCGTTTTCAAATTTATCCGCGTCCACACGTTGCCGTTTGTGAATCGTTTTTGGTGTCCACACGTAAACGTCAAACAATGCCGTGATGAACTGAACAAAATGTGCAGAATTGAACCACTAAATGCTAAGTTTGAAGGGGCCAAAGTAACTTCTGTTGAAACAGTGTTTAAAATACATATTTCTAATTTCCTGAAGCAAAACAGTGACTTTGACCCCATCACTGATAAAATCAAAATCAATGGTGATGGTGCCAGAATGACGAGAAATTCAAATTTTATTTTACTTTCATTTTCTTGTTACGTCATCGTTTTCAAATCGTTTTCAACGATTAGCCAGCGTTTTCAAATTTATCCACTCTGGAGAGCGTTTTCAAATTGATCCGTTTTCGGTGTGTGAAAACGCCGTTTACGTGTGGACGGAACCCGTAACCGTATAAATATTTATCCGTTTTCAAATTTATCCGGATACGTGTGGACGGGGCCTCAGGGTGATAACTAATGATTGCTCCCTTACTGGTGCAAACTAAGAGCCACACAAACACAGCTCACTCACGAAGTTTGGGTGCACACATCATATCCCATAACCCCTTTGCTTTATTGAGAAATGTAAAAAGCAGTTTTTCTTCTCTTTTGGTAAAGAAAATCCCTCAGAATGCCCTGAAAAATCTTTCAATATCCATAAAATCCCTATCTATATCCTGCTGAGTCCAAAAATGATGTTAAATAAAACATGATTAAATGAAATATGCAAATGAATGAAAAGAACGTAATAAACCAAACAATAAAATTTTTACAGAACAAGCCAACAGACGAAATAAAATAAAATAAAATGATATAAAGTAATATATGAAAATAAAACCAAGCACCACGCATGTACCAAGTTTTCCCGTTTGGAGAAGGTAGAATATCGCATGCAGTCTTTTTAGGGGCAATCCTTTGCGTTTGAAGGTTCTATGCATTGAATTAAGCGGTAGCTTTTAACAAAAACACACTACAGGCGGTCGTTTCTTTTGCACAATATTAGCAATTCAAATTACCGATGAGCGTGCAATTGCACCAGTCACGCAATTGTGTGCTGGTGATGCCTCCGTTCATTCGCGTAAGGTACGAAACAAGAAACTGGATTCTCGTCACAAAGGTTTTATAGAGGTAAATTCTCTTTCAGTGTTCTTATTTTACTTACTTATTTTGCTTAGGAGAGCGTTTTAAATCGAAATATTAATGATGAATTATCTGGTATCACTGTATTTCAACAACATATGTTCTATCCGCCCAAAATTCATTCGGACGCTATAGACAAAATGATAAATTTTCTGCTCGAAGCAAATAAATGATCGGTTCTTTCTGCTAATGCCACAGCAGAAAAAGTAGAAATTGACCAATTTGTGTACATTTTGGCCTCTGATTGCGGACTTCTTGAGAATAAATTGCACTTGTACAACACACATACTTTCCGATACTCTCCAATAGTGGTCACATATTATCAAAACAATTCGCATAGAGACCTCGTTTTTAGAAGGTATCTTAAATTATACCCCTAACTCTACTTTCATTTCACTCTGGGACGAAAATTTGGTCGATTGGACCGATTATTTTCGTCGATAGGACAGCGGTAAGACAGTCGATATCAGCTCTATTGGGGAATGAATGTTTAATGTTAATGTTAATAGCGTGTTAACAAAAACTGGTTACCAATGAAACAAAAGTTATGTTTTCATGTTATCCATCCTCAGCTAAATCATATTTGAATATTTTTGCCTCCTTCATATCGTCTTTTTGTCTAAACTTTAAACTTAAAAATGTTAGGTGTCGCTAGAAAAGCGGTAGATGTTGACACCTTTGCACCTTCACAGTCACGCAACCGGATCATCTTGTATTCCGTGCGATTTAACAAATTTTAATGTTGGTGACCAAGTTGATCCTGTGATAATTTTATTTTTCCCTATGTAAACGAGACATCTATTATTGATGAATTTATTCAACCACTAAGCGCGAAATTGAGAACGCCATGCATAGTTGAATCAGAAATAAAAAATATATCTGTATTCATGTAGCGTTCCCTATTACATCGTAACCCATTTCTTCCCAGAAATGTCTTTGAATGTAACATTGTGCCTTTGAATTTAATTAAGTGCTCCAGAGTTCTTGATTTAACAGAAACCATTTTTAATTTTTTCATTTCATGTTTATCAATCGAAGATGTCATGGTGATTACGTATCCTTTATGATTTGGTTTTTTGGTACGTATATTTTTCCGTGCTTACGACGGTTTAAGGATTTTTTTTCTCTCTATTTTTTCTCCGCATCCCACGATGAGCGATTGAAAGGAACTAAGATAATGTTTAACTTGGTGAATTTGCCTTTGGTGTTCTAAAAGAGCAAAGGAAAAGTAACTTTTAATTCTAAAAACCTAAAATGATAAAATAATGGAGTAAAAAAAAAGCCTACAGGGGCATGAATATGCTATTGAAGAAACAGTGTAGTTAGGGAAGAGACAATTACTTCAAATGGTAACTGATGCACAGTATTGACCTCAAAGCTCCTTTACTAGTCTGCACTCAAGTCAGGCGGTCTCTTTAGCATGAAGGGCCCTGAAGTATTGTCACTTTCCCTGGATGGGAGGATAATCCATTCCTTAGGCCTGATAAGCCTGAAGCGTTTCGTTAGGCTTTTCTGTTCACAGTTCACGGGTATCATTCAATGCTCCTAATGTTTAATTATATTTTTATTGCGCCAAAAAATATATATTGTCATTTTTCGTCAGTTGCTAGGCTGATGCGGGATTTAGTTGAATTCATCATGCTTCCAATCGAGCCTGGTTGGCTAAATTTGTTCATTTAGTGCTTTAGATGTCTCTTGGTGTTATTGAATTGAAATACTTCATGTATCTGTTTCATTGGACAGCATCTATTATCATTGTTGCACAGTCCAAGAATCTACTCGCCTTCGGTATGTATTCACAGCTAGTCACTTTTATGATTAGCAAGTCACCTTTTAAGCTATTCAAGCCTTTGTGGCTGTTATACCCTAAAATGTTTCTGAATAAATATTTCAAAATAAAAAGCGTTAATCAAACTAACTCCTCATAAGGTGTGAGACTTAAGGTACACTACAGAGGAACAAATTGGCATCCTTCAGATTTAGCAGCGATTGTCCCAAATGACTTAGGGAAGGTCATTTAGGGAAGAAGTAGATTATGGGTAATTTTCCAATAATGTCATAGGATTGGTCAGTTTGCGTCAGATGGTACAAAATAACGCTCTATGATTGGTTAGGAGCCAGAGTGACCTCGTTAACTACTGGAATTCATTGGCTCCTTATGATGTTTCCCTTTGTTTTGACTGACTGAAAGGATAACTTTGGTTTTGGTATTGCATGTACGCAAGAGGATATCAACAGTTGATATTCCTTTGATGTACGACACCACATCGAAAAGTATTCTATTTTACAGACTGCTCCAGCAATGCTCAGGTGCCGTATGACGGAGATCGGATTATACAAGCTAGTGCTGCCTACACTTGCTCATGGGTGATCACAGTGCCTGAAAACTATACTGTTAAACTCACTATATCAAAGAATAACGTCGCTTCTGCTGGTAACACAAACTGTGTTAATGACTATGTACAGGTAATTATAGCCACGTTCTTATTGCTATGCTGTATAAGCGGATAACTGTGTGAAATATGTTAAATATGGTTAATCTTCTGGAAGCAGCTGTTGTGAGAAGAAGAATGGGAAAAGGGGAATTTCTTCGTGTATAGGCTGGGTTTGTCTCGGGAAAAACCAAATGATAATGTACTGTGCGATAATATAATTGACCTTTGCGTTTTTTTAAGCATTTCGCAACAGTCTAGTTTTGCTGACTATTCTTGCCATTATTCCAAAGATTCGAGATGGTGGGAGCAACACGAGCACCTTGTTGAAGAAAATGTGCAGCTCAAACCCAGGTCCTTCTGTGTTCCGCTCAATTGGAAGGCAAATGTGGGTGGAATACAGTTCAACTCAAACAAGCAACTCCTTCCAAGCTTCCTTCAAGAAGCTTCTTGATCCATCTTGTAAGTAGTTTTTCTTATTTTATCATGTTTGTTAACGTACTTCTTAAAGAGAATTTCCGATCCTGCTTTTTGTATCTTTTTTGACTATGCACCATGACAATGCTGATAGAAATCGTTAAGATTTTCTTAATCTTTCATTGACAGTCTCAACCCTTTAAATCCCATGAGTTACCAAGACAGAATTTCTCCTTAAAATATCAAGACAACATGAAGCAGACAAGTGATGAGAAAAAAGAAAAATATCAATAAGGGGATTATTAGTTGATCCAATATCAAATTCTCCAAAGTAGCACAACAAGAAATGTATGGTAGACAGTAAGGAGAATTACCAACGAGATCTTGGGAGTTAGAGTGTTAATGTTTATATTTCATACGTGGTGACCTGAAACTTGGGCATGCCGCTACGAGTCCTCACCAGGCATTTTAAATCGAGTCTTAAAGCTGCAGGGATTTTTTTTTCTAATAGAGAATTTATTGTCTTGACGTTTCTACTGCGGGTTTATATTTTGAAGTAACTGATAAACGAATCCATGAAAAGTCCATTTGTTGACATAAACCCTTACAGTTTGCCCAAGAAATATCAATTCCAATGGAACCTCAGGATCCATTACCAGTCCATTTTACCCATTGAACTACCCGAGTGACATGGAGTGCACGTGGAATTTAACAGGACCAGCCGGATCGCGGTTTACTCTCGTATTTTACCGGATATGCCTCGGTATCTGCTCGCCCAGCGGTTCGTCGTCCACGCCATGCGCGGACGGTCTGTGTAGTAGTTTAGATATTGGTGAAGTCACAGTAGGCGATCAGCATCTTTGTCCATTTTCTTCGGTAACACCGTTTATTTCAGTGGACAATCAAATCTCTTTGTCCATGTTGACCAATGAGCAAACCTCAAGAGGATTCGTGGCGGATTATCATAACGTATTTCGTGATGAAGGTTGGTGGAATTTGAAATCTATTTATTCTTTTTATTCGATTGGAAGTGAGGTAGGATACCTTTAAACCCATCTATGCAAAAGCAGTTGTATGTCTAGCTTAAAAAATGAAAGAAGAAGAAAAAAACGGGACACTATGAAAACAGTCTCTTTTTCTTTGGACAACGGTCGCTCGGAGTATCACATCAGTTAAGCCATACGAACGAATAGACAACACTCCTTAAGTGATGATCTGGCTATAGCCTACTTATTGACCTATTTTTTTTCTTTTCTCAGAGTAACTGATTTCTTAGTTTTTCATTCCCGTTTCAATCTATGTTCTTATTTCCGCAAATAGATATTGCATTAACCCTATACTTTTCTCAAAAGCGTGCCTTCAGATGACACAACTGACGAACACGAGTGGATGGTTTTCCAGTCCGAACTTCCCTGCCAACTATCCTGATAATATTCAGTGCGGCTGGAATATTTCAATCCCTGCAGGGTACAAGATTTATCTAAATTTCCTGGACTTTGATCTCGAAGATTGTGTAAGCTCGTGCTCTTGCGACTATGTTGAGGTGAGTAATTTCTATACTGTATTAACTGTGGATAAATAAGAGGGGCTGATGATGTATCGTAATTGTCAGGTAGGATAAGGGTACCTCTTGAAGGTTTTTTCAGTCAGTGAGGTTTTCGAACAACCCACTGAAGAATTCCCTCGTTCCTAATCTAAAGACAATCATCATTTTTTTGTATAAAATTATAAACAACTGTTTTTTTTTTCAAGGTTGCTATCGGCAAAGGCAATGCGCAAAAGAAATGTGGAACATTACAGCCGGGTGAATGGAAGGTGAAAAATCTTTTTGGACGTGATATCGTGGTGACGTTTAAATCTGATAGTCATTCAAATAAGAAGGGATTTCAAGCAGTTTACACATTTGTACCTTTAGAAGCATGTGAGTAATCTGTTTACTTATTGTTCTATTTTCTCAAGAGTTAAAATGAGTTCATATATTGCACTTGTGGGTACAGGTACAAAGACTCAATGAACAAAATTGCCAAGTAAGTGCAGGGGTTGTCTGTCTGATCTGCAAAATTCTTTAATGGCACAACCAATGAGAAGCTGCCCCTGAAAAGCAGCACCCAACATGTTCATTGTCTTTAGTGTTGATTCACGGTTTGCCATTGTACCTTTTATAACAACAAGGATACTAAAGGTACTAGGAATTGAAAGACTCAGCTTTCGAAACAAGAAAATTTTCCTTTGCCTGCAAATTTCTTGATCTATCCAGTTGGGTCCCCTTTTTTAAGAATATTTAGTAGCTTCTCCATGAACAAGCATTGGAAATGAATCGTTCATAACTAATGTATCTCATATCCAATGAGTACAAGAGTAATGATCACTGTATTAAAAGGATCAATTTTTTAAAACCTGTCACAATTATTTCTGCTCTGTTTATTTCGCATTTGTGGTGTATGGTGTGATCATGAGATCGGAACCCATGGCAATGAAATTGCAATGTTTTTAACGCATCATGCCTTAATAATATGCAGGAAAAACGCTAAGATATCCAAAATTCACGACCAACACTTGGTTTTATAGCTCCTTTAAATACGCCGCAACTTTTTCGTTTGCACGTTCAGTGCACAGTTCTCTACTTTCTCTGGAAACTTCGATGGTTTAGTTACATAGGAAAGAATGATCTGAAATATAAACCCATAACAGCAGTGTCCTAAAGGGAGTGATTGTAACATGTAACAAAGCTTCAACGTAGACGGAGTGATGCGTTCATCATCAACACCTTTTGCCGGCCCAAGATCCTGTAGGAAACGCGATTGGTTAACGTTATTGCTCGATTGCATCTTAAATATTCAGGCATATCTGTGCACCAGCCCTAGTACAATATTTTACTATTTACTTCTTTTGATGGTTGTTTGTTTTTTGTTGTTGTTTTTTTTATTAATAGGGGAGTCTGTTCCTAATGTTAACTGTCCATGGTCAGAGTCATCTACAACAACAACGCCGACAACTGCCAAAGACAGTGAGGAACAAAGTTCACAGACCACAAAAACAGGTTTGATGCCCTACATTGATGTTCTGCCTGGTAAATAGTTAAATTCGAGCTGAAGAAGTTTTTATGAAAAGAGAAACCATAGGGATGAACATGAAGGAGTTTCTTTACACAATACTATCACATTCTTAAACAGAAGGTTATAACAAATAAATCAGGGGATATTGTTCGATTTTAACACCACGTTTTAAAGGCTGAAACCGGTAAATAAATGTAAGTTAGACAGAGCATAGAATTTTTGAGTTTAAAACTGTAACGATGTACATCGTAACTAGAATTTTGTATAAATTTTTCGCATAGGTCAAATCAGTTTTGCCTTCTTTTTGTCTTTTCAGATATATCTAGCACGGCAGAGGAACCTTCGTCAAATGGAGGCACCGATCCACCGACGCTTCACACTCCACGTAACTCGATAGGAAAGACGCAAGTGAGCAGTTTCTTATGGTTTCTTACAAATTTAGCCCTCGTTGTATTCTCTAGTTGCCTGGAGTGACCTGCCGATTTCCTCGAGTGTTAAGTTCCGATTACTGACATTTGGGACTGTTTCAGCGGTAATAAAAAAGAACGCCCCGTGAATGTACTCAAACTATCATGCATTTCACATAATTGTGCAAAGTTTGTTCCACTCTCAACGGACTTGTAACATCGAGAAAGCAGTCTTAGTCAGTGGTGCTAACTATACACTTGAATCCCAGAGAGTTTTTATTTGGAAATGAAGTGTTTTGTCAAGGATACCTTCAATAACTTTAAGAGTAGGACTCGTTGGGATGTTTTTGAATGGATTTCTTTATACACGTTTGTGAGGGAGATCCAAATCATCTTCTGTACTCAAGGTACTTAAACAAAACTTCATCTTGTCACTTTGTTACAGCTCAGGGAGGACACCTTATTTTAAACATGTTTCTTTCAGGAAACTTTTTATTACAAGTAGAGATACTTTCTCTGTGTACAGAACGCGTCCTCTCACACAACACTACAAGAGCCGCATAATATTTTGACGTTACTTTCAAGGACAAGAGCATTTACACTTTTGTTTCTATTTTCAAAGGAAACTCTTTTTTCCTGTCTGCACGTTCTCTCTTGATATTTACCTCGTTGATTTTCATCATAGTCACATATAGCATCGGTTACTAGTTGTGAAAGCCAACCAAAATGAAAGATCATGATAACTATCGCGTGGTTCAGGATGAAAGCTCCCTAACCGTGCAAAATCCTAGTGTGTTATTGTTCACTGATTCTTACTTAATAACCTTTAGGAAAGTTTCTGTTGGTCACTTAACTAAAAACCATTGGAATACTATGAAACTTTGTGCAAGATGCGGTCCAAAAAGCTTGACAGTATAACCTAAACCAAGAAATCTGTTGCCTTTCCTAATGTACAATATCTACTGTGCCATCCTCGACGAGGTGAAACGAAGTCCATAACTAAAATGATCACTAATATTAAAAGTTGATCAGTTTGACATATTATGGTATTTTAAAATTCCGTCTTTTCTGTGGTGTCGAACTAGTCCCTTCCTCTTTTTTCTCTTGCACCTTCTGGAGGAACAGGTATCCAATGAACCAACCCACGATTACAAGAATTACTATAATTACAACCGCCACGTTTATCTCACATTCTTCGTAACTGGGACCTAGCAGAAGGGACAGGAATAGAGCAAGAATATTTCTTTTTATTCATTAAGTGGCCCATTAATGAATTTGACTAAACCCATCTTTTTTATCAATCGTTTATCTACGAAAGACGAAAAATAGCAAACAAAAAAAGGGGGGGGGGGAGAAGGATTGATAACAGAGCTTAAGGGGTAAATAACGTCTGCATGCTCTTTCGAAAGGTGCAGGTTTTTTGTTTTTTCTTGTAGCATGAAAGGAAAGTCAAATAACTTGATCATTTTATACCCTGGCTTATTCATCTTTTTTCTGTAAGATTTGAGAAAGTGAATGGCTCCATTACGTTTTAATACTTGGTTAGATGTATAAACATATCAACATTGATGGAAAAGACCAGGGTCATCTAAGAGAGAAAACTTTAAAATATCTAGGAGTTTGCAAACTCCAACGTCCAATTGAAACCATGGACTCCAGAGTCTAATGTCTCAGAGGCGCTATGTTACCAATTAATGCACAATCGTGCAGAATGACAGTGAAGCTTTACGCACCTATTTCAGTGCTACAAGAGGCATTTTTATCTTTCTCATGACAACCAGCTGAGCTGTTGAAACCGCCTCTTAGGATCGTCTTGTTGGCTTGACTCTTATCCATCTTCGGAAGTCGGTGTAAGCTTACTGAAATACAGTAAAATAATCCACGACCCACTAAAACCACCTCTTAGGATCGTCTTGTGGGCTTGACTGTTATCAATCTTTGGAAGTCGGTGTAAGCTTACTTGGTGGCTGAAAAGACAATAATGATAATGATAAGGAATTTATATAGCGCTAAAACTATAACCAATATTCAGAAGCGCTTTACATAAGTTAAAGTTCTATACCAATTAAAATTAAAATATTCAAAGGCAATAAACATTAGAACTATTGAAACAAACTGAAAGCTTTCCTAAATAGAAATGTTTTAAGTTGCTTTTTAAAAATGGCGAGGCTACTACTTGTTCTTATAGTTAATGGCAGCGAGTTCCATAAAACAGGTGCAGCATGAGCAAAGACCCGATCCCTAAGTGAAGAGCAGTTGGCTTTTGGAACGAACAGAAGAGATTGAGCAGACGAGCGAAGAGCATAATTAGTAGCTGGTTTCAGGGACAAAAGATCTTTAATGTAGGGAGAACTTTGGTTGTGTAATGACTTGTAAACAAAGAGGAGCAATTTAAACTGAACTCTGAACGTTACTGGGAGCCAATATAGGTCGATAAGTGCAGGTGTGATATGATCAAATTTTGGAATCTGAAAAATCACTCGAGCCGCAGCATTACACAGTAAAATAGCCCACGACCCAGTGACAATAACGCTAACTGAATGCAGTTGGAAATGATAATGGCGTTACCAGACGTGTATTTCGAAATGACTGTTCCAGACACATCTACGCTATTTATTCACCTGGAAAAGACAAAATCTAGCGTTTACGTCGGACATGATTCTCATTTCGTGTTAGTGTAACCTTTTCACTCCCAAGTTCTTCTCCTTAATTAATTTTATCCTTTAGCTGCAAGACATTTCCTTGTAAATTGCCGGTTACAATAATTTAGTGCAAGAACTATAGATGGCAAATTCTACCTGATAAGTTTGAGTATTCTCATCGCCTGTTTGCTGGATAATGTAAGGATATCTTAGGGAGAAGTGATACTTTAGTCACTCCTGGGAGTAAAGGGTTAAGACATTTATTGCATGAAACCAACCCCTTCTCGGCGAACTTCTCCACTCAGTCTAGAAACTAAGCACAAATATCAACAAATTCGTCCTCACACTGCGTAGAGTTATTCTTCCTCCTTAACTTCCGCGGCATGAAGAGAAAAGGTGTAAATCGTTGTCTTTTAAAGTAAGAGCCATATATATTTACTATTACTATGTTCGGCACTTCCAGATCGACTAAGACAGAACGCGCATACAAGCTTATTGCATGATATTTTGGTTAATGTCTTGTGAAATCGACTTCAGTGCAAGTGGACTTTAAAACACCGATCACGATTAAAGTTTTGTCACATTTTCCCTGTAAATAGTTTTAAATGGTTTTTCTTTTATTCTTAATTCTCTTCACTGCAATCACAATGTTCTTCGTTCGGCTTAGTCGCACATTTCTTTAACGTCGAAAACAAATTTAATTCAAACACCTTGCTGAAAGTCCTCGATTAGATATGACTGGCATGATAGCTTTAAAAATTTAGCCACGGACCGATGACGGGAGACAGCTAAAATTATTCTTTAAGTAATTATTCACAAAACTTGATTGTTGGCGTGTAATATTTGACAATCGACATATGAGATGGATTTATCTTTATATATCTTATCTTATCAAGGATGAACTAACCTGCCATAACTGCTTCTGAAGAAATTAATTGAAAAAGTGTCTGCAAATAATCATTTTTACTTATATCAACGGCTAGCTTTGAACTTTGTTTTGCTGTGAAATCCTACATAATTTATATTTCTTAGAGGTAAAATCTCAATGGTTTTTTACATCTTATTAAAATTCGTTTCCATTTGTAGCCTGACCAATGGCTAATGGCATTCCGACAACCTCAAAGAGGAAGAACTGAGAACTTATTGGGTAAATGATCATTAATGTCACATCTGAAGCGCACTTTTGACAAGAAGTTAATAAAAAAGGGTAAAACCACACTAATCTACTCTTTAAAAACATCGGCAGAGTTCAGTCTGTAAGTGAAGAAACAGATAAAATTGTGAATGAATACAAAATAAGAAAATTGAACGCCTCTATCTAAAATACCTAGAGACATTTTTCGTTCAGCTTTTTTTTTTTTTTTTGGGTTGTCGTCGAGCATATATGTATGCGATGCCGAGAGAAAGTTTACAAGAAAACAATGTTTCACTTAAAAGCAAAGCTCCTATCTTCTGATCTTATTTATATTTTTACTCTCCGATTGATAGCCAAGAAGTGTATTTTGACAAAAGCTTGGTCCTTAGCACTTCCCAATGTTAATAGATAAAGAAATTAAAGTTCCTCGTGGCAAAGATTATGTTCAATCGTAAAACAAAGAGGCTCGGATAAATATACCATCATTGCTGATAGTTCGATGCTCTGCAACCATGCATGGAATCAATGTAAAGGTTTCAGTTGCTGGTCTTTCCTGTGTATTCGGTAGGTAAAGTCTCGGTAAGTAATACCCTTAGGCTGTAGCAATGTCCACAGCATCAAAATTTAATACCTTCAAGACAGACACACGAATATCTCCAGGTATTAATGTGAGCGGTCAGTTGAGAATGGGTCTAAGGAAAGTCGCATTCTCGCACTTAAAAATGAAAAGATAAACTTATTTGAATACTTGGTCGTTACCCTAGGGACAAAGCAGGAGACGGCTGGGATTTTACACATGTCCAGTGCTAGGATTCACACACATATAGCGACGTTTTGAATACTTATTTGAATACTTGGTCGTTACCCTAGGGACAAAGCAGGAGACGGCTGGGATTTTACACATGTCCAGTGCTAGGATTCACACATATATAACGACGTTTTGGGGTTTTTGAGAGGCAGGAAGTCATAAAGCGAAAATTTGTTAGAATAAAAGTTATTTTTTTTAGAGAATGTTTTAAAAAACTGTACCATTAAGTCAGAGAGGCTTAACAGCATGATAATTACAAGAGAGTTCAAACAGAGGCAACACGCAAATTTCAGAAAAATCAAGGTAATTTTATTTCTTTATTTCCTATTTTCTTTTTACTCTCTCACGCGAGATTAAACACCTGAAACTATTCTATGGAAGACAGCATGTGTATCTACCGTACGCTGTTCTTTTCCCCTTCTAGATACATATGTCGAAATTAAGAGAAAATATTGGTCTTGATATTTTCTCTGGGTTTAGATCGAATTGGAATTTTATACCAGAGGCAGTAATAAGGTGGTTCCTAGCCCACTGTTCTCTAAGTCAAAATTGGAACTGATTTAGAATTTTGGTTTTGCTGGTTGATGAAAACGAGGTGTCGGAGACTAATATCTTCAAAATGATGGCTGTAGGTATACGCCTGTCTCTTCCACTCAATGAAGGCATAACTTGTAATTATCAATATTAATTGTTAATCAGTGGTTTCACTCAGAATTACTCCGACAACCCTTAAAACAATTTTGACAAATATCATAATGTAAATAATAAGGATTCGATTGTGTTCCAAGTGGACCGAAAGTATGATTTAGGATTATAGTATAGAATGAAAAACAAGACATTCTAAATGCATGCTGGCAGAGGTACAGAGCCAAATACCCTTTAGAATGATGCTGTTTTAAAGAAAACTTGAGCTGATCGAATAAAACGTCTAGAATCATCACCCAGTTAATTAAAAACGTGCATATCTTTGGGTTTTGGTGAAAAATTACAAATCGTTTAAGTTACATAGTAATAATTTCTTTGGATGAACTTGATTTTATCATCTCAACGGAAGGAATGGCAACTTAAATCAATTCCTTTTTGTAACTAAACTGACCACCAAAAAGTTACCGAAAAAAGGTAGTGATCGACATGGCTGCGATTCAGTGATGACAGAAAAAATTCAAAAAGTATCTATAAAATTTGTTCGTTTTGATTCTATTCAGTATGTTGCCGATAATCGTAAAGGACCAAGAATATTGGGAAGAATATCTAGCCAAAAAAATAATGGTATATTCACCCAATAATTAAAAATGTGATGTCTTGAAAACTAGCAATAGCGTGGTTAATTTATGTATTTCTTTTTTCGCTGGCTGAAAAACTGCGCCAACCTGCTACTCTTTGAAATTGTATTTTCATAAAATATGCATTACCAGTGTAAACTTCAAGCCTTTGGGGTTGAAAACTATATGTGTAAATTATTTTTCAACGACCGCAATGTAGATAAAAGAAAGATCTGTCAACCTGTATTTGAGTGTTTTTTTTAATATTTCATTATATTTCGCCATCGATTATGAAGTTGGCGTCTTATTAAAGATACATGATATGACTTTTCCATTGAAATTTTTTCACGACAAGAAGGTTCTCAGAATACGCAAGAACAGAGCAGAACAGAGAAAACAGAGAAAAAAATAAAAAATTGAATCTGAACATGTGACAGAAAATTCCAGACAGTGGCATTAACTTTCAAACTGAAAGTGAAGTTTGCCTAAAACGATTTTTCTTCTTGTTTGCGAAATTTGCATAGCTTTCGTTCATGGGTCACTTAAAAGGGCGTATAAACAAATTATCTGTCACTTTTAGAATGCGCGCAGGCGAATACCGACTTTAGCAGACACGGCCGACGAGGTGCAGTGACGAGTTGGCTTTTTCCCAAATCAGGTTTTATTGACATTTCGTCCAGATGACGTTTTGTTATTCCGGTCAATTGACTTTGCATTAATTCTTCAAAATCTCAGGCTTTCTTTGTTAGCACCTGCCCAATCATTGGAGGAAAATTTGCATATACAAGAAAACTATTGCATTTTTGCGTGACAGACATCACCTTGTCGACAAGCCACACTGGCTCAACATCAAGACCGCGTGTAAATTTTATGAATCATCCTAAGGAAATTTTTGAACGCAACTGTTGGGATGATGAGAGTTTTTATAGGTGAGCAAACCTTTATTGATATCTTCTATACATTTCAAGGGAGACATAAATTTACTCAGCCAAATGATTATTCGACATACACGACCGCTGTTATTATTAATGTCTCAGGCGTGGAACAATCGCGTTTGTTGCAAGCCATCGACAAAGATCAAATTACCATTTAAACGTAACCTCACCATCACGTTTGCCAAAGAGCCTTAAAAGATTTTAAGTTGATTTTCCCTAAATTTCGAGGGAAATCTTCGTTTCAGTGTAAGTCTTTTCCGCATGGGTGGTCGCCTCATCACGCAAAGACCATACGTTTACGCTTTATACGCAGAACCTAAAACATTCTGGTTTACGTCGATATCGCTTCAAGAGGTTTTAACTCTTGATTTGCGCCACAAAACGACGTTTTGGCGTAAAGTAGAAACATTATTATAACTTGATATCGCCATAATCGCTCTCATAAACGAAAACACTGAAGCATTGTCGAGTCTTAATGTAAACAAGAGTTTTTAAACAAAATGAAAACAATTGGCCACGTGTTTACTCCTCCTATACTTGCCACCACATGTTCTTTAAATGACAATTTATTTCGATAACTTGACCTGGTTAGCAATAAGAAGCGGGACGTAAATACCGCGTTAAAAACAGCGAAGTTCAAACTTTGATTCAATCGCCATTTCAGTTTTCTGGGGCCACTAAACTGATTTCGTGACAAAATGTTAATAATCTTTTAGGTTGTGATAAAGTGATGGAAATACCAAAATTATACATTATTTTAAGAGCAGTGCCATGGCAATACTGGATGGCTTTGAGATTTGCTTATTCGCTGACTCTCAGAAGGTTTCCGATCGGTTCAAAACTTGACCGATATGAGATAATGAGCTGGGTTTTAATTGAAAAGAATCCGAGCGTGACAGCGATGTTCAAAACACGATGAATCAAGCTGTCGAACAATTAATCAATGTGTCCTTTCCGACCCCCTTGGGTCTGACAGAACGTCTGATCAGCAGAGACAAGATACTATCCCTCAATTGCTATACGCCGGTAATGAAACCGCTAGAGGGTTTTCTCGCTTTGATGGCTTCCAAAGACACACCCACAATAGATTTGCCTTTACCTGAACACGATAGTCTCGATACTCGACTGGTTATATTGGTAAAGATGACTATAACCGTAGAGGGAGTTTCACAACTTTTTATACATACATACATATATATATATATTACTCTTTTATTTTAATTTAGTTTTAAATTTAAATATATATCAAGAGATAATAAACTGTCTGTATTCTCTTGTATATTTACACAAGAGCTCTGCGCCAGCAAGGTTGGCAGCGGCAACACATGCGACATTGAATCTCGCCTTGACGTATATAAGATACAGATAAGAGTAGCCAAAGTGATGATTTCAATGGCATAGCATCCTTCTTAAGTCGAAAGAATAGGCTGACAATTTGAAAAGATACGATCGTCATCTCAAAATTGATCGAGAAAGGAAGTTGAAAGAATGACTTTCTATTGCAGATATCTAATACGTCATCAGTTTCGGCTACGTGGTAGAAAGTTTCCAGCAAAGCAAAGTCGAATATTATCGATCAAGCGGCTTGTTTTTAGCAGTGCCAGCAATTCCTGCCGGCATTCTCTGTCCGTCAGATGTGGCCTGTATAAGGTGCATAAGTGCCTGTTTACGTGCATTTGGCAAAAGTAATTGTAAGCAGAATTCACACTGATCGTTGACAGTAATGTGATCAACAAAGACTTCCCCACTGTGTAATTGATAATAGAAATAGTCTTCATTCCTGATCTCGTCATCAAAAACCTGGGTATTTAAAAAATTTACCCAGCTGCACTGCAAAGAAATTTAAAGGTAGGAGGGTATGATTTCCCTAAGACTTATTTTCAAAGGCAAGATTTCCCTTAACAATTTTTCCTAAACATGTACGATTGGCAGTGAGTGACATGCCAGTTTTTGTAATACAGAGACTGATCAAGGAACTAGATTGGAAAAGTGTGCGGGGAAAGTCCACCTAAGCAGATGTTTTTTCTTCAAGTTACTTGTAATGAAAAGTGTCAGAACACACGCATGCTTTCTTAACTATGGATTCAGCTCATGTATTTTCGTGACAAGTGCATTTGTTAATGAAAAATTGTTGATTTTAACTTCTGTGCTTCGTTGTTATCGCACTTTTATCACGTTCAGACGATGTAAATTATTTTCCCGTCAACGGTTTTCGTGGTATGAGTGACATTGTAGATCAACCCATTCGTTTTTTTCATTAAGACTCACACAACTGTCGCACTCTTGATATTTCAAACCATTTTACAACTTAAAATCACCCTAAGGCATGGTTCAGAAATTATTCTAGAATATTCATAAAGACGACAAATAAGGAAATAAGAAAAACCAAAAAGCTTTGTCTCACGCGTAGGCTCACTGTGGTGCAGACACAAACATAATGTTTACATTTAGATAAATGCAAATTGATAGCAAGTAAGTAGCTTACAAACCCTCGACGCCAGAAAAGAGCACATCACAGACGTCATCCATTAGAAAATGTCATGATTTATAAAATACCGCTAAGTGCTTTGGACATTTCACATTTTTTGTATTTTTCTGCTCGTAGACACTTAATTCGTAGGATCTTCCCGTCAATGTGTCAAAGCTTCCATCTCAAGGTGGTTTTCTGATCATCACAGTCACATTCTCGCTGAACCAGTCTTTTGTTAGCGGAGGAAAAAAGGACGGAGTTCGTGCGAAAGATACCCTATCAAACCATAGTATGAACTAAAGACGTCATACCATTGTAAAGAAAAGGCATTTATTTTGATCATCACGAACCGATCCTAATTAAGGAGCGCTGTTAGCCTTGCATGACGGAACGTACACCGGGCATGATCCTGAAAATATTATTCACGTGAATTGAAAATGACCTTTCTACATCCGCTGTGGTTTCTGTGCCTCTCAGTTACCGAGGAAATTTAGGTGGAGTTGGCTTTTGCTATTATTTGCTTGACGATATGCTTCAGTTGTTGACAGGTAATGATGTGATCTTTTATATTTTTAGATAATTTCTGTTGTTCAGAGCTAATACTTAGTCTAAAATTATTCTTCACATACATGGCTTTTGTTACGCGCTTGATTGGTGATAATGCTATTGTTGACAGCTGATGATTTGATAACAGACAGTGTTAAGGACTTAAATAACCGCTGCTGATAAACAAAACTGAAACTAACTCATAATATCAGGTTCTAGAGGGAATTTCTTATTTCGAGAGCTCAAAATGAGGTTCAAAATAAAACATAGGTCTTAACGGCTGGAACACAAGACTCCACTTTATCTATCATACAATACTATCCTCGTCGTTTTCCGACAAATGAGGTGCAACAGACCGCTTGCTACCTATCAGTTTTATTTTCCGCCTTAAGGCCTCCGCTCCAATAAGTAGTGCTAAGAACGTATCTTCAGCGTCATTGCACACTACAGCTTAAGCCGCTTTATTAGACTGATCTAGACGCGTATATTAGTTATGAATGGAAGTACCAGAGCCAACATTGTAACTGTGAGCTTTAGAGCCTCTCAGAATATTTAAAGAGGCTTCATCACGGTTCGAGGATCTCGCAAAACGCAGCCAGAATTTTTCAAGTTTATCAACACATTCTCGTTCTCTTCAGTTTGCTTATATCTCTTTCGAGCGCTTCTTCCTTAGCAAGTCAACAAGATATGGTTTCCTTTCTTGGAACGGAAATTTCGTCGTCAAAAGATGTCGTGACTTATTTGTTAGTTAATTAATACAGTTGGTCTGACATTTGGGGTTATGGGTTATGCAGAGACTAATTCCCTAAAATTTTGTTTTTTCCCTTCTGGTTTTACAGTAATCTGTCTCGTGGAAATTGTGTCAACGCAAAAATGTAAGTACCTTGGATAACTTAATACATTTGGGTACAAAAGTGTAAAAATATGAATAATCACCTGGTAGTCACGCCAGCATTTTGGGCGTGAAAAAGCATCTCTCCTTCAGCAGAAAAAGAACGCGCTGAACTCCTGATCAAGCTGTTTCCTATTTGGGAGCTGATAGTGCTCCATTGGGAGATAAGCGTAGGAAACCACGACGCGAAGCGGAGTGGTTTCCAGCTTATCGAGTGTTCTCCCAACCTCCCAAGTGTTTACATCAGGCTATGTAAACACAGAAACCATTTTACATTTCTTTTATAAAATAACTAATGAAAGAGGAACGAAAACCGTGTTTACATACGCTCATGTAAAATGGTTTTATGGCCAATCAGAGCGCGCGTACTATTTGAATTATTTTACAAAATTAGTTGGGATGCTTCTCCAGGACAATGTTCAAGATTTTCTTTCACCCCTCTTCCCTTCCTATCTTGTTAATTGCCAATGCTCCTGAGCCATTTTGCATTGAGAGGGGCATGAGACCCAGTAGGTGTCCCAACAAATGCAGCTGGAAGTATTAAGATATTTTCATATCTCCGAGTGCACGTGTGTGGTTTGTTGATAATACCGGATGTACATGTATCGGTGTACCTGGTTTAAAATAATAACGGAAATCTTGCGGAAATTCCCTGCTCAACTGAAGATTACCAACCTCCAGTTTAACTATTGTGCAATCCAGTAAATTTAGATGATTATGCACTGCGTTAGCTTGAAATTTTAGCTCCTTGAAAAAAAAAAAAAAAAAAATTTAGAGAAAGATCATCGAGCCTTTTTTTAATTCACTTACCAGAGCAAGCTATTCTCCGAACCTTCAACTCCCAAGACGCAATAAATTATTTCTGTAAGTTAACATGTGTTTTTTCAGAAAATAACTATATCATCGTGAAAGATGTTTTTCGTCTTGCTTGTCACGAGCGTGAGACAAGGAAAACATTGTGAGTCCTCTATGAGGATTCGAACCTCGAACCCACGGATTCTGCGCTCCGATGCCCCTCCTGGAGACTCAGAATTTTTTCTTTGTCCCTCGCTAGTGGCAAGACGAAAAAAATCGTTCTCTATTTCTTTACCGAGTTTAAAGCATACATCTTTCTTATTCTATTTAACTATTTCCTTTTTATAGAATAAGTTAAACTATACACGCTCTTATTTTGGTTCTTCTTCATGATCCTATGGAGAACAGACGTGTAGGAGGACTACACCAGAAGAGGTCAAAATGTGGTGGGGACATTAGTAACACACTTGGCTGCGCCTCGTGTGCCATTTTCTTGTCCCTACCACATTTTGACGTCATCTGTACTATATCACTGAATTCGAATAGAACCATTGCAACATAGAATGTCAAGTGTCACAACATAAAATGTCACGTTTCACGGCAACATAGAATGTTAGGTGTCACGGCAACATAGAATGTCAGGTGTCACGGCAACATAGAATATCAGGTGTCACGGCAACATTGAATTTCAGGTGTCACGGCAACATTGAATTTCAGGTGTATTTGTTATATATAAGAAGCTGAATTACGCAGGTATTATAACTGAACCTTACCTATGATCTATTGGAAGACAGACACATAAAGAAAGTCACCATTTAAATATTTTGTCCATTTATTTTATTTATCTGTTCCCACCATATCTTGATGTCATCTGTGATCTATAACTAAACAGACGCAACAATGAATTTGTGTTAAATAGAGAAAGTCAGCACCATCTATTAAGATGGTGGCCCATAACCGTGGAAAGTAATGGCTGATCACACGCTTCAAAATGATTTTCTTTATAAACAATGTCTTTGGATTTCACATGCTTACTCCATTCCTTTTTTTTTTTTTTTTTTTTTTTTTTTTTTTCTTTTTTTTTCCAGGGTGTCCTGCATCTACCTTTTTTTCAAACAGCTCTGGAGATTTAAGTAGCCCCAAACCACGTGGGTCATTGCTCTATCCGGACTACACTCGCTGTGTATGGCACATTTCAATTCCAGCCAGAGATCAGCACATAAAACTTACATTTAACACATTTCAATTGGAGAGCTGCCTTGATTGCCAATGTGACTTTGTAGAGATTTTGGACGTCATCGGAAACATACACACTTCTTTGGGAAAGTTTTGCGGAAGCTCTTTACCAGGCCCTTTCTTTTCAAGCAAACAGGCGTTGAAGGTTGTGTTCAGTTCTGATCATGGAAACGGCTTTTCAGGATTTACGGCGACATATTCCTCAGTGCTTCCTGGTGCAGGTTTGTTTAGCGCCTTAGTTTTTCTTTGTCATGCATTTCACAAGGTTAAGAAACGTCATTTATTCACTAACTCAGCGGTTCTTACGGGCACTAGTCGTTTTTATTCAGCGTGTTACTAAAAGTAAACTCTGTCAATCAATTCTTGATCAGAATTACAATTGAAAGCAAAGCTCTAGTCAGTCAAGTAGCTCAGTTGGTAATAAAGATGAAGCCAAGAGACACCATTCGATGCAATTTATTTTACAATAGTTATTCTTTGTGTCCTGACCTTTTTGTCGTTCACTTTTCTCTCCGTTTATTCTATTATTGAGTTATAGTTTTGGTTCTCAGTTTGTAGGAACGCCACGAGCCTCGTTACATCAGTAGGAACAGTTCACAGCCCTGAATTTCCTTCTCGAAATTATCCTAACAATGTGGACTGTATCTGGGAAATCACTGCGCCGTATAGAACGCGCATCAAATTCAAATTCCTCTCGATGTCAATACAAAGCTGCGGTAGAATGGGAACTTCCGAGTTTTGTTCGTGCGATTACGTTGAAGTAAGAGATGGAGCAAATTCTAGTGCTCGTCTGCTCGGGACATTTTGTGGAACTAATAACACGGATGCGATATATTCAAGCGGCCAACACCTCTGGGTAAGATTCAGATCAGACGATGCTGTGGCTGATTCGGGTTTTGTGGCGCAGTTTTCTTCTGAGAAATATCGGAAAGGTAAGCTGTACGATTTCCTAGGTGTGATATTAACTTCCAAGGGTTAAGTGGAGAGTAAGCTGACTTCCAGTTTGCAAATGGTGCCGACTTAAACTGCAAAGAAGGCATAGTGTGGTTCAGTTTCTTCAAGAGATAATAATCATTATCTCTCAGTTTCATCAGACTATGGTTAGGTTTGAATGAAAATATTCATTGCAAGTTGAAACGCCTAAGTTTTGATTAGTTTACAGGCAAAACCATTTTGGGGTTTTTTTCGCAAAATAAACAAAGCATTTTTACGAAATGTCTGTAACAGATTTTGAGACTTTTTTCGGTAATTTGACTTTCCCTTCAGTACTGTTTAGCGAACGCATAGCTAACGTTGAATATAAAGCTTTCTCACGTTCACAGTCAATGATAGTGGATAGATCTAATTAAAAACAGGCACACTGTTCGTGCGTGCGTCTCATAGTTACAGGGATGCAGCAAATCAACTGAGCTCTACTCATTCATAAATTTCTGATATTGAAAGGAAGAAGTAAAACTGAAAGTAATCTCTTTGTTATAGGATTTTCCTGTCCGATGGATTGGAGGTACCCGTTTCAATGTCCAAAGGAATTAAACGTAAACAACAACAAAACTGGTATTTGTTGCTATAACAATGGCCCAAGCTGTTGTGAGCCGGGAGGAAAGCGTTGTCATGACAACGGATCAAGAGTTAGGGATTACTGTCCGCGTCCAAAGGATAATAAAAAATTGAAATATTGTTGTTCGATAGGAGGAAAACCCTCCTGTTGTGAATCAGCTGGAGTTTACAACGAAGCTAGGTGGGTTGGCTTTAAAGAATTACTTTATTCCTCCAATTTACTGATGAACTAGTGAGTACGATTATATTTTTTTGCATGGAACGAAGATTAAGTCTCGTTCATTGTAAGTTAGAGCCCCAACCAACTGCGCATGCGTCACGTATGCGGATGCTTTGCCAACAGAGCTACAGAAAACTCGTTAGGGAGCAACACCATTAAAACAAGAGTAGAGCGCTGTAAAGAGGGGCTTTATTAGCTAATGCTCGAAACGTCAGCTTTGAAACTCTCTATGGTGGCCAATTTGCAGTTGATGAAACCAGATTATCTTATCTACCCTCCAATCGACACAGCGCCAAAGTTTCTTTCGAAACTTACCTTTTCTATTCAAAAGTATAACGGTTGATCCCTACAAGGCGACTTACTCAGATTCTTGCATTGTATTTTTTGTTATAGATACACTATTTCTTTGGGCGTTATTTTACACATTGGTTGGATCCTAAACAAGTGGTTCAACGGAACGTAATAAAAGAAAACATTATCCCTTCTAATTACGAAACAATATTTAATTTACAGTTACTCTAATTAGAAATTTTTCAAATTTTAATACTCAGCCTAGAAAGATGCATCACATTTAATCATATAAGTGAAAATTACTCACCGCACGACTGTCATAGTCGTGTTAAGGAATCATATGAAAGCTCGAGAATTTTTAACGGACCAATAGTAATATTTGTTTGTTCTCTGCATAATTCTCATTTTTGAAATATTACTCACAACGTAAATTCTGAACTGCACTAACGTTTAGGCGATTTTAAATGATTGGGAAAATATTTCGTCGTCTCCTCAGGGACTGTCCCAGTTCAAGAGAATATAAACTGGCTATATTCTCTTGCCTAGTTTAAATAACTGTATCAAAGAGACACTTGAAGAGTATCGGAAGTTTCTAGTCAGTGAGACATTACTAAATCAAATTATTTCCGAAAGGAAAAAATTGTAGGAAGTTATTCCATTGTAAGACAAGTTATGTAGAATAGGTGAATTTAAGGTAAAATTAGTGGAAGATGTCAGAGTTTATAATCCTAATAAGAAATCAGAATCAAGTGCTATGAGATCAACATTTCATTTAAAAACTTTATTTTGTAAGTCTTTAGAAGATTTTTATGATTTTAAAATTATTAGGTTTTCTTTTTTACTTTTTATTAGGATGGCAGACAAAATTTTTTTTTATAATTACATCCAGTTAAGTTTGAGTTTTTGTTAACATATTCGTTGTGTTCGCGGTATCTGTCTGGTATCAGATCAGCGTTTGTACATTTTTTTGTCTGCGATCTCTGAGTTTTGAATTATAAGAGAGTAGTCTTTGGAATTTAAATACGTCTTTAAGAAAGTGAATTAAAAAAGATCCTCATTCACGCGGACAGCAAAGCTTTCTTACTAAGTTATGTTAGATATGGAGCGCATTTAGTCTGAGTGTTGTGAAACCAAAATCATAGTTATTATAGGATAAAGGTTAACTTCATAATCTGGCGATGACACCTCAAAGTGGAGACAAGCACACTGCTTAAAGCGCAGTAAAAGGGGAGCGTCGGGATTGTGACTCATATGATTTGTTGAGAAGTTGGCTCCAGTTCCCTAGATCAAGTCACACAGAGACAAGTAAGGCAAAACCAATGTAATCTTATATTCGACATTCAATCGAAAACTGAGCAAGTTGGTCAGTTTATGTGCAGGCCGCCTTTGATTGTGTAACTCGATTAATGAAACTAACTTGTGATATTCCAGCGACGAAGAAACCTTCAAATGTGGAAAAATGCAATAAGGGAAAGAGTAAGTTAAATGAAAAAAAAGTTGGATGATGAACATATACGTGGACTGCAGTCAGCGAACTTGAAATTATTGAGGTGAAAATTTTTCAAAAGACAAAAACTCTGAATTAGCTTCCTCAAGCTTATGGAATTAAAATTAAATAAATGATAACTTCCTTCTATGTAATCAACCAGGCCCCTATGTGTAGAGGTTGTAGGTGACGGCGACTGTATACCCTTTCCTCGAGGGCGTTTAATTCATGTTCTTTTTTAATTAGGAAATGTGTCACTAACCATAAAGAGCTTTAATGCGATTTTGAAGTTAAAACTTTTAAAATTTACTTTCGGAACAAAGAAAAACATTTTTGACATTGTTTATACTGGAAGATGTAGCGGAAGTAACATTTTATGATACTGATTAGTTAGTTAAAAGTATCTTGTATAAATTAAACTATTTATTTGGAAGTTTCGCTTTGTTTAAAATGGCAATGTTTACATAACCATCAGAATTAAAATTTATTTTGATTACTGACAAAATGTTTTACGAATTTTGATTATTTACAAGGCAGTTTTTCTAGGTTTTAATAAAAAGCAAACGTTGAACAGTATTCAATACTAATATAGAATCGATCCTCGCAGTTATGAACACTACTGAACGAGTAGTTTAAATAAGGACTGATAAAAATTCAGACCCGTACTGAATTTGAACCCCATGACCTCTGCGATATCGGTGCAGTGCTCTACCAACTGAGCTAACAAGCCAGCTGGGAGCTGGTCATTATGTTTGATCCAGATAATGTTAGCTCAGTTGGTAGAACGCTGCACCGGTATCGCAGAGGTCCTGGGTTCAAATCAACTACTAGTTCAGTAGTGTTCATAACTGCGAGGATCGATTCTATTTAGTGCACATATATGATTTTCAGATATTCACAGGCATTAATATTCAATACTGCCTTAGGATGTATATTAAACTGAACTGGTATTTCTTCAGCTCAAATATTTCCGACCAACAGTCTCATTATGCGACACCAAATAGTTGTCAACCGAGTTGAGTCAAGATTGGAGGGCAGGCCTCAAAGCAGAAGTGGCTTTCACAGGCCTTGGGTAAATTTGAGGCCGTTCACTTTTACGGCTAACGCAGAACCGCATCCGGGGAGGCTACGGGGAAAGACTGCTTATTTGTGCATTATTACTTTTTACCGTACCCAAACTCGCAATAAGCTAATCCAAAGCCTGGTTTTCTGTCCTGATATCACACGATATCAAGGCACTGACCCGATATGGCACGGTATCGTTGTGACTATACACAAGAACTATTACTTAATTTAAGATTAAGCTGAATCGATTGATTTTCCAGGCGTGAAAGGGGCAAACAACATATTCTGCCACGCTGCTGAAGAACGACATTGGACAATCATATTTGCCAACTTAGCGTCTCTTGAAACACAATGGAGAATGTCGTCCATTCTAAGGAAGCAGTTATGTTCTAAAAACGTCGTGAGAACTTGTCACAGTTTTCAAGAGCCATCGTCCACTTTTCAAATTCATGCAATGGGACTCGTGCGAATCTTGTGGTTGTGTAAAAGGCAACAAGCTCACAGAATCTGTTAAGTACCAATGAAAATACACGTGGTCTTTCTTATTTTGAAAGTTTGCAATTGCCAACAACAACATCGGCTTTTTTTGGCACTATTTTAACTTTGCTCTTTGTAGTACTTGTAAAAGTGAAAAAAGAGAATTATTTTTCACTCAACCACTCTGCGAGGGCTTTAGAAATCTTCGTGATTCCACAGAAATATAGCGAATCGATGAATGATCTTTTTTCTGTCAACATGCGCGAGGCTTGATGAGAGCGCGACAGGGGTATATACGTAATACAATAAGCTGAATTTTACACGAATTTTGATTGGTTCTTACTTGTGTTCTTTTGGAGGAGAGACGTATAGATGACGTCAGTATCAACTGAATAAACCCCTCTTAATCATACGTATAAAACAAATGTCAGCGTGTGTCTCTTCAGTAATAGAATAGACAAGAGTCAAAATGTGGTAAAAATGTCAGTGATACACTCTACCTCGCCTCGTGAACGACATATCTTGTTGTGTATATATGTTTATAAAAAGTTTTAGGGGAGATTTTAACAAGCAGAGATCCAGAATGTTTGATCTATAATAATATAAATGAAATTTTTTTTCATTCTGACTGGAATGAGAGAACTGCAGTTTTTAGGTAACACAATGCAGAAGGGACGTAATTTAGAGAAGAGAAGAAGTAGTTCAGCGTCCGCTGATGTCGGCTGTAAGGAGAACGAAGGAATACGGACAGACGAGTAACAGAGTTTCAATAATCAAACACCACTATATTTCCAAATGGCGTTCCGAATGCAGTCTTTGCCATGTGACTTGCGCGCGCTTACGATTACAACATGACCGCATGGCAAGCTTACGTGACAACAATAGCAGTGTTCAAGGTTCAATTCAGTTTATACGACAATGATTTTCGGGTGCCATTCGGAATGAATGAGCACCTGTTTATTTTTTTTTAAAAGATTACGAATTGCCCTTTAGGCTTATGCAAATAAGTAGGTTTATGAAGAATTTATTCGGGCTTATTTATCACAAATTGTGATAAGCTGAAAAGAGTTGGTGACGAGATAATTGACTCTGTTGTCAAGATTTCCAGAAAAGTAAGAATGGCTGGTACAGTTAGTAAAGCGTGACGCACAGAAAAGTAAATCCTTAACTCTTTCTTCATCACCGAATTCCAACTCCTTGGCAACATTTGCTTTTAGAGAGGGATAAAGTGTGTTACTTGACGATCCCAACAAAGGCTGCGAATTCGAAGGAAACTGCCTAAAGCTAAAATAAACTTTTTAAAGTTGCAACTGTCTTCCTAGAAGAGAAAACCAGATACCTACAATAATGAGAAAGTATTCTAACATACAGTTGGTACGTGTCATATGTCCTTTGCTGCCAACTGTTGTGTTGCAAAAATCTTCCTGACAGCAGGTGATGTTACAATCCGTCCGTCCTATTCTATTTATGATCTCTTCCTTGCAATAGTCCTTTCTGCAAACCCTAGGGGGTACACAGTCCCTCGTGAATGTCCTGCTTCCATCTGGTCTGCGGTCTGACTGAGTCATGCAGAATGTCGAGTCTTTCGGACAATTCTTAACGGTGGTGTTGCAAGCGTTCTGATTTAATTGAGTATCAAAATGACATACATTGCACTGAAGAGCACAAGCTGAAAGGAACAAAAGCGGCTTTTTAAGATAAAAACCTGCGTGAAAATATCGGCAAAAATAGGTAAAGACATTTTTAAATGGTATTTCTACCAATTGTAGCTCTCCGGACGAGGAAATGTTTCCCTTCCTTTTTTCAACGCCAAGAAATGTTGGTAAAAATTGCGATTTTCCTTCTTCGCAGCCCGCAGATTAGCACCCCCTGCCAACCATCCCTTCGTGCGAAAAATGGTGATGGTTTGAATTCCATTAAGCTATTTCAATTCGATGTGAAGTACGATTCGCAAACGTACATGGAAAAAAAGCACCGGAAGACAGAAAACCAATGTGGCACTGTGGTGAACTCGTGGAATACAATTAGAACATACAGTGATTTTACTAAAAGAAAATGATCCTGTCATTCCAATAAACAGAATTTAGCCGTCATCCCCACAGAAGTAATCCCCAATGAATGAATTGTCAGTAATCAGATCCTTGTGTTTGCAACTTGCTGGAAAGAAATCTGTAGCGAAAGGTTGTTTCGACGTCCAAAAAAACGATCTTGGGGTGAGATTATCGCTTTTTTGCCGCTTTTCTCATTAGAAATGGATTTGGGTGATACTGACAAATAGGAAGCGTAAGTTTTTGTTTGAAGAACCATGAAATATGCAGTAAAATCTACCGATTGACTTTTCTCCGTGCGCAAAGTTTATCAGTTGTTAAATTCACATCGTGTAATGGTCTCGAAATTCAAAAACGTTAGCTATCAATCGCCAAGAAATAACTCAACGAAGCCTTTTCAGTTTTTTTTGACATCTGTAAAGTCTACTTCAAACTTTTTTCTCGGCTCGGTAAAACAAAAGAGCGCTACAAGAGCTAGTCTTCAAGGCAGCTGGAGATTATTTAATTCGTTAACAAGTGTAAAAACAGGCTGTACATACATAAATACAACCGAAAAGTCGTAAATGACTTATTTCCTGGCGATTTATGGCTAATCTTGTAACATGTCGAGACCATTACGCGATGAAGATTTCACAATAGACCTTGCTTAAGGAAAAAAGTTTATCTGTACACTTTATAACATATTTGGTGGTAATCCTACCAAAATTTTACGCTTCCTTCGCATCAACATCATTATTGATAATCTGCGATAAAACTGCGGCGAAAAAGCGTTGATCTCTCTCCATAATCGTTTTTTGGGCGTCAAAAAACCTTTCGCCATATATTTCCTTCAAGCAAGTTGCAATGTTTGCCCCGTGGTGATCTCAGAAATCTTTGCGCAAACACAAGAATCCGACTACTGGCAACTCACTCATTGATCTACCATATTAACAGTCCGTCCGCCATCTTTAACGAGGTGCATGCCCTCCCCTAGGGATTCTCTGGGCCGTTCTAACGCAACTAATCCGCATTTCGATCCCCCTCATCACTTGTTCCTATGCTAGACTCCCGGTAACGATGAGTTCTGTCATAAACTTCACTTCTAGGCCGTTCTGGCCGTTTGATTTCCATAAAACATTTCTTCATAAAAATTTTAAAACTAGCTGTAAACTAATAGACATCATGCACGTACCTGCAGGGATCAAGACAGTGACAAAAAGAGGGAACGTCCAACGAGAAAACTTCATATTCTAATATGGTAATTGACACCTGAAAGAAAAGATACCTTATGCATTATCGGTACAAGAACATGTCATTCTAAATATTTCTTTTGATCGGCAGACATCCCGAGAGTGCTTAGAGTGGTAAGATGTTTATTACATGATCTGTACGGCCCTGTAGGCTCTTACAATAAAATTAACATCTCACAAAATTCCACCACCACAGTTTGTTTTAGAAATAGTTGATAAAAACCATAACTACGCAATCACCTTATAGTCTAGTTTTACTCTGAACTCTAGATTCCGTAGTCCCCGTGCGTAATCCAAAATCCACTGTACTTGGTACACTATAATACTTTCATATATTAAGATGGATTATTCAGTCTAGAATTTAGCTAGTAAAATAAGGAAAGAAACGAGTCGCATTTGTTTAAAAATTCTCAATTTAATGTATCGCTTAATTTTGTTCAAATCACATGTGTAACGTCACGCAACATACCCTTTCAACGGTTTCGATTGAGGGCGGACGGCACAAGATTGCTTCCTCGAATAAACGCACTCTTTTTCTTTCCAATTATAACAAACACCGACCGAAGTCCGCTCCAGATGACATAAGCGGTTTCCGCTATTATATTTCATTACTTCCCACCAATTTTAGAAACCCACATGCTACGATCAGGTTTTCATGAGTGCTGAAGCCAATATTTGCATATTAAGTTATTAGGATTCATCATACGCAAATTGGCATGGTTCTGCAAAACATTCCAGCTGTCTCTTCGAATCTCGGTATTCTTTGAGCGCTCATTCTTAGATTTTTATTTACCACAAAAACTGAGATCTGAAAAACCCGCTTAAAAGATCCTTATCCTCAAGAAATTCATAGTCCATTAAGTGCTCAAAAGCAATGTTGGTTTCCTTAAATAAATTTTAAAACCAGGTTGTACAGCGGTCTAAACCTCAGCTATCTCTGAAATAAAATTTGACCGTTTTATTGGGGCTTTTGGTTTCTACTTTCGCCAAACATTTAAATGGCTCAAGGTCAAACAGACAACGTTTTAGGAATCAAGCTTTCAGTATCTGGCCTTTTTTTTTTTGAGAAATTCAACCTGCATAATTTGATACACAAAAATATCCAAACGAGCATAAATTAAACCTCAAACCCTTTGGTTTTAAACCCTACGCTTTGAATTCGAATTTCTATCGATTGCAAACAAAAAAAGAATACTTCTATGTTACCTTTAAAGCAAATGTTTTCCGTAGTCGTTGTCAAAGGTTGAATCGGGAGAACCTCGCATGACACTATGCTGATCGATTTCGATTTCATCGTTCTTTTTAACACAGACTCTAGATATAATCTTCGGTTAGCTCCCGTGGAGAGAAACTTTAAAACTGGCACAGTTAAGGTCAGTTTGAGGCTGATATCTGTATGAAATACTCACCAAGATCGAAGGTCACCGACAGCCGAGCGCGTGCAAGGGTTTGCAGCGGACTTTCCTTATTCTTTCAGTTTCGCTCCAGAGAGGACACGATGGCGAGACGGTGGTATTGTTTATTTCTGAGACCTGTCCAGCGGTATCTGCTATGTCACGTAAGTAATCGTAACAGATGCTGTAGTCTCTCTGCGCTTTGGAAGATTTGGCATTTATAACATCCTTGAAGCAAAGTTTTCCAAAGTGGTTTGAGTATGATTCGAGTTAAATTTTATCAAAGAGTATTTGCGGCTCCTAACAACACAGCTCCCTTCAAAATAACTACATCAGTTTCGTATCCTTTAAATCCTCCGCATCCGGTAATGACATTACTTTAAAAGAATTCGGATCTCTTACCACACGTGTAATTTTTTCTTCCTTTTATTATTTGACGTTCTGCCTTTCATCAGAGCTATAAATTACTGTCAACTCTCCTCTAACAGACTCTTTCTTCAATTCCCCTTTTTTGCCTCCCAGCTAAACTCTGTATTTACACATTCCCGTAAGCGAATACTCTCCCGAAAGCGGACGCGGACACTTTGAAAAGCGAAACTGTCCTTTTTTTTTTTTTTTTTCGTTTATCTCTCTCCAAAGCGGAAACCCCATGTATATATAATTGACTCTTGGCAGTAAGATTTGTCGGATCAATATCAGTGTCTTGAGTTTGTGAGTCAACAAAAGTATAACCTCTGACAAAGCAACAGAACAGTGTGGATCAGTTTTGTCAAATCTCCATTTGTCTGCGGGAAAGCATGTTGTGCGTTCGTTTGACAGTAACAAGAATCCGGCTTAACGCACTCCACTATTTTTTTCTGATTTCTGCTCTTGGAAAATATTCTCGTAGACGGAATTTTCTACTGACGCACACTTTCTCCAATTCCCGAGGGTGTCCGCTTACAAAAGAGTTGACTGTATATGTATAATCAAGCATACATATTATGGCGTAACATACCGTTCAAAATTCAGTCAGGGTATTTTCCCTATCGAAAAATTAATTTTCTACAGGACATATTCTCGGAGTACAGTACATATTCATTTATATTTCGTGCAAAAGTTGTCGCAATATGCGAGTGTACAGAAAAAAGGACTTCCTACTTCCCTTCCCTGTACTGATCCGGTATGCTCTTTTGACGGTCACGTCATCTGGTTGTATTTTTGGTTGTGACGCGTGATCAGCTGTTTCAGCATCACGCTATGTCGGATGGCATCAAAAACCAAAGAGCAATTTTTAAACTAAGTAATTAACCAATGCACACTCTGAAGGTTATCAGATGGCGATGCTCCCTAAAAATAAACGCAACGTAACCTTCTCGGTTCATAGTCAGTATTTATAGGAAGTTTATATCTGTTATTGAGGAAGAGAGTTATTATTTAATTTAAGAATTTAAGAGGGAAAATGATGAGAAGCTTTCTCATTTCTGTATCAAGAGGGTACTGACGGAGTAGGTGATACATTCCTGCATTTTCCAGTCCAAATTTTTCCCCAGATCTCATTTTCCAGTTCGAATTTATTTTTATGTTTGATATCCTCAGCTTCGATAAATTCGTTTTACCATTAGCACAATCGTGGGCTGGGTTGTTCAAAGCTGGTTTGATATAACCCAAGGTTAGTGTGAAATTTTATTTCTGATCTGAAAGCTTTAAAAAATTCAGTTAAATTATTTTTGTCTGCAGTGTTATTACCGGATGCTGTAAAAAGGAAAGTGTTTGAAAAGGGCTTCCTGAATAAAGAAAAAAAGGAACCTGGATGAAAATTTCACCATGGGTTAGCGCTAATCGGCCTTCGAACAACTAGGTCCCTGGTTTTTATGATATTCCTTTCAAGGCCTTTGACCTTCGAACGTACAAGCAAAATCATTGTCAGACAGTAGCATCAAAGATCGGATGTAAGCGTCCGGAATGGGGTTGATATGGTCTTAAATCAGACGGAGGTGTTTATAATCGAACAAAAGCGTCCGAAATCGGGCGGAAGCTTCTGAAATCAGCTGATTACGTCTAAACTAGGACAATGGCGTCCAAAGTCAGACGGAAACGTACAACTGAAATTCAACCATCTGACAACTAATGCCGCCCGGAAGAACAGCCCAAAATAAGAAGAGTGCACGATCAAATAAATTGTCTAAAATTGGACGGATTTGTCCTTATATTAATCAGTTATAAACTCGACGGATACGTTAAGCTACTTTGAAATGAAAATTTCTTTGATATTTAGCTGAAAAGATCCGTAGACTGAAAAAAATAGCTCACTGCACAAGCGTGTTTTTTGCTTCATATGCTTAACTGTTAATTTAATTAAAGAATCTAAATACAATGCTCGCGTTCAAATAACTCAGCGAACAAACTAATGACATTCACTTCAACATATCACGTAGAAGTTTTTTTTTTAAAAAAGAGAGAGAGCATTTTTCGATTGAGTGTCGTAAAACTATGCAAAACCAAAGCAAGCACAACAGCCATGCTCTCAGAAGAGGGAAGAATACCTCTAAAAGCCGATGGGAACTCAAAGTGAAACTGATCAAACTGCCTAAGGCGCGGAAAACGCAAGCGTCCAAGTCGAGATTGGTTTAGATTTGCATCTGATTGGTTGAGTGGCGCGAGTTTTCTGAACCAATCATAGAGCGAAGTAAAGCAAAACAAAGCAATCCGGGTTACTGGCGACACAATTGAAAATTGCTCGATCAGCGTTAAGTAATTACAGTTATTAACTTACTCGCAAGAACTAATGCCGGATATCGATTTAAGCGGTATAGAAAATGTCATATTTTTCGAACGTCCCATTTCTTTCTAGTCCTTCGTTTTCTTTTGTCTTTTGTTTTTGACTGTAACCTTAATGCTCGAGTGACTCAATAATATAGACAATATCTTACATGCCTAAACTACCATATGATATTTACAGTGATGGCACTTCAAAATTATTGAACAAAAATGTAGCCAAATGCTTTGATCGTTGAATTTTCACCTTGACCTCTTAGTTCGTTTCCACAAGAATTGGAATTGTCCATTTTATAATATTTTCCCTCGGTACCGAACCCAATTCTGGACTGCGCAGATTGATCACAGTTGACTGGACAACCAATGATTCCAATGCGAGCCTTCGCACCGGTGCCATAATCATGATCTTTGTTAATGCTGTTAAAACCTTGTATTTGGCATCCGTCCTAACGAGGGAAACAGCCCAAAGTCAGTTATGTATCAGTAATGAAAGAATTACACTTCCTAGTATCAACTTATCCTTCATCTAGAAAGAAAAAATAAGTATTCTCGCGAGATGGACGAGGTATAAAAGCAAGTATTTTGAACATTTATACTTCTTCCTGATCTATTTTTAATTGTTTTTTTTTTTGTGTGTGTGCACGTGTGTCTGTCTTTTCTTGCTACTATTGCTGTTGTTGTTGTTGTTGTTGTTGTTGTTGTTTCCAAAACGTACATTAAAAGTTCAACTGAAATCAATTTTGAGTGACTCGGCACAACATGTACAGGAAAACCGAGACACGATAATATGCAGATCAATACGAAAATTTCCCTTTCAATCAGATCTAACCGGGATTTTCAAACAACTCGGGAAATTAATGCATAATCATGACAATCATTGGACTGTTAACTCTTTACCTGGATTTCTGAGTTATTCAGCAGCATTTTCCACTCCTTTGCGCTCACGTTTGTCGTCTGGGAAGTTCCGTTTCCGATAACATCTCTCAAAGAAAAGCCATTATAGTTTAGTGCAATCCAGTTTGTCTCCCCGTTTTTAGGATATTTCATGCCCAAACAGAGTCGATTGAATGGTGTAGACCAGAAGCTGCTCAGCTTTGTTTCAACATCATCGAGGTTTGTTCCAGCAGCCTCGTTGTAACCAATAGTGTTATTCCAGTATTCGGAAGAGTAGCTGAATGTTTGCTACAGCGAATTGAATGAAAAGAACAGAGTGACAGATGTTGCATCTCCCATTCAGGGGCAGACCTAGGGGAGGGGTGCAGGGGGTGCTTACCGTCCCCTTCCCCTGAGTTGACCTGTGACTTTCTAATACAACTTCACGGTTATGCAAAATCTTCTGTGTCGTGTGATTTGTACTCTCAGTAGTTCAGGTTATCTTAATACCTTGTCATAGAACTTCTTCGTAGTTCGCTCCCAAAATTTGTTCACGTCACCCGTCAGTTACGTCATTCTTCAGTGGTGCACCCCATTCTGAGAAAGTTCCGGGATCCTCCCTAGCCACTTCTCAGAACGGGGCTTGCGCCAAGATTTATATTTCCCTCGGGCAGGTTTACATGAGTTTTTCCCAAGGTTTATACGAATCAGCCAGGTTTAGGCAGTGTGTCTAAACGCGCGTAACTCTAATCTACAGGGATGATCAGGCTGGACCATAATGTTATCTATTGGGCCTGAGCAAGACTGGATGAGATGAGAGAACATACCATGCCCTTCTTCCGACTGATAATAGTAATTTAAAATCTATATTTAGTTAAAGCGCATGGTCCTTAAGCGCGGCTATACCAAAGACGAAAGCTATTCGGTTGGCGTTGATGAGACAAAAAGTTTCATGTGCGTAGTTTTGCAGCTTGCAACTCGAGGAATTTTTTAATGTAAACAACAAAAGAGCCTCTAGCCTGGGACAAGAAAAACATTTGCGGACGAAAAAAATTTCTTATGCTATTTAGCCGTGGAATATGGTTTGGCTGAAAATACAGTATAAGGGAAATTTTTTCCGATTGAAATTATCATCAGAGTGACCTATGACATAGTGGTACAGCATCCAAAATCTTAAGCGGAAACTCAAGCATTGGCTCAACTTCTGTAGCACTCTGATTTTCCGTGTGTATAATTGATAACATTATCTTGGCCAAAGGAATTGTTGTGAAATGTTACGTACCGCTAGTTACATTGCAGAGCTAAGTAAACCAACTAGCAATCTCACAATAAGTATTCATCTGGTGGTTGAGTTATGAGTTATTCATTTATCAGAACCGCGCGCCCAGGGACCCAGAATACCTTGTGTCCATCGATTTTCATGACAAGCGTCCATCCGCCATCCCCACATCCGTGAATAGGAGTCATGTGACAGAATACATTTGCATACTTAGCAGATGAGTTAGCCCGGATGCAATAGGACCCATCCACTCGGACTCTGAAGGACAACGAAGAAAATAATGACTTTTAATACCAAATGTAAAGTTATAATAGAAAGATTTAAGTCTTCAGCACCATAATATAACCAATTACTATTACTTTGTTGGTATCAGTTGAATGTCATTACCATTATAATTTGAGTGCGTGTAATTAACTAAAAACGAGTAAATGAATTAGAAAATAAAGCCAGAAATCTGGTTTACGCACGCAGAATGAGATCTGCTGCAGTGCCGGACGCATTCAGTCTACGTGTACTGAAGGTTGTGTAATCTCAAGTTCTGATTTCAAAACAATAAGGATAATTCAGTTGGTTTAGCCAGCGCTCTCTTTACATTTTTCAACTATTTTGAGATTTTCCCATGCAGTATTAAATTAATATACAAGAACAAAACCTTGAGTTAACTTTGATTCAGGTTTTGGATTTATTTTTACATTTCGAGGATCAATGGTAATGTCCTAACTACGAATTGGGGAGATTTTCGATAACAGCTCTTGCATGCCTACCCAGAATTCTCCCAGATCTCTTTGCAAGATTCGGGAAGTCTGTGGTAGGAACCTGAAATAAAAAGATAATGAGTCATATGCAGTCCAATGAAATTTTTACTCTATACTCAAATACTCATAGGGACAGGGGTGTAGGGGAACCGGGATTTAGGGGGATAGGGGTGTAGGGGGACCGCGGAGTAGGGGTCAGAGGATTCTGGTTGTGTCACAAGAACATTCACAGGATCCCCTCCCTGAGGCTCTGTAGTATTCTAATGATTCCCCCCTCATTGGCAGTTATGCTTTCATACTCCCTTTTATACTAAAGGAGGTTCACACGGGCCAATGAACGTTCAATGGGTCTGACACATTACTTATACGCATCTACTTCATTGTGATCATTGGTGATGCTGAGCACGCTCTGTCTGAGCAGTTGCAATTACATATACTCGCGTTAGGCGCATTATAACCCCTCCAATAATTTTTTCGTGATTCTATTGGCTACTCTAACCTCTAACCTCCGTCTACGTCGATATTTCTTCTCCGATTATTTCCGTTGAAAAGAAACAAAGCCAGCGGAAAAAACCAGGTGAAGTGTTTCACCTTTTAATCTTTATTACTTAACAAGAAAGGAAAAAGTACTTGTTTTGTAGAGTCCAGTGATAGCGACATTAAAAAAAAAACTTATCTCAAGTGCTGCTACGGATAGTACAAAAACGTTAACAAAATTTACTGTCAACGTACGATAGGAAAGTCTATGGGAGGGTTATGTAAAGGAGGAGGGAGGGAGGGAGGGTTATATAAATTCACCCCTTTCTGGCTTACTGGTATGTCGGTTGGTAATGATCTGTAAAAGATTTTCTACAAATTTCACGTTTGCCTCCGTAGCTTCGTTCTCGGCCACATATTAATTTTTTGGACAAATGATCTCTTTTCCGCGGACATTAACGCTTTAACTCCCAAGATCTGATTGTTAATTCTCCCCTTTAGCTGATAGACATTTCCTTGTAAATTAGTTATGAGAAATTGGTGCTAGATCAAGATAGTAGCTTTTACCTTATAAGTTTGAATATTCACATTACCTGTTTGCTGAATAATGTATGGATATTGTAGGGAGAAGTTTTTATGTTAATCACTTCTGGGAGTTAAAGGGTTTATTTACTAAATGATTTTACCTTCGCCAGGCCTACAAGCACTCTCTGAGGTACAACTGCAGTCGCACTGACTCGAAGGCTGAACTTCTCGCGGAGGAAGAGGTTTTTTTGCTTCCTGAAAATGAATAACACAACGGTGGCATTGAGATTATTCAGGAAAAAACAGAAAAGGGATCGAGTAACGAGTATTGCAACCCATCAACTGATTAACTCACGAAGAAAATGACAAAATTTAGTAAACAGTAAATATCTACCTCCGTAGTGTAGAGTACAGGAGTACAGTTCTGGTAAGACCTCTTAATTTCGACGTGATTATCAAGAAATGGTGTAATTTAACGTCAAATTCGCCCACGCACAGCTTATTACGTAGTTTTTTCAAGATAATTCTTAAGATACCAATTTTATTTCAATCTTAACGCTAGAGTTGTCAACCTATTGTCACGTATTTTTTCGTAAAGTTACACAACCCTAACAAAAAGAGTTTCTCCATTGTATAGCTTTCTTTTTCTTCGGTTTCATAGGTAAAGAACAGTATCAGGTTTTAGGGTTGCTGTGCAACTTGAGTTTTCTTACCAAACAAGTCTTGTGTTGCCTTATGTTTGGGCCGACTAGCGGCCGAGCACGAATTGAAATGCTGCATGGAACAAAAAACATCTTAAATTTTCAACGCCAAAAACACAGGATTTGTATCTATTCGACAAGAGAGCCAATGTTTGAGTTGAGCAGCTCAAGCTTAAGGAACTGCTCTTTATTTATTGTCTGGTTGGAGGGGGAGAGGGGAGGGGAGGGGAATTCGGAGGATTTTGGTTCTGTCATGATAAAATTTAACTAATCCTCCCATAAGGCTTCGTTATATCTTATGATCTCCCCTTCGGTCCTCCCTGAAAACAATGTTATCCACTCAAAAGTCCTCCGCAGCTCCCTCCCCTAAGCCGAAAGATAATTACCGGTCCCTTCGATCAACCCACTCGGGTGTAAATGCAAAGATGTGATGTGCTACTGTTATGCTGCTTCTAGATACTGCTACTCGTTGTTGGTTTTCAGGTGCTATGGATCAAAGAGTGTGAATATAGCCTTCCCTTTGAGAGTCTCTCCTTAGAAAGTCAGCAATAGTTGTAATAAGTTATCATTCATACAAACCCCCTCTGTTTGGTTCGTTAGTAAAGAGGAACGAATATTCTAAGCATCTCTTTTTTACGAACCATCAAAGATCAATTCTCTAACCAAAGAAAAATCGCCTGAGGGAGAAGATTTTCGAAACCCTTTTTCGTTCGTCAGCGCGTCAATAATTTTAACTTGAAGGTGGAATGATATTAAATTGTCAACGTTTAATGCTTGATAAAACATAGAACTTAACAGCAATCTATCATAAGTAAAGGTGAAAACCACGCTGAACAAAATTGTTTTCTCATCGATCCTTCTTAATTATCAGACGAGAAACAGTGGTAAACCAACGGACATTATTACAGCGGTTTGACAGTTCAGCAACTACTTGCAAGTTGCTCTAACTACTCTGAATGCACATACAAGGAGGGCAATTCACAAAATCCTTTCGTCAAAACTCGACACTAAAAACTGCGTCTACGTTGCAGTTTTAATGATGAAGACCCCCGATTAGCGGTTAAATTTCTCAAACTTCGAACTGAAATCACTCGTATTCCGCTGAAGTGATCTGCCATTTATCACAGCTCCAAACTAATAACAGGCGCTGAAAAACCGTCTTTTGTTAACTGTGATCAATTCAACGTACCGACATATTCATCTAAGCAATTAAAATTGGAAAAGAATTGATGCACACAAAGGCGCTCTTATCAGTTTGGTTTTCTGCGCTCGGCTGTAAAAGATCATGAAAACCATAATGAAATCTTGTGTCAATGGTGTAAATTACCTCGTATCGTGATCACAGCTGATGAAAGGAAAGAGATAATTAACACGAAAATTATAAAACGTCAGAAATGTGTTTTCTGCCCGCAAGGAAATATTCAGTGAGGTGTTGATACATTGCCAATGTTTATATTTCTGTGTAAAAAAAAAAAAATTCAGCCCAGAAAAAACATATCATATCAACTTTGTGATCGAAGCAGAATACTTGAAATTATTTTTTGGTGTGACTTACCCTTATTTGATGAAAGATCATTCCTTGCATTTTCAAAAGTTCGTCAGACCCGGTATATGGAGGTTGTATTCCGTGTTCGTTCAAATCACAAGACTTGAAGGACGTGTCGTAGTTGTACGAGATGCACATGGCGTCATCCTGGCAAGCTAGTGTACAACCCAGCCAGTCCTCGACTAAAAGTGTCTTCAACACAGGTGTAGCTAGATAACTATCCCGTGCAGTAAAAGAAAACGCTTCTGCGCGGGTTTTTCCGATATGAAATATCACAAAATGAAGTAAAGTAAACCAAAAAAAACCTTCAAACATACTGATTCATTTGGTTTCGTGGATGCGTACGCTCTTGCAGTTGAGTGCGTGCCTGAATGGTTTGGATATTTCGTTGCGTCCTGGTTTCACTTATAACTGATTTAAGTCCTTTTACTTTCAGTCTTTAACTGAAGCTTTGTCAAAGAAGAGTAAAGTTTTAAAGCTAACAGGAACAGGTCAGAAATTTACATTGTGTCAAGTTCGCAGGGATAACTGACAAGCCTTCCTGGCACAACTCAACGATTTCAATGAATCTATCATCACGAACGAACACTTATGAATAATTACTGACAAAATCGTTCAAACAATCCTATCAATTTTTGCCTCAAGCCTGCGACAATACGTTTTATTGCGATCATTCTGACTTAGTTTGCTTGAAATAGAACTCAGTAATTACGAACTCACGTTATTGCTGCGATTCTAACAGATTTGAAGAAATGTCAATTTTTCATTGGGAGCAAGAGTTTCAATACTCTTTACATAATATCTTAGGGCATATTGGAGACTTATTGGGTTCCTGTGCTGTTTGATCAGGTGGCCTTCTTGCGTATTCTGAAATGACATGCAGAGGAAAAGTTAATGTCAATTCAGCTAATTTCTTTGCTGTGCCAACCCACCAAAGTTTTTCCTTTACAATTACGACAAACTAGATAGAGCAGAATTCGGCACCCACAGCCGGCCAAATAAGGGCACAGCTTTGCACTGACTTAGTGGAACAGTATTTTTTAATGATTTTTCAATTAAAAAGTTCAAATGATTAGAAAAAAAAAAATTCCGCGATTAGACTCTGAGCGAAAATGTATATTTTTAATTACGTTTACAACCGAGCATCAGTTCAAATTTATTTTATCAGTCTCCATGAGAGATATAGCTGAGAAAATTTTTAGCTCTCCAGATGACCTGATACGAACAAGAATAAAGTGTGAGTCGCGTTTATTCAGTGAAGTTGTCATAGCAGTCATAACAAATTTTGCTGTTTTTTTTTCCAACTCTCTCCCTTAGTCAACATATATTCCCGGATAAGAGTGTTAAGTTCCATGGAATAATCTTAACCTGCTGTTTTTGGTTTAAGACAGTATCTGCATTAACTTTGATGACTTTGAAAAGTGACAAGCTGGTGACGAAAATCAATTCATAATGTTTGCACTAGGGAGCCAAAACTATAAACACAATTTCGAGAACAAATTAAAAGAAAGTGTGATTGAAAACTGTCTTCAAGATGATTTGCATAGAGTTAGTGAAGAAGTTTAATTTTGCAAGCGAGAGCACTTCACATAAAGACGTTTTTCCTGTGTGATATTTGAAGTTGAATACAACACCATAAAATGTTTACTGCGAAGGGAAAACTCCGAGAGTGACTTACATTTTAACTTGACGAAATATATTTGTTATCGCAATAGTTCATGACAGAAAAAAAAAACAGGTGAATGGTCTGTAGGACGTGTGGGAAATATTCCCGTTTTTTTTTTTTTTTTTTCAATTTTATTTCAGCTGATTTCAAACTTGTAAAGATCACTGCTACGGTGAGGAGAGGCCAGGAGAGGTTTTTTTTCACCCCTCAAAACACCGGCCACCTGACAAGTCCTGAGCTTACGTTACGTTCTATTGTAGTCCCAGACCCCATGAGGTTTTGCTGAGCTAGCAGATGCCCACGGAATGGCTCACATCAGTTCGTTGGTTACGTTCTAACACAATTCGGATAAATCTGAATCTTTCCGTTTTAAAACCGATATTAACCTTCATTGACTAAAAAGAAGCAATAGCTATGAGTTTATGTTTACGGGCTTAAATATATTTTACATTAATTCAATTATTACATAACCCACTCGTATGAGCTCTGATCATGCATATTTTTTTTCTATATCTAAAAAAACTGATAGATTACCCATTCCTTTAAATAGTTCCCTCAATCATCTCCCTACCGAGATATGACCCGGGCGTGACCGCGGATACTTATAATAAGTAACATTATTAATTCATTGTTATTTCCTTTTTCACTTTTTATCAATAATTGAGCTTGCATGTTGCTTTTTCATCAAATTTCCAGTCATATAGGGATGGACGAAGAAGCAGGGGAAAAATTAGAGAAAATTGCGCAATGATGAAAAAATAGAAATAGAAACTATGGTGAGCCATGAGCATGCATTGCTCACGTTGGCAAAATACCACGTGACATCTTTCCACTCTGCTCGTTGACAAGGCACCTTAAAAAGGTGTATTCTTTTAAAATCTTTCATTGTTAGTCGCACCGTCGTACCTGTACGGGTGAGCCATGTATTGGAAGTTGACTTTGCTAATTTTGGTCTCGGTATTCCAGCTTGATCATGGACGAGCTCAGCAAGGATGCTCCAACATTCCTAACAGTCTTCGGTTCGACTGTTACCCGGAAGGCGACGCAAACGAACAATCTTGTGTGAACCGTGGATGTTGCTGGGCCAAACCAACCATTGAGGAGGAGAACGTACACGTACCCCTCGATATACCATATTGTTTTTATCCAAACGACTATGGTTATCAAGTTGTGAACAAGGAGAAGACTCAAACTGGATATCTGCTGAGTCTCACAAAGAAAGGTCATCCGGGACCGTATGGAAATGAAATCGAAAATTTGGCGGTGGATGTTCGCTTCGAGACCAAAGATCGACTACATTTCAAGGTTTGAAAATTCAATTTTCCAACTCACTGAGCTCACGTTGTTGCCTCGATTTTGTTGTACATGTGGTTTAATTTCGTTCCTGTAATTAATATGTCGCGTGACCTGAGCTCGAACGTTTAATCACAGATGTTTGTCATAAACTTGTCTCGTTGTCCAAGTGTACGTGTAAGCTTGAGTTTGCATTATTGGTTACGTACAAAGTTAAATGAAAAACAAAATTGAATTAAACGGCAAACCAAACAAATTGAACAAGCTCTACTGCATTTGCTTTCAAAAAACCTTCCCATAAGAGTTAACATCTCATGATCGTCTTGTGATCACCAAGGGGTCAAACCTCATGTTTACTTTTAGATGTTGCTTCCTGTAAAGTTTTTTTTTATCAGTCTCACTCTAATGAAAAAACGAATTCCTCCACGTTACATGTAACTGTTAGACTAAAGCTGGCCCAGACTGTCAGAATCATGAAATTATATTTCAAACTGTTTTTTTTTTTTCAATTTTTAAGCAGTAAGGCCTCTGTTCTTTGCAAATCTCATGAAGACATGGATTTTCTTTTTTTGTATTACTTTGCCCAGAACTCACCATGTTAAATTTTGCCTCCAATAGCTACTTCAATATATGTGCTTGTTAACTGCATTGTGTAGTTTTGGGCCTTTTAAAACAAAAGGAAAGCTTGAGACAACTTGCTTTGTTTTTTTTTTATATTAATGATGGTCCTTTTTGTTGTTAATATAAACTAAGAAGCCAAATTCAGTTGCATGTTATCAGGAAAAGCCCAATTTAATATTTCCAATCATCTGCTACCACCCATGAAGCATTGTGAATTCAGAGTGAAGATTCCTTTTTAACACTTTAACTCCCAAGATCTGATTGTATATTCTCCTCTCTAGTTGTTATGCATTTCCTTGTAAATAGGTTGCAAGAATTTGGTGTTAGATCAAGATAAAAACTTCTTCCTGATAAGTTTGAGTATTCTCATTACCTTTTTGTCAGATGATGAATGAATATTATAGGGGGAGAAGATACATGATAATCACTTCTCTGAGTTAAAGGGTTAAACCAGGAAGGTTTGTCAGTTTAGTTTCTCATTTAACCAATGAACAGTCAATATTAGATTTTTCTAACATTTTTGGTGTTGATTAAAAATATTTTTTCCTGTGCACTGTATGTACATTCATGGGTCATAAGCAATATATATCGAAGAAAATCTCCAGCATTTGAAATGTAAAACAATATTCTAAATTCCCCGAGCTAAAAAAGTGGGAAAGCCTGACCTCTGTGTTTCAGGTGTTAATAGCAGTCTTTAAGATTTGATTATTAAGTCTCCCCTCCAGCGGCTAGACATTTCCTTGTAATTAAATTGTAAGAATTTGGTGTTTGATCAAGATAACAACTACCTGATAAATTTGAGAATTTTCATTGCCCTTTTGCTGGATAATATATGGATATTATAGAGAGAAATTACATGTTAATCACTTCTTGGAATTAAAGGGATAAATTCTTGCAGCTCCTCTCAATTTTAAAGAAGGATCTTTAAATACAGAAGAAGTCTTTTCTAACTATACTCCTCCTTTCTACTGAAACAATGCAAGTAACCTTTTTATGGCAATAATAGAATGTGTTTGCTATGTAATGTGCAATGTACATGATGGACATACATAAAATGTAATTTTCATTTTTATTTCTTCTGGTATATTTTTCCAGGTGTATGATCCAAATAACAACAGATATGAGGTTCCTATTGTGACACCAAAAGTTGAAACAGAAGCAACCTCACTGGACTATTCTGTTACTGTCACTAACTTTCCATTTGGGATTGCTGTTACAAGAAAATCTTCAGGAACTGTTGTGTAAGTTTCCTCAAAGTGAATTGTTTGTGCTCTTTGGTTACACAGTCTGTACTGCTTCGATAATGAAATGAAGAATTGAAGACAGCTGACATGTTCATTAACCTTTTCACCTCCAAGATCTTATTAGTAATGTAATTCTCCTACTGTCTTCCATACAAATCTTAAGATGTTATTTGGAAATATTTGATATTCACTGGATCAACTAACAATCCCTTAATTGATTTCTTCTTTAATTCTCATCATTCTTCTGCTTAATATTGTAATGATATTGTAACGAGAAATTCTGTCTTGGTCACACAGGAATTAAGGGGATAATATCTGCAAAGTGTTAGCAAGTACGTGAGCAACTATGCACAAAATTGCATGCTATGAATAAATTTTTGATAGCCCTGGGGTGTTTTTCATTCAGAGGAGTACACTTCTAAAAACCCTCTATCTATGCTTTTAAGTTTTAACAGCTCAGTTGGAGGAATGACATTTGAGAATCAGTTCCTTCAGATGTCTTCTCTGTTGCCCTCTGATGTTTTATATGGTTTGGGCGAACATTCAGCTCCATTGTTACTTGATGTCAAGTGGCAAAGAGCATCACTGTTTGCAAGGGATGTGGCAACTCCTGAGGTACGCAGAGAAACAGAATTTTTGTTAACTACTTATGCCTCTTTTATATAATGATAATGATAGCTAGTACAAAACAGTATATGAGATGCTTTAAATTGCATTCCCCTACCCAAAATGTGAAATTAAATGGCATGGTGGCAGCTGATTATGTCAAGTGCAGTTGTTTGAGCAGGGAAAAGTGTAAAAAAGGGTTGTTTTACCTGAATTCAATTAGAACACTATTTTTTCTGAACACCGATTTTTTTCTTAGGGATTCAACTACAATTTGTATGGTGTTCATCCATTTTACGTTTCATTGGAAAGAGATGGAAATGCTAATGGAGTCTTTCTTTTGAACAGTAATGCTATGGGTATGTATTGTAACTGAGCTGGGCTTGAATTAAGTTGTTTAATATTTTAACTAATTGGTAGTTAATCAGTTGTATTGGAAACTTTTATCAGTGACATGGTTAACTCACAAACTCAAAATTCATGATGAGACATGAGACATTTGAATCTTCATTCATTTAGTTAAATGCTGAATAAAAGCATCAAAGTTCTACTCCAAAAAGGATCTCAGGGCTTTTTGTTCAAGAAACTGAGGTGCTAAGCTTTTATAAATTCATTAGGGCAGCACTGTAATGATTCAATTTACTGTAGCTCCCTGGGTACTTATTTATTTTTGATACTTAAGAGAGAACTTATTTGAAACAGGGTGCTTATTGGGGACAGGGTTCTTATTTCTTTTTTGAGAAACAGCAGAATGTGAAATGGTTGATCTCAATATACATGTTCTCTAACAGTGCTATTATTGGAATGGGGGTGCTTATCGGAATGGGGGTCCTTACTCAATAGGGGCACTTATTCGAATTACCCAAAAACATTTGAGGGGGGTGCTTAATTATTAGAAAGGGATCTCTTATTGGAAGGAGGGTGCTAAATCAAATTATCGTCATAATATTATATGCAGAAGCAGACATATTAATTAAAGGCTCTGTGTGATGTTTCTACAAGTATCATGATAACTTATCCTATTACATCCTAAAACATTAGTATGCATATATTCTCCTCACTGTTCTGACAAAGAGAACTTGTTTGACAATCAAGAGGTTCTTTTGCTGGTGATCATTTCCTTCATTCTCATGACTTTAATGTGTGATTCAGGGTTGATGTTAATTTTAAGGATTAATTAGATGCTAGTCACTCATAGGGGTCATCAAAGGGATAAGGTTCTTGTCTAGTATGGGCCTCACAATTCATGAAAATCATGAATCAAATCATGAAAGCACATGCTTTCATCATGTGTTGTGAACTAAACTGTTTGAATTATTCTGCTCTATAGACATTGTTCTGCAGCCTACACCTGCCATAACATTCAGGACAATTGGAGGAGTACTGGACTTTTATGTTTTCCTTGGACCTACCCCAGATCTAGTTGTCCAGCAGTACACAGAGGTGTATTATATTTGATTGAAATTTGATAACTAGATATAAAAAGATAATTTATGAATAGTTGAAGGACTAAATAAGAACATAAAAAATGGGAATTAACTATAAACTCTGGATTGCACAGACACAATTACTTTTTAGGCAGAGGGTTTAATTGTGGCTCAAAGAGAATACTCAGGGCTAGTTATTTAAACAAAGTTTAGCCGTTGTTCAACAAAACTTGTTTTAAACTATCTTGAATTAAGATGAATCTTTTCTCTGAACAGTTTTTTTTGCGAACAGTGTCAAGAGGGCTGAAAATTGGAAGGACATTTACTTAATGAAAAAAGGACCCTCTTTCAGAGAATACCTAAGGCCCCCTGCTTGGGTAAAAATGCTGTTTGGGTTTGACCTTGTGAAAATAATGGGCCCTTAATGTTGACATAAATTTAAAGTGGTTAAAAATCCATCTGTTAAGAGACCAACAAGTAAGCTATGGAAAAGGAACATCCAGAGAAAGTCAAATATATATATATATATATATATAAATTTCACATGCCACATACAGGTGAAAGGTATGATTCAGTATATATGTATATTTTTTTTGAGAAATTGGCCCCTGTGAACTTTTATCTGGGAGGTGCACTAGTTTAAGGCCTGAATTATTTTTCAGACTTAAAATTCCTGCAATTTATTTGCTTTACTTCTTTCTGGCTGCAAGAATCAACTTCTATTACCCATACCACCTATGGCTAACCACTAAGATCAGTACTTCTTTTTATAAAATATTAGGTTGTAGGGAGACCAACCATGCCACCATATTGGGGTCTTGGATTTCACCTGTGTCGCTGGGGATATGGGAGTTTAAATGGAACAGAAACAGTAAATGCAAACATGAGGAGGTATGGGATTCCACAGGATGTCCAATGGAATGATATTGAATATATGGACAGACACTTGGATTTCACTGTGGATCAAAGCAAATGGAGTGGGTTGGGTGATTTTGTGAAGAAATTACATAACAACTATCATCAACACTACATACCTATTGTGGTAAGTTGCTTTTTTGTACATTTTACGAATGAGGAAAGCATAGAGAAAGGTGTTTTTTCGTCTTGTCACAAGGACATATAGAGGCATCTTCAAGGGTTCTCAAGCAATCAAGTCCAATCAAGTTTACCGTAACAATCTCGTTTTCAGGTACTCATCCCAAGGAAGACGGGAAAAGGAGAGACCCTGAAATCACGTTCGTCTCGTTTTTGATATGATTACAACTATTGTTGAAATCGTCTTCTAGAGAAAGTTTTTATAATGCCAAAGATACGATTCTGAGAAGCTCTTTATACCTCCCTCCTCGCTCCAGTTTCCCCTGAATCTCAGCCCATGAGCTCACTCGAGGAAATTTGAAACCCACCGCCTTGAAGCTGCGCGTAAGGCTCGCCCCTCCCCCTAAAGCATCCTTGTCAATTTCGTGAGGGAAACTCCAAAGCAGTTTTCTCAAACCGTTTGGAAGTTCATGCGGTATGTCATTAATTTTTTTCAAATTTATTTTTTTCAGGATCCAGGTATAAGTTCCGAACAACCCGCAGGCCAGTATCGACCATATGACATTGGCCGTAGCATGGGCGTGTTTGTCAGTTCATCCAGTGGTGAACCTATTATTGGCAAGGTTTGAAAACGAAGGCTTTTGTTAGTATGCCGATTTGAAAGTGGTTTTTGCGGAGGTCGAGGAGGAGCGACTTTTGATTGAGTGTCGATTAAGTAATCCAGGATTTCTTTGGTGTTGCTTCATTTCGCTCCGTGATTAGAAAACTCGTTGCCACTTTCTTAGCCAATCAGATTTGTTCTTTTAATCGCTTTCACCGTGAAGGTGCGGGACACACAACAGAGCGAGGCTCCAAATTATGTGTGCCCTTAAGAGAGGCTCTGTAAAAGTTAAGTGTCTTGCCCAAGTACACAACGCATTGACCCGGCCAGGTCTCAAACCCGGGCCTCTCGACGCGGAGTCCAGTGCACTGACCATTAGGCTACTGCGCCTCCGAGATTCAGATTAAAACCAGTCGCTTCTTGGTCACTCAAGTTTTCCCGCGCTTGAGGGAGTTTGTTTTTCTTTTACTTTGTGGCCCCATCGGCTCCTTGTGTTTGTTTGTATTTCTATTTTCATTGGTCAGATTGGCTGCTGTGATCACTATGGTTTTTCTTTTTCGACACTCGACCAAAATAAGCTCCATAACAACTGACAAACTTATCTTCAGGGGAAGACTGCAATTAAAGCCATTGTAGAAAAAAAGTCTACTATGTGAGACAAACGATGGTACTTCGTCGCCATTATCGACAATTTAACAATTACTTTGAGAGTTTGGGATTTCAATCGCTTGATAGTCGATGATGATGAACCCCACACCAACTATCATGCATAGAAATAGAGAGAAAGTAATGAATATCACGGAATAGATAGCGAGTGGCAAAGCCAGTCGGATTGCAGTATTTGTGATAGAACGGTTGTAGATTTTCACATTGCACTCATATTCCACACAGGTATGGCCAGGAGAGACTGTCTTTCCAGACTTCACTTACCCAGTGACGCAGTCGTACTGGGATCAGATGCTGACCGAGTTCAGGGAACTCGTCGAATTTGACGGACTTTGGATCGACATGAATGAACCATCAAACTTTGTTGATGGCTCAACTAAGGGATGTCCAGAAACTTCCCTGGATAATCCACCTTATGCGCCTCACGTGTTAGGAGGCACTCTCAAAGGCAAGACCTTATGCATGTCAGCCAGACATCACAACTACTCTCATTATGATGTCCACAGTTTGTATGGACTCACAGAAGCGAAAAACACAATGAGGTGATCAGAGTTTTAATAAAACCCTTCCCCACCCCCCCCCCGAAAAAACAAAAACAAGAACAAAAACAAACAAAAAAACACAAAAAAAAACCCAGAAAAAAGTGATAGATTACACCTTGCCATGTGTTTGTTCAGGAGTAGGTCACACTAAAATAGTCTCCTTCGCATGTCACGCAACGTGGGTGGGGAGGGGGGCACATCCTAAAGAACGGCCGTGAAGGAAGTTTAGGTCAAATTTGAAGTCCAAAATCCTGTGAGAACCCAAAACTGAAAGGGGAACAAAAAGCTTTCGTTTTAACTACATTTTCTGTTCTTTGCTTTATGACCGAAGAAGGTACAGGAAATGGAGCATATTTTCTTCATGCATGGCCAAGTTCCTAATTATTTCAAGCTTTTCTCATAGCCACTTCTCACACTAAACTGAATTAGCTTACCCCCTGTCCCAGAAACTGGCCTTACTTCAGCGGAACCATGATCTTCTTTGCGCTTTAACGTTCATTTTCTTGTTGTATTTATCAAATAGTGCGCTGGAGAAAATCCGTGGGAAGCGGAGTGTTGTGATTTCACGCTCAACATTTCCCAGCGCTGGTCTTCATGGAGGTCACTGGTTAGGCGACAACACTGCTTCGTTCAATGATTTATATCTCTCCATACCAGGTAAATGCATGTGATTTAAATATACTGAAAGGTTAAAACAAAATTAATTCAGAACAGCGACAATCTACGCCAGCCAAATTTGAATAATGCGACTTTGTTTTTGCTGCTAAGCCTGGTGCCTGCGCTAATCCTGAACACAAATGAAGTTTTTGGAAAGCGTTAATTTCACTGCCCCTTGTATTTTTTAACGGGTGGCATGCTGATGTTTGGGCCGGCAAGTCGCTAAACTTTTTGCACGCCCCAAAAGACGGTTGAGCATTTCTAGTGCCGGTATTGTTGGGTTTTTTTAATTTCCCGACCGCGAACGGAAGACATTTAAAGTCTTTCTTTCATTTCCGGCGCTTTTGAATTAATCCAGCCGAACGGCGACAGGTCAAGAGACACGAACAATTTATTTTCTGTTGTGGTGTTTTTCATTAAGTTCTCTTCGGAAAATCCACAGGCAAACTTGTCATACGATATGTCGTGCGTCATGGTTAAAACCCTTTTTTAAGTACCAAGTTTAGGATTGCGTTTAATTCTCTTATACTTACGTTAGCCATTATTGCCTCTTTCAAAGCGACGTTGAAATCAGCCACAGATCAGAAAAGAGGATCAGTTAAGATAAATGTCTTGTATATCAGATATTCCGAACTTGTAAACTTTGAAAACTATCTTGGAAGCAACTTCCAAATAATAACTTGTCTCCGGAGAACACTCACAATGTACTGGGCAGCCTGTGGAAACTCCATTTTAGGTGACATCATCCCATAGGGAAGGGGATATTTTCAGAATTAATTTTACAACAACTGCATGCTTCTCCATTCCCAACCACTATCGAGTTTTCATTGATTTCTTCCACAGGAATATTAAACTTTAATTTGTTCGGCGTTCCCCTGGTCGGAGCAGATATTTGCGGGTTTAACGGAAACACCAACAAAGAACTGTGTGGAAGATGGATGCAACTTGGAGCTTTCTATCCATTCTCGAGAAACCACAACACCATTAAGGCCAATGTCAGTAAATTTAGAGAGAATATATTAATAGTTCAGATGCCTGTTTGTGGGTTTTATATGTATGATGCTTTTCAAAGATTTTAATCGGCGTGGCTGGCACAGGTCAGAAAAAATTTTCCAAGATCAGGGAAAAGTCAGAGAATTTCACTTTGAGTCGGGGAAAGTTTACATCTTTGTAAAAGTCGGAGGAAAATGAAATTTGAAGTAAATAAGAAGTTGTTTATCTGTCGATCTTGGCCCCCTTTATAAGGAAAGACGGTTAACACTTTCCTTTTGTGATGTCGATGTTACCAATGTATATTGCACCACTGTTTAGAACAGTTGACTCAGATTCTTGATCAGCATATCCTTCCCTTTGTCATGCAAGTTCGAGTTGGGTTATGAATATGAACACGAATGAATGAATGAATTTTTCTTCTTCCATTTCATTGTTTTATAACATTTCGCAACAGACAAGAAAGGTGTTGGATTGATATGATTTAGTTTAATGAAATATAACGACCAGCTGATTTGGATTTCCAAGAAAATCAGTCCTTCTTCCATGTAACTGAAAGGAACTATGAATTCGTGTACACTGGAAGTGCCTCGCTGAAAGTATGACTGAGGAGGATGGCTGTGGGTGGGGAACTGAGGAGGATGGCTGTGGGTGGGGGTGGGGGTGGGGGTGGGGGGCCATCATCAGGAATCGTTTGTGAAATTGTTAATTGGAAATTAATTGGGGGAGAGGGAAGGGAGCTGGAGGAGTTTGGTTTTTGGATCGGTCACGATAATATTTACCTACTCCCCCCATAGGATCATAAGAATATTACAGAGCCCTATGGGGGTTCATAAGGAAAAGAGAGATTATGAGAAAATCCTCCACCGCTCCCCTCTCCCCCTGCGCTAAATTATGACTGGTCCCTAACTACACAACAATCCCTTTCCTCAGTCGAAACATATTTTCTTTTTCTGTTCTTAGCCTCAGGACCCTGCTGCCTTTGGAGACGACTTTGCGCATATGGCACGTGACGTGTTACTAACCCGTTATGCATTGTTGCCGTATTTGTACACGTTGTTTGCGCATTCGCACATGCGAGGAAGTGCCGTGGCTAGGCCTCTTTTTTACGAGTAAGTAAACACTGAATACCAAAATTGCTCTCACGACAGGTTTGCTTGCAGTATCAGTGTCACTTACGATTGTGTGAAAATTGAGGAATGAGGCTTATGTTTCGATCCAAAACATTCGACTCATATTTCATAATTACTGTTAATTCATTCACATTTTTTTTAACGCCAGTCAGATGTGAATGCCCCCTTTACTTCTCTCTTTTGTGTCTCATCTTAAATTTAGCCGAACCTTTAATCTGAACATTTATTTCTGTGAACAGTGTCACGAGGGCCGGAAGCTAAGGACATTTATTTGATGAAATTAACCCTCTTATGGAGAATCCCTGAAGCCCACTGCGTGCGTCTGAGTCAGACCTCGTGTAAATAATCGGCCCTCAAAGTTTCCCCGAACTTCATTCCTTAAATTGTTATCAAATGGAAATCTGACCCTCTTTCCTTCCCGATATGTCTAGATTTCCAAGTGACAGTCAGACATATGCTATTGACAAGCAGTTCCTCCTTGGTCCAGCCTTGCTGATAACACCCGTTTTAACACAGGTATGTGCACGTGATCAACTTTAGTGTTCATGATTCTCTTCCAGTTTCTTTTGAATCGGTCAGATTCATCCACATTTAAAACAACTTATAATGTATTTAGAAGGGAAACACCCACACAATTCAATAATTAAGCACGTGATATGATTTATTTATTTATTTCAAGGGATCTACATCCGTCACTGGCTATTTTCCAGATGCCACCTGGTATGATGGAACAGATGGTTCTATTCTACAGACACAAGGGGGTAAGACTCACACGTTATCCGCCCCCTGGGATAAAATCAATTTTCACTTCAGAGGAGGATACGTGATACCAACGCAAATGCCAAACATCACCACATATTACAGGTAACGCAGCGCAATATGCGTGACAATAGATTACGAACACCTCCTTCTCGCGAAGTCATCGAAAAAAGTTAGCGCGCCGCGCGGAACTCTGGCATTTTCACTGACATTGTTTTATTTCTGGACTCGCGCGATGGACCTCGCCCAAAAGCGGGACTGCTCGGCGTCAACGTGACAACTTCGTGCCTATTTTTTAGAATTAGTGCCAATTTTTTAGAATTAGTGCCAATTTTTTAGAATTAGTGCCAATTTTTTAGAATTAATTCCTCGTAATCCTCAACAACTGTTGGTTCAAGGCTTTTTCTGTTTATTGCTGTGTTTGTCTGTCTATTTATTCGATTCTTTTATTTGTATCGCAGCCGTCAGAATCCATTCCAATTGACCGTCTGTTTGTCGTCGTCCGGGGAGGCCATGGGAGACCTGTTTTATGATGATGGAGAGTCTCTGGGTAAGGTTTGAACAAAAGGAAGTTCGTCCTACCAATAAGAAAGCAAAGTAGTCCCTAGTTCAGCGCAGGTAGTACACATCATGTGCTTGTTGTATGCTTTTGAGTGCTATGAATATCATTTTTATTGGTAAGTCACCTCAGGCTTGGTCTTGGTGCTAATCATGCTAACCGGAGCAGCTGAGGGTCGGCCTGACTAAACAGCAAACCTGGCGTTCAAGTCTTCTCGGTTGAGCCTCTTGTTAAACTTCATATGAAATAGTTTTTTTTCTGCTGAGCTGTTTGATCTCACCAGCCACCATGTCATTCTTAGGTGATTCGTGTTCTCCTCCAGTGCAAGATTATTTTAATTGTTTCTTTCGTTCCAGATCCTATTGTCAGTGCTCCATATTTATACGTGATATATGCAGTTTCCGAGGTCAGTGCGTAGAGAGTAATTCATTTAAATGAGGCGAAATATAATAAAGGCAAGGTTAAATGAAGCGAATGCAGCAGTTTCACTAGCGGGATGTTTGGGGGAGGGTGTCATTGCTCTTTGTTTTTGCTCCCTTTGTCCCTCCCTTTCTTCCCTCCTTTAAAAGCTTTTGGTAAGTAATCATTTTTAACACCCCCCGTTCGGTTAAAATTTATATATCTTCCGATACCATTGCTCGACTCGAATAATATGCGCCGTTAATGCGAGTTGAAGGCTCTATTTTGTGGATTCTGCTAATTTTTGACTATAGAAGAGTTTGTTTATTTTCCTGCCGAGTACACCTCCGCTGCCTTACAATTTGTTCAGTGAAATAGGAGAAGACATCGAAACAGTGTTATGGTATCAATATTCAAGACTCAACACTTTTCTTTGATTTTGTATTTTATGATTCATGAATATTCTTCTTCTCTTTGGAAATGATACTCGGCTATGGCGCAAAGTTTGTTTCAATCTTTCCTCAATGCAATTCCTCAATTGAATATTTCCTGCAGGGGACGCTTAAGGCAACAGTGGACCCCAAGAGTTCGTACCATCCCGAACCACTACTGATGAACTTGGGAGTGTTTGGTGTCTCATCAGCTCCCAAGTCCGTTACTGTGAATGATCATCCGATAGAGAGCTTCTCCTACAGCGCCTCAACTAAGGTTATTTATTAACCCCTAGTGATTAAGATCCAATTTCTCCATACAGTGTCATTGCTGAATGAAACAGTTAAAGAGAACAGTATGGAGAATACAAAAACTGATGTTAGAGACTAAAAAGTTAAGAAGTACTTGTAGCCGACAGTTTTGTGCGCACTGGGTCTCTTTGCTTGTTAAATTCTGTTCATATAATTCACTATGCACCGTACGTTTTCCTTGAGTAAGTTCTCAAAAAAAAGTCAACAGAAGGTAAAGATTTGACGAGTAATGGTTGACGTGTTTGACTCGAGATTAAACGGTCAAAGTTCACTGCATTATGCTCTTGGCTTGGTACTGTGAGTAACTTTAAGTAAAAAAATTTCGGACATCTTATCATGGGATGTAGTGGTAACCAATTATAATGAAGAAATAATTCTTGTAACTGAGTCCATCAGTGCCAGGAAAAATAGAGTTATTGGGCTGGTGTTGTTGGCCAGTAAAAAGCATTTTTCTAAAGTTATGAAAAGTTTTCAGCCTCACACATATTTCGAGAAGTGAAGAAATGTGCATGTGGTTTAACAGATTGGCTTACATTTTTAGTAACTCGCTGAGCAATAGGATGATTGAACGACCAACGGATTGACAGACGGAAGAGCAGGAGGATTGAGTGTCTAACTGCTTTACTATTGTTGTGTTCTTTCTGGTTAGGTGGTTAGAGTAACCGATCTCAAGCTACCCATGGACAAAGGCTTCACTATCCAGTGGTCATGAACAAATGACGCGATCCGGCAAGGCAGCCTCAAGAAGGGCGAAGAGTTAGAATCCACTTGCGAAATAACGAATTGTATTTTTCTACAATTGAAGGAAATGATCCTGTTTTCTTGTCATGGCAGTTTTCCTGAGTCGTTCTTATTTTGGGAGAGATTTTAATCTAGCGGTCGTTCAGCAAAGGATAACTTTTCAAGTTGAAGCCCAAATCCCGAAGTTATCCAGTTTAAATGATATTATAAAATTAAAAGTTTATTAGTTGAATTCACAATTTTGGAATTTCGTTAATGAGGCATTAGATGCCATTCTTAGGGATGAGATCTTGGTTCATTTTTTATCGATATGAATTAATATTAAAACCATTTTTTTAACAAAAAAGGGTTTTTTAAGAATTGTGACTGAAATTTAGTTTTCAATAAGGCAATTATGGCGTAGAGTTTAAAAGAATGTTCAGTTACAATGATCAAATAAAAAATTGTTTTAGTGCTTTTAGAAGATGATTGTCCCAGTTTTGTTGTAATTGGTTTAGGTGTCAGTGCACTAGAGATCGCTTATTGCAACAGCTTACAGTTTCGTGGAGTGTATAGGAGCGTATGAATGAGTTCTCTTGTTTCTGGTGGCAGTACCTTTCACCAATACGAAAAACAGGGAAATAATAGACATCTTTGGTTTGACAGTGTTCTTGTAAGTGGGAATTTCTAATTTAGACCGCACAGTACTTTTAATCGATCTGTTGACTCGAATGCGAAAACTGCTCTTGAGTCGTGTAAACCACGCATATGTAAAAAAGAAAGTATGAATTTGGCATTTAGGGTAGATCAGGGTAAACAACATGGCAACTAAGCCAATCGGATGGTCCCGTTCTGTCAGATCCTTGAATATTTCATATCTCAGATGGGCTAAAATGGTGGACAGGGATCAACCATTGACCAGAGACATAATCCAAGGGTATTGGAGCAGCTTAAAGGTGAACTATTCAGGGATTAAAGATCTGTCGACATTTTATTACAGCTTGAAAAAAATGTCAGGACATAGAGGAGAGAAGTTATTGTTACAATAGACTCAGTCAGACCAGTGTGACAGAACTCTTTTTTTTTTTCGTTAAATTGTGATTATTGCCTTTTACGCACTGATTTTAGACCGTCAAAATGCTTAACCCACGACGTAACGGTTTGAAATCGAGACACTCGAACGGCTTTCAAATCAATGACCATTACGGAATTTCTAGGACACATTTCGATCTAAAAGAAAACTTTTAGGAATCATAATATGCCTGTTGTAGTTCAGAACGTATTTTCTCACGGTGCACACTTGAAGAAACAGTCCAATATATGTTTCATTAGTTGATATATTGTGGAGGGGCCCGCATCACGGAAGTTCTTTTTGTTTTCTACGAAGTAACTATGGAGAATAACACTATCGAAGTATGACGTCATAGCTGCTTACGATCGTGATCATGCGCATTATTCCCAAGGGAGTGAGAATGAGTTGAGATTTCGAATTTTGAAAAATTATATATCTTTCACCGCCATTCCTTCAGACTTTGAAACTGCAGTCTTCTTAAGATCAACATAGAACCTTATATATTGACAGGACCTTTGATATTGCGCCTTCTCGTGCGGGAACCTCGCGGTTACGAACCATGGCAGCTTCACAAGTTTGTTTTGCTTCTCTCATACTCCTCACAAGTTATGTTGTGGCATATCGTAAGTTGAAATTTGTTTGTGGTTTTGTTATCCCTTCGTATTAAACTGCATTACCTTTGAAATATGAATTCCCACATAATGTCGGTGTTTGGGTTTAATAGGACGGCCGCTGGGAGATTTTATAAACCACTACGAGACTTTAAATTATGACACGGCTCCAGTTGTCCAGCAACACGGTCGAGTGAGGCGTTCAAGTCCAAACAGCGATCATGTGGTTGAATTACACTTAAAAACTAAACAGAGGTAAGAACCAACGTCTAAGTCGTATTCCAGGGAATTTTGATCTAGTAGAAACACTTCAAAGACGCAAATAACTTTAAAGTCGTTTCCAAGTTACATGCTGAAAGAAGGGCTGCGATTACATCTCCCGTCTTGCTTGTCTCCTAACTAAAGCTTCAATTGTATATAAACAATGTGAGGAATTAAATTCTTTATGTTATTAGAACCAAAGTCATACTTTCTTTTATTCAAAACTGACTTAACACAAAAGCTAAAGCATAATACAAGGGAGGTCCCTTGAGCATAGGAGCACAGCAATCCGTGTTATAATTTGAGGTGTGTTGTGTCTTTCTTCTTAGTAAACCTTGAGTAGTTCCCCATACGGAGTGCTATTATACTTTTTTAGACTTTTTTAGCTCTGGTAGTTAAGAACACTCGGACTTGATTTTTCACGGACATAGGCCAAGGGTGACCTCTTTTCTTCTTGCGGACCCCATTTAAGTCATGTCTCTCACATAAGGCTTTCACTATATGAAGTAATTTTGGATTAACAAAGAGCATGCATCTTTAAACATTCCTCAGGGTATTGTACATTGTTAATTTGGAAACATACAAAGAGCATGCATCTTTAAACATTCCTCAGGGTATTGTACATTGTTAATTTGGAAACATACAAGTACCTTCAGATAAAATCATTTGGGTAGTAACATCTGTCTACTTCCCCATACAGAAGTCATCTTATAATTTAGCTTACGAATATATTATTTTGCTGGTCTTGAAGGGTCATGTAAAATTACAACTCTGCCCTTCAGATCACTTAATGAAATGAAGCATGCACAATAGAAAGCATGTTTCTCAAGTTTTAATGCCCACAATTATTTTGTTGTTAATGCGAACTGAATGATATTGAGGTTGACTTGGCCACAACCAAGTGTGAAAAGGGCTTTAGGTATGGGCATGTGTTAGAGAATATGTCCTTGCAAATAACCCAAGTGACAGCTCACCTGACAGCTAAGCAATACACTACCATTTGGGACCCTCTTTAGATAACACTTGGTTGCATATTTAATGGAGATGAATTGCTGAAAAAGGTCACTCATTACAATCAAATTTGTAAGTTTAAAGTTATTTTATGAAAAAGGTAATCATGTTGGATCAGCCATCCTTTTTGTAAAACAATCCTTGTTAAGACCCAAGTTGATTGGTCTGCAGGGTTGATATTTTACAGTTGTTTTATATAAACACTGAATATGGTTTTCTTGTCACAGAGATTTTAAGCTTCGTCTCAGAAGGGATACAGAACTTTTTACAGATGACTTTAGTGCAGATGCTTACTTTGATCCTGCTAAAGTGGTTGCAGGGGATGTAGAAGGTACTTGAAAGTTGTGTGTTATCAGTGTCTGAAGAACCTCATTGCATTTGCTGTAAAACGCTGCGTTACTTATAATCAACAACAGTATTTAGAGGAAAGAAGGCAACAGTCTCCTTAGCTAGAAGTTAGTCTTTATGGCAACTAAGCAGGATCACTTCTTCAGGCACTTGTCAAATCAGTCAACAAACACCCAAAGAGTTGGTTGGGGAATGGTCAAATTGAGCATAAGTACCCATCAATTCCCTTCCAAATTCCATGGGGCACACCAAATCCCATCCATAAAAATGGCCGTATAGCATTAGTTTTAACCTTGCCTAAACTTCAATCAATTTAAAATTTTGTAGCACTCTTGTACCAGTACAATTTGTGTAAATCAACTTGTATGGACTCTTTGTGCTTTAATTTTCCTGCATTTTGAAGCATGTGTTAAAAATTGACAACTCTATGCAAGTTCATCACAGACAAACTGCAATGTGAATAATTTTAGGAGAGAAGTTAGCTTCAAAGGGAATTTAGTGGTCATTCAGGTTGGAAAATAGAGACTGCACCTCTCCACTTTCACCTCTACAATCTACATTTGTATTTTAGTGGCTCACTTGCATGATTTTTTTATTGTGTGTGTATTTGAGTGTGTGAAATCACATAATTTCAGTTACATGGGCAAATGCCTTTATGGATTTTGTTTGATATGCACTGACAACATAATTTTTTTTCTTGTTTTACAATCAGGACACAAGAAATCTCTTGTTCATGGTTTTATTTCTGATGATGGCGTCTTCGAGGGTAAAATTCATGTAGGAGATGACGAGTATTTTGTGGAGTCCGCCAAGGAATATTTCAAGGATGAGCCCAATGACTTCCACTCAGTTATTTATGAAAGCAGAGATGTGAATTATCCTCATGCCTATGGTCCAGGTTGTGGAGTATCAGAGAAAACCAAGAAGTGGATGGATAAAGTTAAAAGGTACATATACATTGTACACTTAAATAGAGACATCTTTATAACACTGGAAGTGTGGGATATCAATCATACTCACTTGACTCACTAGCTGTTACTTATCACTTTTGTATATCAATGTCAGTGCCAATACATTAAGCTACATGTGATAGACTTTGCTAATTTCTCAGCATTTTTCACTTGTGGGCTGCCTTTCTTTATTTGTGGTTTTAGACTGAGATGAGTGATGAATAATACATGTAGACTGATTGAGAGACTTGATACCAGGGACCTTTAACATTTTGGCATTATTTATTTCAAAACAAATCAAAGGAATTTCTGAATTATTTTGGAAACTGTTCATATACATGTACATGTATCAGTAATACATGTATTTGAACCTGCTCCCAGCATCTTTGTCATGCAAGAGAAACCAATTTTAGATAAACAATATAAAAATATGATATTATATATTTGACAATTCAACACAAAGAAGTGTTAATTTGAAGAAACCAAGAGCAAACTGACAGTCAGTACCTCTTTGATTCTCAATTTTTGCTTTTTGATTGACTCAACCAGGTCAGCAGTGACAGGGAAGGTGGAAGTCAAGGAGGATCACACCCAATATGAACCAGTCCTATACAGATATCGCAGGGCAGCAGGAGACATTGATCCCAAAAAGTTGTCTTGTACTTTGAAGATGCAAGTGAGTAAATTGTTCAATTGATGTCACACAAATGGGCATCTAGGTCCACTGATTGTGTTATTTTAATGTTGAAGTACTACAAAGTAGTTACAAGGGTCAGTTACACAGCCCTGACCTATCCAATTACAGGAAGTGAGCCATGAATTCCATTATGGTTTTAAAGCCTTTTTTCATCTTTGCTTGCTTTATTCCTAAGAACTAATTACTGTAATTGAATTAAATTAATTGAAATCGGGGTTTCCTGAAATGTGATTAGTTATTTTGTCAAACAGTGATTGAAGTAGTGAGTCTGTTAGTATTATTTTAAATAGCATTGTTCTTTACAATAAAGGAAGCTAATCACATAATGGTTCAAGTGTACTTTGTCTTTTAATTAAGGAACCGATTCATGAGGTGTTTGTTTCTTGATCAAAACACCTTCGGTATTTTTCCTTGCGTTCAGTTGTGGCATCGGTTGTCACAAGTCTTGAAATCTAAATCTCCTTTTAAAAATATTGGCTACTGCTCATGTACTTTTCTGAGTAACTAACCTTTTACTTGTTAGAGGAGAATAGCTGGTTGTAACATTGCCAATTAATTGTCTCATGTAATATAATTTTGTATCCTAAGCTTATTATACTTTTTCCAAAATATAATATCGCAACAAAAAACTTACCAAAACACAATCACTTTACAGTGATTGACATTGATAGTGTTTTTTTGGTAGTTTCATGTACATGTGCTTTATGATTGATGCACTACCTGTGCATGTTGGTGTTGCAGTTCAAGATCATTTTGGAATTCTGACAAATTCAAAGGAAAATACAAATTTCCAGTAATCAAGAGGTTACCCTTACATGTAATCCTTACAGTGCCTCTCTGCAAGAGGGAGTTGAAAATTTTTTGATACCAGTATATTGTAAGAGAATTGGTAGCCATGAAATGGACAGAAATCCTGTTCAAGGAGTTATAGCACACTTATTTTAGTGTTGTTGAGCTTCTAAAACTGGGATGAGGTGAGACAGAATGAATCTTTGAGCTTCTAAGCTTATTTTGCCTTAACCTATCAAAACTTTCAAGAATAAAAATCAGCTTCCTTTCATATTTAAACAAAAAGGAAAAATGTCTCTTTTTGCAGCTTTCATTAAAAATGATTGCCTTGCTTTGCAGGCCGATCATTTGTTCACAGAAAACATGGCTGGTGGAAATAAGGAGAGAGCAATGTTACTGATGGCAGAACATGTCAAGGCTGCAAATTCTATTTTCAAAAACACAGACTTCAGTGATGATAATAAAGCTGACGGTAAAGTAATCACTTAATATATACCCTACTACACCACTTACTTGTTCATTCTGAAGTTAGATGATGCTAATAAGACAACTGACATGTATCATCCTGAGTGCAGACTACAAGCTCATTGTTGTTCAAATTCACTATTTGGTGACCTGGAATCATAAGGAGGTGAAAAGAAACAACATTTTGTTCACCTGGAAATAAAACAAACACAAAAAGAAAAGACTAAACATAAACAAGATTGAAACATATTGAGTTGCTGGTGATGGTTATTGGAGTTGTAAGGGACCTCTCAAGACATAACATACATTCAGACAATTGAGGGGAAAGTGACAATGTGATATTAAAGAAAAATAAACACAAAAGCATGAAAGACTGCTAATAAGCAACTCCTTCAAAGCTGCTTACATCTTAGAACTCAAAGATGTAGCTGTTAGATAGTTAATGACAATGTTCTACAAGGGCATGCACTGACAAAAATGACCACTGACCAAATGAGGCTGATGATCTTCTTGCGTTGCCAGTAAGATGTATTTAGAAATCTTGTGCTCTTATTGGGCTTGGTTTAAAATGCAACGCAAATTTTTTCCTATCAGGCATTGAATTTCAAATCCAGAGAATGTTTGCCAATGGGACTGCTGAAGCAAATGATGGAGGGAACCCTTACAGAGATAGCAACATTGGAGTGGAAAAGCTCCTTGAGCTGAACTCTGAGGAGAACCATGATGATGTATGCCTGTCATACATTTTTACCTACAGAGATTTTGCAGATGGTGTGTTAGGACTTGCATGGGTTGGTGAAGCAGGTAATAAGAACTTTTATATTAAGGGTTGGTTATGTGACTCTATTCCTATGCCAGTTTCTACAGTGCCTGGCTAAGATACATGCTGTACATGAATGTGACCCCCTAATTCCACTAACAGTACCTGTTAAGGGCATTGTTGAGTATTGCATGACATTACATCTGTTTTCAGCTAAAAATCTTTGATATTTGGAACCAACAGTACCACCTACTACTTTACAATACATTTCAGAGCACGTAAATTTTGACATAACATTGAGGAGCTCATGGTTATAGTAATACCAAACCATCAATATGGCTGATCACTTTGATAAATCCAAAGACTCTTTCACATCAGCATCCGTTTATTGGATTTCTTACAAAATCGATGTACCACAACATGTTTATAATACTGTTACAGTAGCCTCTTTTGCTTGAAATTTAAACATGTAGAGGAATCCTGAAATAAAAGCTGCTATTCTGTTCACTCTTGTTGTCTAAATGTTTCAAATGACCACAGCTAGGTCAGTGCTGTACATACTTCATTGCTTTTTTACCTTCTCAGGTATAAGTGTTATTTATTTTTCATTTATCATAAGGTGGAGCTGCAGGGGGGATTTGTGAAAAGGCTACTTCATTTAGAGATGGCAAAACAAAAAGTTTGAACACTGGAGTTGTCACATTTGTCAATTATAACAAGAAAGTGTTACGAAAAGTCTCTGAGATCACCTTTGCACATGAAGCTGGCCATAACTTTGGCTCGCCAGTAAGTTTTAATGATGTCTGTTTGTATTAATTGGCATACATTGTTGCTGTAATGATCATTCTTACTTATACATGTACTTGTGAAGAGCTTCTGGTAAACTTAGTACATTAGTTTGGGCATTTTTTATCAAATTAATAATATAGCTGTGGGTAAAAAGGGATGATAAACCATTTAAAATGAAAAAAGGAAAGGAGAAAAAAAGTTGTTCATAATACAAGCAAGCACCATAGTCAAGAAATGTCATAATTCCACAAAGCATACCAGAGACAAGCAAAATGGATATAGGACCCTCCACCCCAAGAGCATTTGAACTCCTTCAATACTATATACCCATAAAATGTAATGCCTAGTGGTTTTATAGGGTGAAAATCAGATAGTTTTAACTTTTAGCCTGCAAATTCAAGGGTCTGGCAAGGATCTCCAAGAGGTGTCATGCTGTTTCACATCAGGGTGCTTGCCAGATTGTCATGGTGATACCCAAACTTTTTATTTACTGTAGGGGGTGAGGGAGGGGAATTGGTTAACCAAAACAATAGCTTGGTGAAGTTCCAGATAACTGACAGTAAATTACTCTCTGGATGTTTTAGTCCTACTGTTCATCAGTCAGAATGAATGAGAAAGCATGGATGTTAAGTATTTAAAGTGTTGATGTTGTAAGCTGGGCACCCTGAGCCAGGATTCCCCCACCCCTTCCGCATGGAATGTACTTTTAAAACTACTTGACTGTGTGGAGTTTTTGTCCAGTTGTCTGACAACATTTCTTTTTAAACTCACAGCACGACAGTACTCCTGAATGTGCCCCAGGAGGATCTGATGGGAATTACATCATGTTTGCAAGAGCTACAAGTGGAGACCAAAAGAACAACAGACTTTTTTCACCATGTAGCAGGACAAAAATGAACGAGGTGATGAATGTCAAAGGGCGATGTACTGAAAATTCCTGTTGCTTTGGAGGTAAATAGTGCGGCATTTTCTTCTTGTTTAGTGTGTTATGTTTGGGGCTTTCACATGTGGCATGCTATAAAAGATAAATTCAAGGCCAGTCAAAGGGTACAGTCAACAACCTGGAACATGGTAGAGTTTGATACATGTACAGCTACATGTATAAGCAACTGTGCTAAGATTTAGACCTGTATATTCTGGCATACAACTGTACATGTAGGTTGTAGCAGCAGGGATACAAGAGCTGGAATTTGGCAGAAGCAGCTGTAGAGTTTTTCTATTAAATTGACAAGCTTTCTCTCTCCTGGATTACTGATAGTGATGAATACCAGTACTTCATCTCAAAAGCTAAAGCTTCAAAGAATAGCATCTCATCTACAAAACATCTTTTTCTGTAACTCGTGAAATGCAAAATGCTTGGGATTTCAGTGTACTCTACCAAGAAAATAAGAAGAAAATGTTGAACGAAAAAAGTTGTGTAATGATAAGAGCTGAGCAGCCTTATAACCTATAAAGTGTAGAACTTGAAAGAATGAGTTATTATGTTCTTCAACATGTAAAGTACAACAATAGCCTGTTGTGAATCAAATTATCTTGACTAAGGACAGCAGCTATTCTTTAATGAGTGGTTTTTGCACTTTGGTGTTGAATTTTTTTCCTTTGTCCATTTCAGAGGCTCAGGGAGCCATCTGTGGCAACAAGGTTACAGAAGATGGGGAGGAGTGTGACTGTGGTTATAAAACTGATGATTCATGTAAGAAGGACACATGTTGTGTGGGTCGTGACACTCAAAGCAAAGGAAGTGGCTGTAAGCGAAGGGGAAATGCAACATGCAGGTCGGTTAATCATTTTATTGTTTAACATGCATCTCATTACTAAAATGTTACCCACAAATTTGAATCATGGTTGTGTAGTTGCTTGATGGTCATGGATCATTCTCTAAAAAACTAGCTGAAAATTTCATTTTGTACTACACACCTGGAAATATAATTAAATTGAAACTGTCATTTCTCTGATCATTTGAATTGTGTCAGCTTAACATTTTCCTAATACCTTACTTATTTCATTGCAAAGACACACAGTGACTAAATGGGTAGCTTACTGTACTTTAAAAGTACAGGTTCAGTTCCTGTCTGCACTGTAGATTATTCTGGAAGGTAAATGTTGATTGGCTCCATTAAACTGTCAAGTGACCCTGAGGGAATTCAGGGGTTTAAGCTGGAATTCATACGTTAACATCCCTGGGCCTCTAGTCCCTCTGTACAACTGAAACTAGGAGAAGCCCTGGCAGTAAGCTCAAGAACAGTTGTGATGATGTTTTCTGCTAATCCAGTTATGACTTAAGTGTGCTGTGTCTTTTTGTGGGAATTAGTGTTACTGATGAGGAATTTTAAATTAGGGCCCACAAGTTTTTGAGTCGGTTGTATTAGATGAGGTTGTATTTCCCTGGCAAAACTCTACACATTAATTTATTCATTGTGGTACATTGTAGATAGTTCACAGGAGCTTTTTAATAAAAGGTTACAAATTGACTTTCATTTGTTTAGGCTGTCATATTCTAGTTTCTCTTACAGAATCAACCTCTTTGATCAAGAGATAATTACTGTAACAGTTACCCTTAAGGAGAAAGAGCATGTTAAATACATATTTGTGTTCTTTTCCAGCCCAAGTGAAGGTCTTTGCTGCGGTTACAATTGCACTCCACACAAACAAACTGTGTTGTGTCTTAATGAGACAGAGTGTGCCAACCGTTCCTATTGCAAGTATCCTTTCTGTACATGTGTGCATTCAACGTTGTACTTTATTTCCATAACCATTCCATTTCTCACGGCATGTTGTCCTGGTTCGTCAAAAGGAGGGTTTTGGATGAGCAGCAATTGACCTCTGACCATCAAAGAACCAGTTTCATTCAAATGCATCATTGACTAATCTTAAGTTCCAAATGGGTGAATAGTGTTTTCTTTTCTTTTTATTCTTTCCTTTTTTTTGTTTTATTTTGCTTTTTCATGGATGTAAACAAAGTTGAGAAACTATAGAAAGCCAAAGAAGCGAGGAAGAACAAAATTGGGCCAACACTAGGCCAACATTAGGTCATTTTGACTGGACAAGCTTACATGTATATATTTAACCCTTTGCACCCTCCACATTCCATACATCTCCTTATAAGGAGAAGTTAAGTGTCAATCAAGAGCTTCTGTAATAGGTGCTCGTTTCCTTTACTCTCATGATTATAATCTTGGTTCAAGAGAAATTTGATGCTAGTCACCCCACCCACCCTCGGGGGCCAAAGGGTGAAGTGTTGCCGAAAGCTGGCTTAAAGCAACTTATTTCATAGGAAAAAAGAAATCAGTCATGGGTGGAGGGAAAATGCTCATGAATGAAAAACTGAATTTAAAAAAAAAGCAATTTATTTCACATGAATAAGAAAGGCTGTCCCCGTGGTTAGCCAATCAGGACATAGAACACCTTCGTCTTACTCATCCCCATTTCACTCGTCCATGGATTTCCCTCAGCTGTACCTTCCTGCCAGGAATTTTTAGTTTTATGACACCATTGACAAGGGAGGCAACGCTGTAGTCTTGTAAGTTTTGTTTACTCCAGATTATATAGAACTCCGAGCAACACTGCAGCAACACATTGCATTTGTTGTTTATGTTTGTTGTTGGTATTTTCCTTAATGTTTTTTTTTTCAAAGTGGAATTAATGCTACCTGTCCTGCTCCGGACCCTAAAGCCAATCTCACCTTGTGTAACAACGGAAGACAAGTTTGCCTTCAGGGAGTAAGTTTTAGAGTTCTAGTTTGTGCTACTGAGTAGGAGTTTCGAGGTAGGGTGGTTACCTTTATCAGAACTTTAGCAGGTTAGGCTGGTCTTTTCGTGAAGAAAGTCCATGATTAGACTGCATTGTCCTACCCTATCTTCCAATTCAGTAATTGCATCCTTTATTTGGTGATGAAATGTTCATAAAAGTTATAAAAAATATTAAACTGGTTAACTGATCTTGTCAGTCAGTGCGGAACAAAGATGTGTTCCCTTCTAATTTTAGCGGCCTCGGTCCTAGTCCTGGTCTCGGCTGCACCAACAGAAAATCAGGAAATTATAAAAAATTAAAAAAAAAAACAATCAAACTTAGGTATTTTTCAGATAGTTCTTCTCAGACATGAATTGTCGAAATTCCTTCGAAACAAATTTTCTCCGCATTGATTGAAGATATATCATGGGCTGTTCAGACTAAAACTACCGTACTTGAGTTTTTCGTCTGAGTACAATGTTCCTTCTGTAATTGTTATCCTTATTCCGCTTTTAGATTATACAACTCCCATACAGTTTTTTTACACATTTCTACAGCTGCAACGCTCGGAGTTCTGCATGCTCGAATTCCGCAAACAGTAGTAGAGTGCAGTAAAACGCTCGGTTGAGAAGTTCTGTCTACATGGTAAACTAGCTTGTTAACCTGTGTGATTATTATTGCGGTTTTTTTTTTCACTGTTTCTGTATAGGAATGCAGCGGTTCAATTTGCTTAAAGTTCAACAAGTTGGAGTGCCAGTGTACACAAGAAGATCATCTCTGTGATTTGTGCTGCAAAGACGGTGAAAAAGGCAAATGCTTGCCGGCCAGTGAGATTGATGAAATGAAGAAGGGAAAAAATCTGAAACAATTCCCCGGCGCGCCGTGCAATGACTTCAATGGTTACTGTGATGTTTTCCTTAAGTGCCGCGCGGTGGACGCAGACGGGCCTTTGTCACGTCTAAAGAACAAGTTCTTCAGCAAGGAGGCCATTAAGGGATACTTAGATTGGATCAAGGAGTATTGGTGGGCGGTGGTGCTTATGGGTGTAGGTCTCATTCTTCTCATGGCAGGTACAGTGAACGAGTTAAATCTCTGCCTCTCCAAATATGTTTTAGAGACTTCAGTGCTGCTGAGAAGTATGCTTCAAAATAATGAAAGGGATGTCTCCGCGATTCAAAAGTTTGTAAGAAATTAGAACTCTGACCGGTTTTAAGATCCTAGAGAGGAACTCAAACTTTCGAAATTGTCTTAAAATGTTGCTAAGATATCGACAAAGGACACTGCCATTTTTAATCCTGATATGCAAAATGACCACTTACCTGGCGAAACAAAGTCACGCCTCACCTTGTCTACATGTTTGAAAAGTTGGGAGTTAGAAGCATTCTAGCCTCAAATAATTATTTTTAACGATAATTAGGGTGCTAGCTGTCGGTAAAACGCGTGTTGTGGTTTGACGTATGCGGCCAGATTACTAACACGTTTACAATAAAGCGGCGTCTTAAGTGAATCACTCCTCTTTCTGACAACTTACACGTTATATCGTCCTTCCTTGCCGCTAGGCTTCATCAAGGTTTGCAGCGTTCACACGCCGAGCAGTAACCCGAACCGAAAGCCACATCGTCAGCTCACACTCCGCCGTCAACAACAACGTAACCGACCTAACCAGAGAGGTCGACAGATGGAGCCAGGGAACCGAGGAAACCCCCGGCATGGATACAACGGATACGAGGATCCGCCACCGTACCCCGGGGCCCCCATCCAAATGCATGGACGTTGACACGATTTTTCAGGTGGCTGGTTTAGTATTAGCTAATTTGATAACTATTTGTACACTTTAAAAATGGGCCTTTGTATTTTTGTTGTTCAGTTGAAGTTCAATGTTTGCTCGAGCTTAACCCTTTAACTCCCAAGATCTGCTTGTCAATTCTCCCTTGTAGCTGCCATACATTTCTTTGTAAATTAGTTATGAGAACTTGGTGCTAGATCAAGATGGCAGCTTCTACCTGATAAGTTTGAATATTCTCATAAACTGTTTGCCGAAGAATGTAGGGATATTTTAGGGAGAAGTTTCATGCTAATCACTTGTGGGAGTTAAAGGGTTAAGTAAAGGTTAGGCCTGTTCACCCCTTTTGAAATGTCACGCAATCCCAATTCGTCACGTTGCTGCATGATTGCTTAAGTCACACACTGAGAAGGATTCACCTAAATTTTTTTTTGTTTTTTCTTTTGTGAGCTTGAATAATAATGACAACAATCGCTACAACGTTCATGTTCACCGGCATTGATATTGAATATTCGCGAAGAGACATATTTGCATGTCTTTGCATCTTGAAGGTTTTGGTTATTTTCCTTGATTATTATTTAATATGTCTTTTTCATTTCATAGAAAGTCTGCAAAAAAAATTGTCTTTCCTGAGACGTAGAGAAAGTTATCTTTATCAAAGAATTGGAAAGTAGAGCAAAATTAGTCTTAAAAGAATTTCGGAAAAAAAAGAAGATTATATGACCGTTTTAGCTTGAGGTCGAAAAATATACTAGACATGTGCGATGCAAGCTCCATCGCAATCAGGTGAGCTTTGAGGTGTGTGGTGTACTTGTTCATTTGTAGCTTTTCTTAGTTAACCCTTTCACTCCCATGAGTGATCAAGACAGAATTTCTCCTTACGGTATCAACACAATGTCAAGCAGACTAGTGACGAGAATAAGAAAAACATCAGTTAGGGGATTATTGGTTGATCTAAGACTAAATTCCCTGAACTAACATTATGAGAAGGGTATGGCCGACAGTGAGGAGAATTACTCATGAGATCTTGGGAGTGAAATGGTTAATGTACTGTAGGTGTGAATCCCTTAGCCATTGTTGTATTGTTAATTGTGGGATGGGAGGGTGATCACTTCCATAACATAGGAATTTATTTTGATGTACAGGTCGGGATATCGCTTTTTTTACGCGTGCATATTTTGTAGTTAGGGGCATTTCAGAGATTTGTTTAATTTAATTGTTGTTCATTGTATCAAAAAAAAAAAATACATGCTACCCTGTTAGTTGACAGAATGCAAGGCCAACAGCATTTTTTACAAGATAGTTTTCAATGTTTAAAAAATTAAGGTCACGGATATTTGTGAACTATCGCCACTTTAGTAGCCGTCATTTAATATTGATGAGAAGTTTGATTTAGGCAGTATCAGATATTTCTATATGAATTTACTATTTTGACCGGCTTTTTTTGACTTACGAATGTTGGAAATGTCTGAGATCCGATCTTGGTTTAGTTAAACAACATTCCTGAGCGAAATTGTGGCAATCTCAACTCTTTTAGGGACATTTACAAGTCGTTCAGCACGGTTAGAATTATTTAATCCATTCAAATACTGCCCCTAAAAGAAGTTAAGCGCTGACTAGTCTCAATCGCATCGCTCCTAGATATTATTCACAAATATAAAATGTTTCTTCGAATTTTATATCTCTGGCTCTTCGTAAAGAGAACGTTTTGACTCTTATTGACACTTATCTAAAAGCTTGTCCGATTGGTTCGTCTAAAAGCTTCCCCTATTGGCTCGTCTATAGCAAGATCTGCTCTCTTTGCGTTTGGAGGCAAGACTCTTGCTCAAGGTGAATGTAAGGGAAGGGAAAGCGTGAGATCCCTATTGCGCACAGCAATCGGCGAGAATCGAACTTATACTCTCTTCCTTTCAGCCGTGTGCGCAAGATTATGATCATTTCTGTACGTGTTTGTGGTGAAGAGGAGAAATTTTTCCAATTTCTTTTGAGTAGGAGATGCCTATGCAAGATCATTGGCAAATTTCGTGGTTGGTGTTTTTTTTTTTTTTTTCTGTTATCGTATTTCAGAATCATTTACTATAAAGTTTTTAAGTTCAGACGAAGTTATAGATATGTTCATGTATCGTGTGATAAGTTTCGAGTATCTGGTTCAAAGCAGGTCCTTTGAACTTTGTTTTTGTGTAAGGTACGGTATGCTAAGACTGTACGACCAAGGCTATGTCCGCACCTGTTTCCCCAGCCTTTTTTAACTGGCACAGGACTCTAAATATTGATCTGTTCATACGTTGATCTTAGATTTATTAAGCAACAGGATGCGCGTGCTTAGGACGCAATGTCGGGACCGTGATTGAAGACGCGAGTACTAAGGCTGACTACGCCTAACGCGAATATTGGCAGGTTTATGTTCTTTATGTGAATTAACTTTTTACTCGTTCAACCAAGATTAATTGCAGAACCAAATCAAAGTTCTCCATTTTTTTGACCTTTTTTTGTCCTGCGTCTTCGGAAGGGTTGGAAAATTGAAAATATTTTATTTTCAACGTAGCTTCAGCTTGAAGAGATGCTGCTAGTGTCCAGTCTTTTTCTCAAATGAGTGCAACGTCCCAACTTGCAGTCGCATCCTGTTGCTAAAACAGCGTGATATTAAAACATTGATAAGATCCCGGGTTTATATTGTGCTCATGAACAGTGCCGAATTTTGGGGGGGAAGTTGGAATGAAGTTGGTGCGGCCATCGTGCTTGGCCACTACATAGTTAAACTGGTCGTTCTTTTGACGTTTTTTACGAGCGATCATTGCTGTCAGACGATTCATTGTTAAGTCTTGACCAAAAACTCTCTGTGTTGCTAGTACCTGATCATTAGGCTTTGCGTTACAAACACGGCTGAATTATCAGACTGACGGTTTTGATTGGGCTGACCATTTACGCGACTCCATCGCCTTTATTTTCATCAAACACTCAAAGAAATAAAAACCGCCACATACGTAGGCTACTAACTTATTGTAGAACAGGTTTTGAAACTCGAAAAGGCAGAATTTCTACGCCAAGAAAAGCGGTCAAACAAATATTTTCTTCATTCAGCTGCCTTTTTAAATACAATATTTAACAATATACTATGTGCTTGTCATTATTCAAGAGGAAAAATACTTAGCTTTTGTCAATCAGTTCTATAAGAAGTGCTGGCAACATCCGTTTCCGTCAACCGGACGAAGTGGATCGTTGCTCCACCGGCGTGGGGAAAAACACTCTAGTGCAAGGGTGGATCCAAGGAGAGGACGGGGGGTCCCGAACTCTATATCCCTCTTTGTGCGGGTATTATAACTACTTGTGTGAACATAAAATTCCCCCAAACGACAAGATTGCTTATCGCTACTCAACTTGAAGTGTTTGAAATTTACTAATGAATTTCTGAGCTTGTTTAGCCTCTAGTTTTGAAAAAGAGATTTTCGTGTTGTTTGAATAAGTGTGAGCCCTCTCCAATCCAATATCCCTGGATACGTCCCTGCCACAGTATTGAATTTTCCCAATTCAAATTGTTTATCGTAACTGAATCATTCTGCATGCGAGGGGAAAGCAGAGGAAGAATTTCCCCGAAGTCTTTTTTACTCTAATAATTGCTTGTCTTCACATGTGAATAAAGTTTTGTACAGCAACTCTTCTTCGTTGATTGTTTGGGTCGATTTAGTGTCCCTCAGATTATTGATGGGCACGATATCTTACTGCGGTCCGGGAAATGAGCCCACGCTCGTGAAAATGGTGGAGGAAATCGAACCCAAGTCAATTTATCATCACTAATTTCTTCTACTCTAAGGGGGCCCCATAGTGATTTTGCTCAATATTTGCGCGCGTGCCAGCGTAATGTTTTTCCAGAACATTTTTATATTTTCGCTTTCCATGGTCACTAAAAGCCATCAAAGGCAATGAGCAAGGTTCGGACTATCGTTTTCTGCAGTAAATATTATCAAAATAATTTTTGACATTAAGCAAAGGCTCCACGAAGGGAGGCGCTCGTCAGCAACAATTTGGCTTTGCCTTTGATTTTCTTCAATTTGCTTCGGTGAAATCTCTCAAAATTTGGGAAGTTTGTCCTCCCGATCATTTACAAGCCGAAAAAAATAGGAGTTACAAAGGCAGCTTCCTCGCTATTTTCAATTTCCTGTTTTCGTTCTCTATCTCAAATCTTTTTTCTATCAACAGGGACTAGGAAGGGCATAAGTATAGTTAATGGTTCAGCAAATCTTAGGAAATTCCACCAAAGGAAACGTGATAAATCTTACTTTTAAGATCTCTGTTTTCTTTTTCGCAAAACATTGCGTAATGGAATGGAACGTCGCCAAGATCTATATCTGAGCATTCGTAAACTTTCGAATCTGTCGCCGTTTGGCAATCTTTCCCACAGTGTTTTCTTTTCGGTTGACCTCATATTCAGGCGTAAAAGGCTCACTAATATTACGCGTGCAGTTGCTGGAAACCCTAGATTCCATCTCGTAAAAACTGTATTTTGTTGAACTGTTTTTGACACACCTTTTCAGATAACAATCATGCGATCGTATAGAACTGCCATGTTTGATTTTTATGCCTCCTGAAACCTCAAATTTCCAGTGCAGCATTTTTTTCTTTTTATTTATTTCCTAAAACGACAACCACACGAACATGGATATTTTCGGGCAATACAAATGACGCCTCCATACAGTTATACAGTATGGCCAGCACTCTGAAAATTTAGCTCAATTGCGACGGTTCTACTTTCTGTACCCTTTTCGCCTGTTTGTGTTTTTATACATCTGTAGTAGTATGAAAACATTCACTGCGGTGTTAAAGTTTGTCCAGTGGCAAGTTAGACTGGGTAAAACGGCCTCAACTTGCACGACCATTGAGTTCAGACCTCTAATTCATTGTCTGGTGATCATTGGACGGTTGACCTTGTGTTCTACACATTTAGGGGAGGGTAATTAGATCTCTGCTTTCACGAAGGTTCCTTTCTTTTATGAAAGGAAGGGGCCAAATCGTGGGTTATCCATACGAGCCTCTTTCAGAGTTATCTTTTGAGGAAAGACTGCGAGCGACATGAAACGAGGGTAAAAGTTAAGTTGAGCGCCCGTAAACAAGGGTTCGAATCACTTGCTCTGACGTGCGAAACATAACTTTCCTAATGGTTTCTTTCAGGCCAACTTAAGCTTACTTTGCTAATAAATCGTAACAATGAACTTTTGTTTCAAATAACCGTAGGCTAATATAAGATATCAGTAGATATGTCTGGCTTAAAAGGGAGTGTCAAACTCAGACAAACAGGTGCACTAAAATTAGTTGCGACGAAATCAACGAAAGGCTTTATAAGAAGAAATGAGACGATCCTTGACTAATCTTTCGCTGACGGTAACAGTTTTGTCAACGAAAGATTCGCGAGTTTAAATGCATCACCAAAGACGAATCTATATGAATTTCTGATCGCTACACAATACTGCATCTGAATCCAACTTCCTCTTGTTCGAAGACATCTTTTCTGAAATTTCAAAAACGCTTCATGTAGACGCGCATTTTTGTCCTCTGGCCCAAAGCACCGTCTGTCTCTTGGCAAACAGCCATACGGCGATAGTTCGGTGAGTTGTCTGCATCGTCTTCCCCTGGTCTCATATTTAGCTCCCTGGGAGGTATAACGCCGATAAGACCACGCGGTGCTGGCCATGAGGGGTAATTCTGATTTTGGTCCCCTCTCCCTAGCCCCTGAGTCGAAGGTGCGTGGGCAATTTGCCCGTGGTTACCCTGGTTTGCGGAGGATTGGAAAGCTTGTTGGTGGTTTTCGACCCCAGTCCTACCTGTGTTGTAATACGTTCTAGTGGCAGAGAATTGTGTCTCAGAATCCGAGTTATTAACCTCTTCAGCCTGAAAGAATGAATTAGTAAAATGAACCGCATTTTGATAATAAACTTGTGTCGTATTTACTCCGCCCGGTGGCGTTTATCAAACTTTGCACGATAACAAGAAAATGTCAACAGGAAAAGAAAAACATGCGTGTTCAAAATATCACCCACGGTCTCGTTTTGTTGGGACTATTATGAAGCTTACTTTGTTTTCATTGTGCGTGGCAACAAAAGCGACAAAAATTTTGCCAATATTTTCTCATAAGAAATACAAAATACAAAAACTACGAGATTTTAGTGTTTGAGAGTGCATCGTTAAATAAAGTCAAAAAAATATACAATTTAGCACTCATATCTCTTTTCAGCATGGAAACGATCGTCTGCCCCGGGTTGAGGAGGGCTTTTGTAAAAAGAACTCTAAAATCATGCTAAAACATTTTTCGTTTTTAAATGGAGCAAATGATTCAAGCAATTAATTAAAATGTAGCTGTCATCCCTTCAACATAGAGTGTAAACAATCAGAGTTGTAGCCTCCTAAATTTGTTTGCCTGCTTTGAAACATTTATCTTGGCCTAAAAACCCCAAAAGATGGTAGTCATTTCAAGGAAAAATAAATTATTTCGTTAAGAAAACGGCATCATAATGAAACATACTTGTGATAACTACGTGTCTCGTAACAATTACGGGTAAACCCTTTCCAGCGATAAGTTCTTCTACATTTACAATAAACTGTGTATTGCATTAATTTTAGTCACATTAATTCTGGTACGGAGCCAAACCCTAAATTCAACATTGCTAAAAGATTGAACACTTTCCAGATTTAATTTTTGACCTCTAAGAAGCTTTAGCAATTAACTATTTTTTTTAAATTCTCAGTCATTATTCAACTGTCTGTTCCTAATAGCACTCTTTGCAAGAAGGAAATTTGCATTTTGGATCAATTATTTGAAGAGAGAACAACTTGGCACTACAGCTGGAGAAAAAATAAACAGCCTGCAGCATGGAAGAAAGAGAAATTTGGGGATTTAAAATGTATTTCAATAAATGATTTATTTTTCCAAATTTTTACTTCATAAAACTCTATATTCATATGATAAGTTTGAGATTATCCTTCTGCGTGACGAGCGAAATGTATTTTGACTGAAAATGCTCTCTGAATTTCCATTTTTACCTTTCAATTACAGTTGAAAGAATTCAAAAAAACGAAGTTTAAATATTTATTTGATGATTTTGCGCTGCCAGAACAGGTTTCTATTACAATCTTTCCCCGAGGTTACAAACAACCCACGTTGAAGAATTATTTATCACGGTTCGTTAAAAATCTCTTTTCTGCAAATTCGCAAGATAATATTTAGCTTTCTAGCTACCCAATTTTGTTAGGTGCAATTTTATTTGAATAAATTTTTTGGTCCGATTGTTTGGTTGCTGGTTGGAAAAATATCCTACTTCGTAAAAAAAGAAAACAGCAGTTGTACCTGAACAACCCTAACGTTTAACATTTCGGCTTTGAGATAATAAGCAAACCTTCGAGAAAAAAAAAAAAAAAGAACTAAGACTGTTTGAATCCAAGAGATTTGAACTCAAAAGGTGGAAACAGCTGTAGCGGGTTTGATATCGATTACCAAACAAAAAGTGACGTACAAGAAAGTTTTTATCATGTTTCTACGCCGGTATTGGGTTTTTACTTCACTGGAAAAAGAGTTCCAGCCCTTCATCTTGGATTGCACTTCACATACGCGCTATTTCTTAAAACACCATGTGGGTAAACGAAAACGAAGCGAAAACATCTCTCATAGTGAGAAAAACTATAAAAATCCGCTTTAAAGGGTCCATATTAGAGAAAGTGTCGGCTTAGAAAAATATTCAGAGCTGAAAACATGGAAGGTCTTCATTTGTTTCTTTAGAGTGACTCTGTCAAGGACAATGTGGTCAAGAATTGACATATTTTAGTTTGATTTACCCAAAGTTATTAGAGCTGCAACTGTTGTGTTTACATGGCCATTTAAAGTACTCATAGCATGTTCGTATAAATAAATGTCTCTCCAACAACGGCCAAAATTAATGGCGACAACTGAATTTCATACCTTTATTTTGTCGGACTCCACAATGTAGCGTGGCTCGTTTTTGTTCGGCGCGTGAAGATTTTCTCCAAGGAGCAGAACTGTTTGCCTCGATTCATCATGATTTTGCTGTGCAGGTGCTGCCCAGTTTTCGCCTCGATTCGCTTTTCGCTCCAAGCTTTCTCTTTTTCCTGCCATATATGATTCCTTTGTGGAACAGATCAACAATGTATAAAGAACAATATTTTATCTCTGAGGTAGTTTTTTTCGCAGTCAAAATACCAGCAATTAAGCGGAGTTATGCGAGAGTCTGTACTGGTACTCGTCGTTCTCAAATGGTGGAAACGATTTTAAGCGCATTCTGTGACGTACACTTAAAGTCCAGCTGCGCTTTTTCAGGAAGATAATTCATGCGAAAGCGCCCCCTTAAATGTAAACAATGCTTTGTGTTGCAACTGAAAATTCGTTAGAGACAAAAGCCGGCCACTTAGTGTCGTGGACGCAAGACAAACTGGGACATATCGCAGCAACATCTTGAACGATTTGCCTTTTATGAAAAGAACTTCTGTAAGCAGGCATGTTATCTAATGTGGTGTTGAAAATAGAAAACACGATCTAGATAAAATTTCCGCAATCAGTATTATACTCATCAGCAAGACAGAGGGTCCATAATTTTCTGTCATTTGCAGAGAAGCTGTATAAAAGCTCGTTAGCGAATCGAAATCTGACGCTTTTCGTTGCTGTGTTGTGAGGAACAAAGACATAACAAGATGTGCACAAACCTCCCACGGCCTTAGCACATAAAACTGGCGGTAGAGGTTTACCGACGGGAAAATTTTCCTCCAAGTCGGAACCAGTTCGAAATGTATATAATTCAAGAATATGTGAAGCTATGTGAAAGAGTGCATGATGAAAACGTTTTGTTGGGCAACATTAACAAAAACGAAATTCTATCGATAACAAAAAGTTCTTGTAAACAGTTAAGAAAATTTTTGGGCCATGCCAATACAACTCTCGTCACGGCAAGGAGGAAAAAGCAGAATGTAACTTGTCTACTTAACGAAGATAATTAAAGTTTTCCAAGGTAAATAAAGATTTTTTTATTTGCATGGCACATAAATATTTCAATAAACCAAACAGGTGCGAAATACATGGTAGAATACAATCAAGATACCCCCTGCCCTAACCCAACCATTAAATAAAATTATTTAAGGAGTGAAAAAGAGACGGATTGGATAAACGTGACCTAACATGTCTTTCACTAATTCTTGCAAATTTCCATTGATCTAACTGCCATACACAGAAAAAAATGCATTTATCTCACAGCATTCAACTTTTAGAACGTCCCCGCTGGTAGGAAAATTGCTGGATATATGAATAGGCGAGAACAAAGTCATTGGGTACAAAAAGGTTTTTTTTTTTAATTTAATTTTTTTTTTACGTTATCAGCGATTCAACTAGACTTCTAGTGGTGAGCTTTAAATTTCTTGTTTCGCTTCGGTAGTTTAACAACACAATACGAACACTTCCCACACCTTAAAGTACCCTGAGACAATTATTACCTTGGATAAGTATTATGCATCTTACTTGAGTGGATGGCTTAAATCGTATTTGACACAAACATAAATTCGCCCACTGACAAGCCCGTCGTAATTGCAGCCAAATGGCGCTCTTTTTGATGGCTGTGTCGAGGACAAAAGTCCATTTAAATTCTGCTGCTAATGTGTTTGGAATTGCACTTAGCTTTAAGTAAATACCGCAGTTGTCTTGAGAAGAATCGAAAAGTCTCCGCAGTTTCGTTTAAGTTACTTTTCCAAATCATGTTCTACCATATTTATTTGATAAGTTGATACAACTTCTTTAATTGATTGTTTGAAATGGTGGGCTTAGGGAAAAAGTGATAAAATTGAAAAATAAGTTCTGTCTGAGCGACTTATGGAAAATTTCTGGAAAGGCACATTTAGCCAGATAGCGGGTACTTATTCGATCAGTGTATATCAAAAATTAAACAATGAATTCTATACACGATAAATTAATTAAAATACACGTTCTCAGGCTACTGGCGTCACTGAAGTGGCTAAGATATCATCTAAGACCCAAATGTGGAAAGGAAAATAAAAAAAAACTTTATAAAAACATGAGCGCATATATTTTACAGGAGTGAAACAAGAAATTTTGGCAACAGCTTTGTGCTATGATTGTTAAACTTTTGCACTGAGTGAAAGACCCGAAAGACTTACTTGGACTAGGCTCGAAACAGCAAGGTGAACGACCAGTTCATATCATGTCGAAATAAAATACTTTGAATGTTTAATAAATATGTCGCTGAAATCAGGGATTTCGGTCAAAGCTGATTACCAGCAGTCTACTGCCGCCCGCTGGACCCGTTACCACCTTCTGTTTAGCCAGTGGGCACGCTCTCGTGTTTGGCTTTCGCTTTACGGCGCCTTTTCGGGGCACAACTGCCTGCTACACCATAAGCAGGCAGTCGCTTATGGAAAAAGTTAATTATTGGAACCCCTGCAAAGATCAGCAAGTGCCTGGGGATCAAATTCTCGGCGACAGCAATCGGTTACGAAATTAATTAAACTAAATGCTAATCTCTCTTAAAAGGTTTTTGAAATTTATTCCTTTTTTCGCCTTTTTGAACATTAACAGGGAAATTGTAAAGCTGCGTGTATGAAACAAGTGTCACTTTTTTTGTTGAAGAAAAAAATCAATTTTTAAACTTTGAACGAAACAGATAGTGTAGCCTTCTGTACGTATTGTTCTTTCAACAAACATCTTATTATATTTTCTCTTCCATCAGAAGCAAATCATTTATACTTTTTGCAGAAAAGTGAAATCGCAGGAAAATTAATGCAGATATCACAGGGTGATATTATCAATAAAGTTCTTTGAATATAATAGCTCGTTTACTTTTGGCTGATCACGGTAAAATCTCCTTCTAGTCAATAGAAAACCGACATCATATTCTTCTTTCCAATTTTGCAACACATAAATGCTACATCATATTACAGTTAACCGTATCTTGCTTAAAAAAATAATTCAAAGTTGATTATCATACAATGCAAAATAGATTATTTAGGTCGTATTTTCCTTTGAAAGACCGATTGCCTATGAGAAAAACATTTATCGCATTGGATGATCAGTTCCTCTTTCAGCTGTATCTCTTTAAAATAGGAAGCCAGGGCGTGGCTGAGTAAATAAAAGAGAGGCTCTCGCCGGCAGTAACACTTTGGATCTTGAAAAAAATAAAGATTTAACATTATCAGTATTTGCCAAGGATCTCTTGTATTTGCCTAATGCAGGGACAAACCGTATTTATAAATCTACCGTATTCCGAGGAAATTTAGCGTAGATATGCATTTTTCATCAGCGTTGTGTCATGGTAATTCTATTTGCTTGAGTGTTATATTCCTTAAGTAGTTGAGGAGATTAAGTTGATGTTATCTCGGCGCAGTAAACCTACTAAGAGCTAATCTCTTAATATGCAGACCCATCACTTGCATGAGACGGCACTTTTACCTCACAGTCCTGCGGCAAAAAAAAAAAAAACCAATCAACCAAAAAAAAAGTAATTTCGCCATGTCGATCTCAAAGATTTTTCACTATAGAGCCGACTCAGAGATAAATATCTTATAGTATTTGGTCTCAATCCGCGGAAGCCTAGTTTATTGACTGTGGATGTTTCATTGATCTTCATCCGTTCTACTTGTCTGCAATATTTAAACAGGATGGCCCAGTTCATTTTAAAGCTGTTTAAATCAGAGAAAAGCATTTTTCAAACATTAATTCCAATTTTTTACCATTTCACTTCAGATAAAAAAGTGCGGTTTCAGTTACATAATATATAAAATATTAAACTCTCTGAAAAGGGAAAGATTTTCTTATCTTGGCGAGAGTGGGATGAAGAAATACTCGATTAAGTGTTCTTTCACAAAAGTCATTTATTTTAAACCGCAGGAATAAGACACCGTTCATCATTTATCACCTGGTTGAAGGTGGGGAGGGAAAGGGGAAAGGGAGTTAAAGGGGGGAGGGAAAGGGGAAAGGGAGTTAAAGGGGGAGGAGAAGGGGAAGGGAGTTAAAGGGGGAGGAGAAGGGGAAGGGAGTTAAAGGGGGGAGGAGAAGGGGAAGGGAGTTAAAGGGGGAGGAGAAGGGGAAGGGAGTTAAAGGGGGAGGAGAAGGGGAAGGGAGTTGGAGGATTTGAGGATCACATGAATTTCAGGGGAAACGAAGGGCGAAGGGTGCGTCAGTCGTCGCCAACAGATTGTAAGGCAGAACTATAGAAAATTGACTGCCAATTACCAGTAACTGCCAGTGAGGGGGGGGGGGGGAATCATAAGAATATTACAGAGTCACATGGGGGAATCAGGTGAATTTTATCGCGACACAACCAATATCCACCAACCTCGCCCTCCAGGGGATTAACAATGACCGATCCCCATTGAGAATCACGAAAAATGCCCCCCCCCCCCCCCCCCCCCCACACAAACACACACACAGATCAGCTCTAGGAATACATTCAACCATCTTTTGCTGCCATGTGTTATCAGACTAACTATCTAAAACTTTTACCTCTTTGCCTCAGGTTACAGGTATACTGATACTGAAAGGACATTTACTGAACACAACAAAAAACTTCATTTCTCAAGGACATTTAGGACTGATTTTAAACATCTCTTTTTCGTAAGTATAAAATATTTGAAATGGGAGTCACTTCAGAATTTATTCAAATTTCATAATTTAATTGTGGTCTATCAAATTGACGTTGTCGAGGAGCAAAACACTTATCACCATGGCTGACTCAATGGCTGGGCTGTTTTCAACAATACACCCTTTTCTGATGTCTTTCGTGCCTAATGTGCGCATCAAGACGCCCGAATAAAGCTGATGGAAGCGATGGTGTGACACTGTTTACGTCACTGTTATATAACGCCTCCGTTTCATTTGTCTACGCGAGAAATCGGAAAAGCATTTGCGAAACGATGCTCTTTCAAAGTCCTCTGCTTTTTTAGATGACGGTTTTTAGCGTGTACAGTGGACAAAAAGCGAACATACAAAACTAAGAATGCGAAACACTAAGATTATTGATAGGACGTCGTGGTCCAGTTAATATAACAACATGAAAATTTCCAGCTCAAGTTGAATGATTCACAAACTTCTCTCTTTATGTTATAACCCGCGTGGGTTCTTACGCCGGTAAACCGACGGTTTATTGCTTCAATAGACAATGGAAAAAATTGTGGTCGATTTGTTAAATCGCCCCACAGATGGCTTCATTAAGGATAGTGGAGAAATGGATTTCCACGATTACGAAACGCAGGAACAAAGAAGTTG